CCCTTGGCAAGGCTGAAGGAACATCTTTCAGGTTTCTGATCATTGCCTTTAACAAAACCCAACCCTTTGAGTGCTGATGTCTGAACCAGATGATAATGCTGCAGGCACTGTGAGAGCATCCCTGGAATACTGACTGCCTGCTCCTTCGCAACAGCAACGCTCAGAGAGCCAGACCAGCCTCCATTCCACAACCTCCCACCCTGAGAACAGGCAGCTGCCACTCAAAGCAGCTCACCTGAAGGGCAGGCAAAATGCCAAGAGGTTCTGGGGAAAAAAACCACAAAAACAACAAAACCGTAAGTGCTGAAGGAGATGCCCAGCTCTGTCAAGAGTGGCTTCACAACCTGCATTTCCTAAAAACCAGCCCACCCCCTGGCTATGTTTAATCCACAGCCCTCAATCACCTGGTTAGCTCAGGACAGGTAAGCAGTCATTTGCTGCCACAAACGAGACATCTCAAAAAGGGTGCTGTAAATGCCACCCGTGCATGGGGAAGCTGTGAGGGATGGAAACAGCACCAGCACGTGCCCAAAGAGGAGACAGTGTCGCAGGTCGAGGCAAAACAAAACCTTTGCTCTTTAACTCAATAAATTACAGAGATAAAAGAGGAATAAAATAAAATAAGCTACTGAGATAGATCACACTCATCTACCTCAATGCAAGCAAAAAGCTTCAGGGAAGCCCTTTGCTTTTGCAATCCATTTACCAAAAAAGCAGAAACACTGAAGGACCAGGACAGAGACCGAGCACACACAACTTTTCCTACAATTACAGTATTACCAAAAGAGATAAAGACTCCAAGCATGTGCTGCTGTCTGGAACTTTAAAACGAGTAATTTCACTGGCACTATTTTATCAGATCACTTAAGGAGCTCAGGTCCAGAAAGAGTGAGGAATAAAACATTCAAACAGAAGAAATATGGCAGTTCCCAGCCCATCAAATGGAACACTCTCCCTAACCCTGGCCTTTTACATGGATTAAACACCTGACAAACCAGTAAAAATACCATTCTGGAAATACACAGCTTCCATAATAACTTGTCTTGTTCTTAACCCAACCCTCAACATTAAGAGAGCCTTTTTCTTTCCAAACAGCAGAGAACTCCAGCACTGTCTGTGCCACAAAGGTGCTGCCAAAGAAACGGAACCATTCAGGATGAAGAAAGGAGCAGGAAGCCAAGACTTTGATCTCTAATCCCAACTTAACCACGACTGTTTGATCTCAGAAACAATATTTAGCCTCTAATGCATTAGCATTATACAGATTAATACAAATGCTTTAAGTATTACACAAACTTCACAAGTGCAATGCAAGTAAAGCTCAGCAATTATGGCATGGAGTTCATTCAGCAATTAACCAGCTCCAAGGTAGATTTTAACAGTAAAATTATGCTCCATTAGTAAACCCCATAAGAGAGCTGCTGCTTAAGATTATTTTCGTACCTTCTAACGTCTCCTGCCTCAAATTCAACACCTTTTGCTTCAAATGCAAATCACCATTAATCGAGCAAAAACTGTTACCTAGCAAAAATATTAATATTTCCTGGGTTTATTTATACTACAGCCACCATGCAAATCAGTTTAACAGGCAGCCCACAAAAAAAGGGCTCAGGGGCTGCAGCCCATGCTCAGTGAAATGCAAGCTCTGAAGCCTCTCTAGGAACAGGCTCCAAACCAGAATCCTTTCAGAAAGGAGCACTTTGGAACACAGTCTTTAAAAACACAGGTATACACTACCTCATTCTACTCTTATTATATGATGACAAACTTATGGGAACATCAATTAAAACCTTGATGGCAAAATTTAAGTCACTCAAAGCTGAAATAAGTGCACAAGCACTTTTAACTAGAAGGAAGTTAATTCATCTGCAAAATGCAGCAAAAGATGTGTTTTATTCTATATTTTGATTATATTCAAAAATAGCTTAAGCTGAGTAGCTCTGACCACTACTACTTCCAATCAAGGAGCATCCTTCCCATCCTTCTACTACAAAAGGAAAGCAGAAAACAACGATTTTTCTCTGATTTCTGTCTTTCAAAAAGTTGGACAGCCTGAAATGCAGAAGAGTTCTACCCCTGAAGAAGTGGACTCTGCACTCAGTGGAAAAATCAGTGGTAAGAAGTATTTGGTATCAGTGTGGGGGTCTGATTTTTCTTTCTAAAAGAATTCTAAAAACACACAGTGCTTAAATAACTGTGTTGATAATACTTCAAACAAGTAACCTCTCAAAACCAAACCTTTAAAATGTGCTGGTTTGGGGGTTGGTTTGGGCGGGTTTTCTTGCTTTGTGCCATTGTTTTGGGCTGGGGTTTGGGTGTGGGTCGGTTTTTGGTTTTTTTATTACTGTTTTCGTTGTGTCAAACCACTCTTTACTGAACATGTGTGGTAAACAGCTTCTCTCAACGCTCCCTCTACAAGCTGAGCTCCTGCCCCAGTCAACCCCAGACTCAACATTTCTGTCCTTCCCATTCACAGAGAACTACCCAGCCAAAGCAAGGGAGGACTTTAAACACTTCCCCACACACTAGGAATCAGCAGGTACTGGAACAACATCACCACATTCACACTAACAAAACAAGCACACCTTTTCTCTATGCTTTATGGACTCAAAAGGAAGGTTTCAAGCAGTTGTTTCCCCTGGTTATTCACACTTAGAAGTGTCCCGGCTTACAGGTATCACCACAATTATCAGTAACACTTCCAGTTTCAAACTGAAAGCTTCACCCCTTTAGAGGAGCGTTTTTATGAGGAAAGTAAGGTTACCTTTAACACCTGCAGCAGAAAGGCTGCTTCTGCAGCCTACCTGCACCTAAAAACCTTACCTGCTACTTGTAGAGAAGCAGTGTCCACACACTGTCCTCACTGACACCCTCAAGCACAAAACTCCCCCAAATCTTCCATCTACTGCAGCCTGACTGTTTTTAAGTGGGCTGTGTGACTCAGACTAGATCCATTTTAAAACGGAATTGTCACTTTTCTGGTATCATCCAAACAAGCAGTCAGTGGCTCCAGGGTCAAAATTAAAAGTTATATCAACAGCAGTGAAACAGCCAATACGTCACTTGTTTCCCCTGCTGTCACCTCCAACACAAAGGAAACATCTGAGATCATATCTGACCCTGCTCCCTATCAGCTGAAGTGCTACCCAATGTTTACAACTCGTGACTTCTATTCACAGCCTAAATATCAAGAGTTACACGGTAGGGATAGGCACAAGTCCGTTATTTTAATTAATTTCTCAGAGCAGCCCTCTGGGAAGGCCTTTTTGCATCAGGATACAGCCCATCCCACCCAGTGTCCCAGCAGAACTGCTGAGGGTAAGGCCAGCTGACAGTGCTCCTTGCAGGCTGACACACAAATAAGGACAGGGCTGCAGAGTGGCACCTTCATGGAGAAAACTCAGTCCAAAAGAAGCCTGAGATGTCCTGTGGATGCCTGGGATGTCACCCAGGAGAAGATCCACCTTCAGCACTGGCCATCAGGCAGCACCACAGCCAGACAAGACCAACAGCCAGCAAGCTACTGACATCAGGCAGGCTTAAGAAGAGGAAAAGGAAAACCACAAGCAGACATAACATTCAAAAGAGTGGAGTTCTCAGGAGATATGCAAAGCCAGCACAGAGGTTTGTACATGGAAAATAAAGCAAAGCTTCACCTTCTGCACCTCCCTGCACCCCAGCCCTGCATCCACCCCCCCAGTGCTCTCACTCAGACAAGGGACACAACTATTCCAGCAGAAAGCTGCTCAACTGGACCACAAAGAGGTTCACCTTGCTAAAATGGCAGAAAACCAACAAGCACGGGAAGCATGAAAAGAGAAGGGAGGGGCTATGCAACTGGGAAGAAAGGAACAACAAGAGCCTGCCTTTTTGGCAGGCTGGCAGCTTGGGAGCAACCTCCTGTGAGAGCAGCTCCAAAGATCCTCTTGGACAGGATGCCTCCCTAAAAGGGGGCCAAAAGGTCCCAGACAGGTGGAAGAAACAGCAAAGGACAAGTTATTCATAAAGCACATTATCAGAGCATTTCATAACTGTGAGAGATGCTGCAGCAGGACTCGTTTAAAGCATCTACAAATGTCTTAATAAACCGTCCAGAATTAAAACTCTAAGTGAGATAAAAATCTAAATTAGCCTTGGATTATAAACCAGAAGTAATCACTGACACTTACTGGTTCAAGATTCCCCTCGATGAGAGTAACCATTGTCACTGCCATCTGCTGTCTCCATAATAACGGATGAGAAACGAGCCCAGGTTTTCCTAATCGCATTCCCACTTGGGTAAAAGCACCATTAAAACTGACCCAGCCTGACATTCCTGCACTTCGCAGCAGAGAAGCCAAGAACTACACGGACCTCAACACCAGAACAGCTCACCAAAAGCACTTCCCCCAAAGGCTGCTTCAAACGGAGCAAGAACCCAGGAATGAATGAAAAGATGGAGCTGGAAGACTCTGAGCTGGCAACTCAGTTTTCCTGAGCTGGACTTAAACCGCTCACGACAGATGTTTGGGAACAACGCGTAAACCTCCCCGTAAACTAAGCCAGGTCTGAGGACCGTATATCGAGTTTCATCCACGCACAGGCGAGGACTGGAAACCAGCCGCCTCTGCAGCGGAGCTCCACGCGAAGGCAGGAACCTGAACGTGAGGAAAACCACCTCCTCAGGTCACTGCTGGTACCAGCACGGCGCCTTCCCCCCAGCGCTAGGCGGGCAGGGCTGTGGGAGCGAACAACGCCGGGGGCTGCGGAGGCAGCGCACAAAGCCGGCGCCGGGAGCTCTCGCTGCCCGCCGGGCGCTGCCGGAGCCCCGAGGAGCGGGTGAGGAGGGGCCGCTCTCCGCACCCCGCCAGCGGCTCGCCCGCCCCACGGAGCTCGGCAGCGCGAACCCCGCTGGCCGGAGCGCAAACCCACGAGGGGAGCGCGGGTGGCGGGGCCGCGGACCCCGCTCTTTGTTCGCCGCCGCGGGCAGGCCCGGCCCCGGCCCCGGGCCCGCGCCTCACCTCGCGAACGTCCTGCAGGCACTCGAGCACGGCGAGGTTGTTGGCCCAGCTGTGCTTGGAGCAGAGCCGCACCACGTCCTCCCGGCACACCGCCTCCTCCGACAGCTTCCACCCGCTGCCCGCCCCGCCGCCGCGGCCGCTCCGCGGGACGGCCGCGCCCGGCCCCGCCGGCTGCGCCGCTGCGGGCAGGGCCCCGCCGGCGCCGGGAGGGCCCACGGGAGGGCCGGGCGCGGCCGGCCGCGCCGCCAGCGCCAGCAGCAGGAGCAGCGCCGGGCCCGGGCAGCGGCTCCGGACACGTCCGCACGGCGCCATCTTGGATCCGCCACCCCCGGCGTCCGCCCGCCCGCCCCGCGGCACGCACGGCGTATGCAAATCGGCGCGTGACGGCCGCGGGACACGCCCCTCTCCCGGCGGAGGAGGAGGGGCGTGGCTTGCGCGGGCCCCGCCCTCCCCCCGGCACGCGGCGCGACCGTTGCCGCCTCAGGAGGAGGACGAGGCGGGGGCAGCGCGCGCTCAACGGCACCGACGGCCCCGCCGCCCCTCACGGGTCCCCGCAGCCCTTCAGGGGTCCCCGCTGCCCTTCAGGGGTCCCCGCTACCCTTCAGGGGTTCCCGCAGCCCTTCAGGGGTCCCTGCTGCCCTTCAGGGGTCCCCGCAGCCCCCCAGGGGTCCCCACTGCCCTTCAGAGGTCCCCGCAGCCCTTCAGGGACCCCGCTGCCCCTCACGGGTCCCCGCTGCCCTTCAAGGGTCCCTGCTGCCCTTTAGGGGTCCCCGCAGCCCCTCACGGGTCCCCGCTGCCCTTCAGGGGTCCCCGTTGCCCCTCACGGGTCCCCGCAGCCCCTCAGGGGTCCCCGCAGCCCCCCAGGTGCCGGGGCGGGCCTCGAGGAGCTGAGCTCACCCCCCGGGAAGGCGGCGGGCGGGCCGCGGGCCTCCCCCAGCAGGTGCCCGGTAGCTGTGACAGGATCTCACCCGAAATCGCTCGCTTCTCACTCGGCTGCCCCAGCGACAGAGAAGTAAGAGAGATCATGGGGAAACTGAGCTTTGAGAAGGGTTGGCTCAAAGAGGAGCGGCAAGAGCAGAGGGATGAGGAAAAACTGCACATGAATGAAGGAGAAATACAGAGGTACATAGGGAAATTACAGGGTTACATAGAAAAACTGCAGAAGAACGAAGAAGAAATGCGGGAGAACAAAGTAAAAATGAAGAAGAACGAAGAAAAGATACAGGAGATGGACGAAAAAATACAGGAGATCAAAGAAAAAATACAGGAGAATGAAGCTAAAATACAGGAGGACAAAGAAAAAATACAGCAGATCAAAGAAAAGATACGGAAGAATGAAATGAAAATACGGATGAACAAAGAAAAAATCCAGGAAAAGAAAGAAAGAATGCTGAAGAATGAGGGAAAAATACAGAAGAATGAAGTAAAAACAGAGAATGAACTAAAAATAGAGGACTTCATGGAAAAAATAGAGGCAATCAAAGAAAAAATAAGGAAGAACAAAGAAATACTGAAGAATGAAGAAGAAATGCCAGTCGAAGAAGGAATTAAGAACAAGAGAAAAGTACAGGAGCTGGACAAAAAAATACAGGAGCTTGACGAAAAAATACAGGAGCTTGATGAAAAAATGCAGGAGGACAAAGAGAAAATAAAGCAGATCAGAGACAAGATACGGACCAATGAGATAAAAATACAGACAAACAAAGAAAAAATACAGGAAAAGAAAGAAAGACTGAAGAATGTGGGAAAAATACAGAAGGATGAAGTAAAAACAGAGAACAAAATACAGGAGTTCAAAGAAAAAATACAGGCAATCAAAGAAAAAATAAGGAGGAACAAAGAAATGCAGATCAAAGGAAAAATACAGGAGCTCGATGAAGATATACAGGAGGATGAAATAATGGAGGAGGACGAAGAAATACAGCAGATCAAAGAAAAGATGCAGAAGAATGAAAGAGTAATGCAGATGATCAAAGAAAAAATACAGGAAAATGAAGAAAGTGGAAGAATGAAGAAAGTGGGAAAGTGGCTGAAGAATGTGGAAAAAATACAGAAGAATGAAGCAAAACCAGAGAATGAAATAAAAATACAGGAGAACAAAGAAAAAATACAGCGGATCAAAGAAAAGTTGAGGAAGAATGAAATAAAATTAGAGATGATCAAAGAAAAAATACAGGAGGAGGAAGAAAGAAGGCTGAAGAATGTGGAAAACATAGAGAAGAACGAAGAAGAAATGCAGATCAAAGAAAAAATTAGGAAGAACAAAGAAAAAATCCAGAAGCTCAACAGAAAAATACGGGAGCTTGATGAAAAAATACAGAAGAACACCGAGAACGAAGTAAAAATACAAGAGATCAAAGAAAAAATAAAGACAGTCAAAGAAAAAATAAGGAAGAGCAAAGAAAAAATACCAAAGAATGAAACCAAAATACTGCAGAACAAAATAAAAACAGAGAATGAAATGGAAATTCTTAAGAACGAAGAAAAAATACAGGAGATCAAAGAAAAAATACGGAAGAACAAATTAAAAATACAGGAAAACAAAGAGAAAATACCAAAGAATGAGGAGAAAGCAGAGAACAAAATAAAAATATATAGGAGAGAAGAAAAAATACGGGAGATCGAGGAAAAAATACAGAGGATCAGAGACAAAATGCAGAAGATTGAAGAAAAAGTACAGAAGAACAAAGAAAAAATACAGGTAAGCAAAAAAATACCAAGGAATAAAGAAAAAATACTGAAAAATATGGAAGAATGAGAGAAAACTACAGAAGAATGAAGAAATTATATCAACCAGCTGCTAAAAACACCTCAAACCCGTTAATAAAATGCTGACAGTCAGCTTTGCCACTGTCATTTCTCCGTGCTGAGTGCCAGACTGAGGTGGATGGCTGATGTCACGTGTGGGTGCACCCACGGCCCCTCCTGGGGTGGGATGCTGGGCTGGCAGGAGGGGTGGTACGAACCCACCAGCAGCCTGGCCCAGCCCTCAGGTACCTGCAGGGAGCAGGCAGATGAACAAGGGCTGAGAAATAACGTTCTGGAGGTGCCAGGAGATGGCTCCTTCTCAGGGTTGGTGGGTTGGCTGCACCTCCTGCCCTGTCAGTGCGGCCACTGCGTTTTGGGGGCTGGGATTTGCCAGGTCATGCTCGGTCATGGTCCCCAGGCTTTCCTCCTGGGGCTGGAAGAGTGATCTTGTCCACAGTGGCTGATCCTGTTGTAAATGGGATCCACAGCTTTCTCCTAGGGCAGTAAGAGGGGTTTGGGTGCTGAATTTGATGATGGATCATCTGAAAGTGGTGTCTGCAACCGCGCAGCCCCCTCGGAGCAGCGTTCTGGGGATGCTGCAGCCCATCTGCCCCAGCTGCCAGACCCACAACTGCACGGTAAGAAAGTACCTGTCCAGGTGTTGGGTCAGTGGCAGCAGTGGGACACAGCTCCACCTCCAGCTCAGCAACCACAGCTTTTTGGGTGTTCCCCCAGCATCTCACCAGGTCAGCTCACAGCACCCTCCTAGGATGGGTTTGCCCCTAAATGTCAGATTTGCTTCCAACAGAGATAGAAATGGGGGACAGGGAGAATCCCACCTCAGTTCCTCTGCTTGGTACATTCCAGGGGCAGTTTTCCTAGCCCAGGCTGGCATCAGGCCAAAGTCAAAAGCTCTTTGCCTGATGCCTGGGTGCTCCCCAGCTCTGCCCTGGCTGCAGGGCCGCTCCCCTCCTGCCCCAGGCTGCCCCATCCTGCCTGGGAAAAGCCCTTCTCTTGATGCCACCAAGTGTCTTACCCACACCAGGAGCTACCAGAGCACCCTGAGCCCAGCACAGCCACCAACCTGCAGCCACCTCGTCCAGGTGAAGGTGAGAGGGAGGGGGCTCGGCTGGCAAAGTCCCTGCACTTCCTGCATTCCAGTGTCACGCTGGGACACAGCGCTCGGAAAGTGGCTTTGTGCTGGCACCCAGGGGCCACGCAGCTGGGAACACTTGAAAACAAAAGCCAGCAAAATCCAGCCCGTGCTTGGCAGCCCATTTGGCTTAGTGGGAGTTATTTGAAGTTAGCCCAGTGCGAGAGCTGGCTCTGCTCCTCCATCCGTTGCAGGATGAGGACAGAGGGGAGCAATGGAGCTGGGTTACAGCTCTCTTCTCCTTCCCACACCCTTGGGAGCTCTCCAGAGAGTCATTTTTTGCACAAGGAAAACCTCCTGCCAGGCGTGGATTTTACCATTCTGCACAGTCCACCATCAAACAAGCATTTCATAAAAAAGCCCTATGCTTCCCCTGTGCATGCAGCAAGTTAAACAAGGAGGAGGTTTGTCTGTGGGCACAGGGACATCTCTGCCTGTGCTGCTACTGCAGCCCCTCTCCCTCAGCAGAAATTCCCTCATTGCCACATTTTAAGCATTTTCCCACCAGGGCTCTCAGCCTCTGGGCGCTGCATTAAGTCCCTTGCTTCTGTAGTGGGCAGCACATTTAAATCTCACTACTTCAAGCAATAAACACCATTTAAATGTCCCCCAGCTCAGCAGAGCGAGGCCGGGGTGAGCTGAGCTGCTGGGACACCTCTCACTCCTTCCCAGCAGTGTTCTTGCTCTCCACTGCTTTGGGGAGAACAAAAATTCTTCCTCAGTCCATCCAGAGGAGCTGCTCCAGTTTTTAATTGGATGCAGTCTGTTTGCTCCCATGTGGCCACAGGCACTGCTCCCAATCCCAGCTCTGCCTGCACAGTGTGCTCAGGCCCTCTGCCTTGCATGCAGCCTGACTCAGCTGCCTCCTTCCAAAGCTATGCATCCCCCAAAACTTCAGCACTCTTTCCCAACAGATGATCCTCTCCACCAGCAAATACTGCTGCAGAGAACCAAGTGAGGTGCTTCATTACCACTGCTACTCAGCTCTTTTCCTGGCTGGCTGAGGCAGGAACACTCTCCTGGTATTTCGTGGTTTATTTGCATGCCATGCTCAGGTTCAGCCCCACTTGTTTCTGCTTTTCTTGTAGGTCAGAGTCTACTCATCCATGTTTGGAGATAAGCAGAGGACCACAGAAATACCCACCTTCCAAGGAAGCAGTGGACAAAGAGGAGACAATATTGCCATTGCAACCCTGTGAGCGTTGAGCAAAAAGGGGAGCTTCATGCCTCTCCTGCACAACTCTTCAGCCCAGTTGACCTTTTTTCCCCAAAGACAGATGCTGTTGACACATCTTTGCCTGACAAACCCTCAGAAGCCCCAGGTCATTACTGCAGACACGGCTGCCCTCCCCATATTGCTGCAGCTTTGTGTTGCAGTTAGCACCTACCTTTAGAAAAAGAAAAAAAAACAAAACAAAAAAACTAGAGCGACTGTCCAGCCCTTTCTCCAACATACCACAATTCTTTCCCAATCCTGCTTCTGCCTTCCTGAGCACTCAGTGCTGATGCCAGCTTGATGCCGGAAGCACTGGGGGCTCTCTCCCCTTTCCACGACCTCTGCTGCCAGCAGAAGCACCAAATTGGACTTGATGCAAGACTAAAACCCCTGGACCCTCAAATTAATTCTGCTTCACAGGATGGGATAATCACTGAAATGAGTTCGAGGCATTTTTTCTCTCCTGACCAGCACGGGCTGGAGGGATCTGTTACCTGCAAAGTTTGTCCCAAGGATCAGATAAACTTCTCTTTTTCTTGCAACCTGGAGGCACTATTTTGCAAGAGACAGCAGAGGAGCAGCATCCCACGTGCCGTTGGTGCTTTCAGGACACTGCTGTGGCTCCCAGAGTTTATCAGTGAACTCCCTGCACTGGAGCATCAGTTTCCCACCGACCCAGAGCACCCAGTGCTCTGGAACACCAGAGCACCCCCAGCTCCAGCTGCCGTCCAGAGGGGAGCAAAGAGAAACCCCACCTAGCAAAGAGAAATAACCTGAGCAGGAGGCGCTTCTGCCTCCTAAGCAGTATCTCCAAGTATCTTTAACTGCTGCAAAAGCAAGTAAACATTGATATTGTTATCTGGAGGGAGGCTGTTGACACCAACATGCTTGACTTTGCAGGCTGAGTGCTGGCAGGGGCCAACAGCAGCTCAGCGGAGGGGCAGTCCTGCTAAGGCACTGTGACCCCTCTGCTCGACTTTGCAGGAGACTCTGCAAGGATAAGGGATGAAGCTGGACTCAAATAGTGTCTGAGCACTCAGCTGATTCATATTGCAGATAGAAGAAGCTTTCACTGAAGACTTGCTAATGGAAAGCCAAAAGTGCCACCCCAGCAAGGGAAACTGTGCCACCTCTCTCTCTGTCTCTTGGCAGTGAAATTTGTTCTTTCCCATTTACTAGTTCTGGCATTCAATGCTAATCAAACCCAACAGAAAACAAGTTTTTGCTTGCTCCTTCCTTCCTTTCTTTCCTCTTCCTCCTCCCTGAACTATTTTCCTCCCATATTCTCTCTCCTTCACAAACCAGCAGAAAGCTGGGTCTGTTAAGGAATTTTATTGCCTTGGTAGAAACTCTGCAAATCTACATAAGCAGAAAATCTTGTCACGTCTCCTCCCAAACTGAAAAGGAGAACTAAATGAAATCCCACTGGGATGCTCTGGCTACCTCAGTGTAACAAGGTTCAGCTTAAGCTGCTTGTTTCACTTGCTGCATTGCCTGGTTTTAATCCAATTTGGTTTGGGACACATAAAACAGCCGCTTTTCCACCCTCCAGGACACAGCGGGTGCAACCAGAGCCGAGCAAAGCACTGGCTGGTCCTGCCTCATGTGCACACACACCAAGCTGTGCTCACTTCTTGGCTCATGCTTTAGCACTGCCTTTTGTCATCTGCAACATTTTTGATTGTCAAAATGTCACCTGAGTCGGTGCCAACCAAGAGCTGAAGTGCGATGGTTGGTGCTACGGCAGCAAAGCCCCCGTGATGCGGAGGCCGGGGTTGCTCATCCCCTCTTGGTCACCCCATGGATTTCCACAGCCCAACACCAGATCAGCCCTGTTAGAGGGACACAGGGAGGACAGCCCTTCTCTGAGAGCACAGCTCTGAGTCCAGCTTCCCTTCCCCACCAGCCGCCCCTCTGGCACCACACCTCCACAGGCAGCAGGGGCTGGATTGATTCCCTCCAAGCAGCTCCACAGCCAGCTCTGTCCAGCACTGTGCTGTCCCCCAGGCCTCCTTCGACAGGAATTACAGTTAAAAAGGTGCTGCCCTGCAACAGCCTGGAGAGAAGAACGTTAAGAAATGCCCGAGCACAGCTCCGAGCAAGCCGTGGCTGCAGCAGCCACAGCACTGCCCGGCTCTACCTCTCGCCTCCCACCAGACTCTGCAGGAGCTGCCAGGGGGCCGCCCTGCTCCACAATAACAAAATCTTCCCAGAGACAGAGGCAGAAATAGCCACAGAGTGGCTCCATGCCTGAAACACCAGCAAACAGCTCAGCCTCTCGTGACAGCTGCCCTGCACGGTGAAGAGACACTGATTTGTTCCTTCCTTCCATCCCAGAATCTGCCCCTTTGACTCCAGACAGAGATGAGCAAATATTTAATTAACACGTTTGACCTTTTATCAGCGCTCCATGCTGATGGCTTTCTGCACACCAGTTAGGTGTGCTTCCCTGCAGCCTGCTGCAAACCTGGAAATAGAACAGCGTTACAAGGCTTCTTCGCATATCTTTGAACATTTTCTGAAATTTTGGATTTGAAAACTGAGAACATGAAAGAGTCATCTTCCATTATTGTTTTAATAGCGTTTAAGTTTGTATCTCTTACTCCTGTTGAGTTATATAAAAGTAGAAAACAAGTGTTACCTAGAAAGTCAAAAGTCAAAGGATTCAAATCAAAACATTTGTTCCTGTGTATGTTTCAAATCTTCAAGATTTCTTGTGGTAAGACAGGGTTGGAGTTGACTGAACATAAATGATACCTCAAAATAGCTGAGAGCAAAGAGAAGAGAGCATCCTGCTCCTTCTGGTTTAGCTGGCATTACCAGAGACCTCACCAGTGTCATTCTACCAGCCCTTATTTTCCTGATTGCTGTTAAATGCCAAAAATTCTCATGTCAGTGAGTTATTTTCAGTTTAAAGGATATCCCAAGTGTATGGCCTGACCCTTTCCCTTCCCCTCACCTGGCCAGAGCAGGATGGTTCAGCGAGGATTCCTCATTCAATAAACACATCCATTATCTCAGTCTGAAGCTCAGTGTGACTTGGAGGTGATAGCAAGCAGGAGAAACCTCACCTGCATAAGGGAAGGCTTGGTTATGGTCACAAGACATGCAGTGTATGTCACTGAGGCCTATTTTTAAAGTACAGCAGCACCAGTTATAGTTGATAATGATAAACATTTTATTCTTATATAAAAATATAGGAACAAAACACTATACAGAAAAATATAAAGTTAAGTGGAGATCTTCACAGTCTCATTTGAGACAAACAGGATCACACTATGCGAGCCCCAGACTTTCAAAAATAAAATTACCCTGGCAGTTGAAGTGGTGGCACGTCCAGAGGCAGAGGTGTGCTGAGGGATAAGCTTCTAATACAGGGAGTTTGTCCTGCAGCCTCCAACATCCTTGCAAGTTTGCTTTTGTTACAGAGAAAATGGAACTCAAGTCCTCCTTCATGGTCTGACCTGGAGATAAACGTTCTTCCAGCCCTCAGAGTATTTACAGCAAGGTGCTAAGAACCCCCTGGCCAGCACACATCCCCAGGCTGCGACCCCACGCCATGGGCTCACATTTACACAAACCACTGGCTGCACAACACTCACACAAACACGACTGGAAGCTCTCTGTCACCAGCTGCGAGCTGGAAACGATGACTTGGGAAGGCAAAAGTCAGTGAAAGGCAAGCTGATGAAATCCCTGAGCTTCTAATAGTTCCTCAAAACAGAAAAAACCCAACTCCCCTTCCCCAGACAACAAGAGCAGCCAGCATTCTTTTCCAAGGTACTGGCTGTTTCACTACATTCCTGTCTTTAAGGGAGACACTGAAAACTGCAGCAGCCAACAGTGTAAGAATCATCTCCCTCCTCTTCACCTGTACTCCTCCAGTACTATTTTCATCTTCCACAACCAAACTGCCCCAAGTTTGCTTGCAGGTGCAGCAGGAACAAGAGGAAGGAAAGGAGAAGGCAGAGAATTAAGGCATTACAGTGCAAATTATATGCTCATGGGGAAAAAAAAACAAACACAAAAGAAGAAGGTTCTCTGTAGATTTTCCAAGCCTCTCCTCTCCCCTGCCTCAAAACAGGGTCGGTCTTTGTCAGGGAATAAGTTCCAACTGACCCTAGACCTTCAAACAGAAGGTGGGAGTGTGTTCCCCACAGCAGTGAACTTGCTGTCACTGTATCAGAACGCCTACCAGATGCCAACATCACCACCTTTTCATCACCCACTAATCACGGCAGGACTCCACCAGAAAGTGCAGTGGGAGTTTCAGGTCTTCAAGTTCCTCTTCTATTATTCATTTGTAGCAGAGATTTGCAAGTCCCTGTGCTGTATTCACAGTGGAAAAAAAGTGCAGCAACACATGTTGGAGACACTCCAGGAATTACTGCTGTGCTGAGGCAGCTTGTGGAGTTTAACTAAAGAAAATTGACCGAAGAAGAAAGAAGGGCAGGCCTAAAGAGGAAGACAGAGAAAGAAAGGAATCGCTCCAGGCACCAGCACATCCTAGTTCCTGCCTACTGCCAGAAAGATGCCGTAATGGATCCTGTCTCCTGTAAGCAGCACGAGCAGCAGTTGTGTAGCGTTGATCAGCAGCATGTTTGGACAGTATGTGGCAGGTGTAGGGACAGTTCACTGCCACCTGTAGATATTCACCACCTTCTCTGTCAGAGTAGCCAGGAGGTGGGTTTGGTTCACTTCCAAGGGGCAGATGTCCAGCACAGGCAGGTCAGCCGGCAGCCTCTGCAGCAAGGAACCACTTCCAGCATCCCAGAGCTGTGGGAGGGACAGACAAGGTCAAGGTCTGCAGGATTCTCCCCTCCCACCCAGAAGAGACCTTCCTCTCTCCAGAAAAGACTTTCCTCAGATCACTTACAGGACCCTTTCTCTACTTCCACACCCTACCTGAATGGTTTTTAACAGACTCACAGCATGATGCCACCGTGACCACTCACTCTGACCCCCCTCATGAGCTCTCCTCCTGTTCCCTGTCATTCCTGAAGAGCCTGCATCCTTCCTGCACAGCACTTACCACATTAGCTACCCCACCAAGCCTGTTACACCACTTAGAGTGCCCAGCTGTGCCAGTGTGCCCAACCCCACTCCTCTGGGGGACAAGAGGGGCTCACTGCCTGCACACTTTTCCATGGATGGGGACCACAGGCCCTGGCTATCAGGAAGTTACACCGGCTACAGAAGCACAACAGACCAACCAGCACAGGGTGATGTCTGTGACAAGACAACTCCCACCAAATCCCGTTGATGCTGTGACTGATGATGCTCCTCTCCTATGAATTGCAATAAAACCCCCCAGCACACTGAAAGGAGCAAGAGATACCAGGGCAGAGTTGGACGCCTCATCACCAGCACACACAAAGACGCTCCTGTCCTCCTCCGGGCTCTGGAAAATGGCATTTTTGGTCAGCAACTTGCAGGTGGGCCCGGCACTGAAAGTCTGAACCGGGTTAGAACACACCACATTTTCAGAGGCCTCTGTCAGTGGGCTGCAAGTCAGTTCCATCATCACACAACGCACGCACGGGTTATTTTTACCTGTGTGGTAGAAATACAGAGGTAACCTTTGGAAAACGTACTCACAGGTAGGTTTCAGCTGCAGGAATACAAGCAGCACCACCCTGCAGCCGCCTCCTTTTGCCCTTCCCCAGTTCTTATCTATGTGCTCATTGCTCTGGTGGGGGCAGATGCTGCATTTCTGCTGTGCCCCAGGGCTGGTGCTGAGCTGAGCCCAGCGCAGTGAGTGGCCCTGCAGACACCTCATTACGTACCAGGCCTGTACGTGGCCAGGCAGTGCCGTGTGTGGATCTCTGTCTGGATGTCGATGCAGCCTCCGGGCTCCAGGGGCAGGTGATGAGGCCGGTAGGAGTTGCCAGCTCTCTGTTCCCAAAAGCAGGCTCCTTCCAAGGTCCCAGCCAGGATCCCGCCGTGAGGCAGCGACGCTGAGGCCATGCGGGGCAGGTAGGACAGTGACACCATGGGGCACCTGCCAGGGGGGATGGCAAGGGTCAGTGCTGCCAGCTGCAGCTCTGCTGGCATCCTGCTCCCTGCTGCAGAGCTCCAGCCTCTCCAGCTGCACAGCAGAGAAAGGGCTTGGGAAAGCAGGAACCCCAATGGTGTGTCAAGTATAAATGAAACTCAACTTAACTACCGAGCCTTCTGTTTTACAGAGCATCAGACAGCACACATCAGATGAGTGCAAATCAGTGTTTGATTCCTGGAGTACAAGGGACAGAAGTAGCAGAATCTCACACCTTTGTGTGATTTGTCCAAGTTAAATACTAAACCCAGCTCCAAAACAAATTCAATCCTCCTGCTTACGCTGCACCAGGGGGTCCATTTCTGACCCCTGTGTGCCTTAAAAAGAGCACAAGTGCTTGGCACCTGTGTAAGTTGTATATACACATGATACATGTGCTAAATGTGGATTTTTGAGCAAGAGATTCACATAAACCAACTGAAACCACTGCAATCGCTGTGTGAAGCTGTGTTTAACTTAATGCACGTTAGTTGAGAGGAATGACAAATCCTTATGCTATACCTGGACCTCTGAGGGACCAGCTCTTGGACGTGAGAGTTCGTGTCCCTCAGATCATAAATCATGATAGAGCCATTGACCAGTCCAGCGTAGACATAGTTGGTATCATCGAGACACCAGCAGCAGCTCCAGACAGGACGGCCAGCGTTGTATGTCTGCACCACAGTGTTGGTTGCCAAGCTGCAGAAGAAAAGCAAAGTGTTGGCTGGTTGCACAAGCATCTACTGATGAGAAAAAAGCATAATTAAGGTAAGCAAATCCAGCTTTTTAAAGTCTTTAGACAGAAGCATCTCTCTTTAGACCAACTTCTCAATTAACTCCTTTACTCCAGACATGAATCTGGAAAATCTAAACAGAATAATCCCTTGGATATTGTCAAGTGATTTATAATTCTTCCAGGCCAATGCTTCTTTTTCCAGATTGATCTTTGGAGACTGGGAGAGGAAATCTCACAGCAGGGTCTCAGCTGCCTTACTGGCAAGAGAAAGCAAAGTTACTTTTCTGGAAACAATTAGGAGAAGTGACTCTGGTGTAATCCCGTAACACCACATATTCCTGAGATCACAGGGCTCATCTCTTCAGATTACATCTCTCATTAATTACTTCCCCTCTTTTTACACAAGAGGAACAGTGCTTATGCCTCAAAAGAACCAATTTAAGCAAGAGCGAGACAGGGAGTGGGGTAAGAACAGTTGAGAGCACATTTACAGTGTTAATTCTTCCTTCCACAAATTGAGTTTATAAAAGGAGAGGAGTACACAGAGAGGCATAACCCAGAACAGCAGATGAAGCTGCTATCAGATCAGGGATTTGCAAAGGGCAGCTTTGTCAACATGGGTTTTGCACAGCATGACACAGAAGACAGCACATATCAAAGGAACTCTGGATATCCTTTACAGCACGGGGGCTTCTCCCTGGGGGAGGGGATTACACTCTGGACTCCAGAGAAACAGTAACTGCCACAGGTAAGTCCAAGGGCAACAACTACAAGGACAAAACCTACCTGGGGAAAGAGAGAGTTGATATCAGAGCAGTGACTGGGTCAAAACAACAGGACAAAAAAACCCAAAACAAACCCACAGTGCTATTTTAAACAATTGCAAGCCAGAGCAGGAGATATAAAGACATCTTGGATAATTCTTTTTTGTAGGATGACTCTGAAATCAGGAACTAGAGAAGAAAGGTGACCAAAGAAAGAATATTCTTTCAGACAGAGACTGAAAAAAGTACGAAGATGCCACTGAAGCAAGCACCTAACTCCAAGACATCCTGGGATCAAGCACAAAAGAGGATCACAAGCTCCAATGCAGCCAACCAGGCAGTGAGAGACAGATATGGGAGTCAAGTGTCTGAGCAGACACTGTAATGAGGAGCCACTCTCCAGTTTAACCATCAAAAGAGTATCAAGATAATCAGTCAGAAATGTGACACATTGACTTCGGTATCAGAGACAGCTCTGTTTGCTTTTAACCAGTCACAGGAAAGCAACATTCCATACATTTGTGCTGCAGGATTAAGTTCTCTTCATTGCTTCACTAGTGAGAAAGAATTGGGGCTAATCAGTCAAACAACAGACCCCTGTCCTGCCCAACCTGGTAGTGACAGCACAAAGATGTTAATATAACTCAGTAAGAATCAATCAGCCAATGAAGCTTTGAAGCAGTGTAAGATTAAGACTGAAGAGCAGCAGAGTAGCAAGAAAACACACTCATAGGCTGCAAATTCTAGCAGGACCGGACACATTTTTGTCTCACTCTCTGCATAATTGGTCTCCAACCTGCTGGTTTAAGTATCTGCCAGCCTAGAGAGCCTCTAGCACATGCTGTTTATGCATTTCATACCCCAGATGAATTCCATGCTCTGCAACAAGTTTAAAGTCTGAGAAGCCAACGTCAGGCTGTGCAAAGAAGGAAAGAGCACAAGCTGAACACCCCTTGTTTCTGCTTTATGCTTACACAAGTTCCCACACTTAGCATTTCCCTGCAGTAACAGAAAGCCATGTGGACAGTAAATTTCACGTCTATACATGATGCTACATTTATTCTCTCCACAATTTGGCCAATCCCTGCTGAATTACTTGTTTCCCACCCAGTTCTCCCCAGGAAAACTATCACGGAGAGGCAGCTCCATAACACCTCCACCTAGAAGATGCAAAAGCATCGATAAGTCCTTCCCTCTGTTAGGGAAGAGGAAGAAGACACAGACCTGATCTCATCCTTGCAGCATCTTTCAGAAAGCAGACTAGCAAGTGGTGCAAGGCATTTCTAGCAAGACAGAACAAAACCCAGAAAACCAAAGCCCACGGGGCCAGGGCTCACCTGGTGAGTCTGAGAGTGCCGTCCAGAGCAGCAGAGAGCAGCAAACCATCCGCTCGAGTGCCGAAAGCCAGGCCCCGGATCTGCTTGCTGTGGATGGGGACGTACTGAGTGCTCTTCATGTTGGCCAGGCTCATCATCTTCACACCACAACCTGTCACAGCAGAAGGACAACGAGGGTTGTTGTGAAGCAGCACACACACACAGGACTTGCTGTTCTGTGCCAGAACTGCAGCCTGTGCTGGGATGAACACGTGAAAGTTATTTGCTGTCCTGGGTAAGAACTGCCACAGACCATTCTTTAAGTCAAATGGTAACAAGGCTAAGTCCTTAAGGATCCCAGCCACCACCAGCAAATTCAGTATCAGTGTTACAATTCCTGTTACAAGGCCTGCTGCTCTTTAGCCAGCTTCTTCAAAGACACCCTTGCCCAGATAAAACCACCCAGAGCAGGATTGCATGGCTATTTAAGAGAACAAGTGTCACAGCAAAGAATGGTTACAGGTGAACTTAACCTGCGTGCTACAAGAGCCACCACAAAGCCTCCGTTCATTCATTCATTCATTCCTTGGCCTCAAAGGCCAGAAAAATAAGACCAGTTGAATGCAGAAAACCACTTTGTTCTGCCTAGATAAGGCACATTAACCTCAAACGCATTAACCAAATAAAGCGGGTTTCGTCATTCCGAAAGCATTTTGCAAATAAACGCTCTCAGACTCCCACTGCCACATCTACTGCCCTGAAAAAGCAACTGGCACTGGTCCACATGTCAGGTCACTGCCCTCTGGACATAACAGTGAGACCAAACCAGGGCTGCCCATGACTTCTCAGCTTCCTATTCCCTCTTTAGAAAACAGTGCTCCTAGCATTCATATTAAAAGAGGTTTGCTTTTTGGGGGGGGGAGGTTTAAGAGTATTGAGCAATCAGCTGCATATGGATCAATCCACCTACAGTTTGGGGAGCAGTGTTTCTCATTTAACCACTGGAAGCTTCTCTGCTTCTTTCAGAAGACCCACCTTTGCAAAGAGCACCAGATACATGTTTTGCCTTCTTGTGGATATGGCACTCCAGCAGTGGAGCCAGAGACCCTCTGCTAGGATTCTGTCATAGAAGAGCCTCGGGAAATGAGCTTCTTTGCTAGGCAGAAGCTACCAATGCAGGGCCAGATGAATTAGGGGGAGTCTTATGAGTATACTCAGTTTACAAAGCACGTGCAAAGGTCAAGCAGAGAAAGTGGGGAAAAGGGAGCAACAAGAAAAGACATTTAACTTTCACTTATGAACCTCCGAATCTTAACTTGCTTAATTACCAGGAATGAAAGTGGACTGTGGAGAAGGCTGTGACACCACGAGGCAGCTCAGGAAGTCGCAGTATGCCATCACCCGGCAGTTCCCAGTCTGAGACACCAACACCGCCTTCTCCAAGAGGTACTTGCGCTGGCTCTGGCTGGAGGGGAGGCTGCCTGGGAGGCAGGGCCGGGAGCTGCAGGCTTGCTGTGAAGTGCTCCCATTGTGCTGGGCCACCAGGGCCTTCAGCTCCTGCAAAGGAAAAAACCCCAAGAGCTTTAATGCCTGCCCAGCGCTGTAACTGCTGCGCTTCCCTCTCCAGGTGCTCCAATGCACTGCTCTCAGACAAAGGGGGACAAAACGGTCCCATTTCCGTGCTGCTCCTGAAGTGCTGCATTTCCAAGGCCATGGCCTGTGACAGCAACAGAAGCATTCAAATGCTATGCAAGTTGTGGCAGAATGTACTCCAAGTCTGTTATTGCATGTATTACACCCCGTGCAAGAGAGGGCTCTTGGGCAACACATAAAAGCCAGTACCAATTACCAGATCAATGCTGTCGAGAAGAGAAGGAACTGCCAAGTATTATGTGCTGCTAAACCACAAGAGAAAGTCAATTAAAACCATTTTCCAGAATTTCCAGAATACCCCATAAAAAAATAAAAGCCCAAGTTTCAACATAAAGGGCGTTGCAGGAAACAAGTCAGTCTATTTAATGACGACGACCCTGTTCTTGTAAACCCTGGGCAGCAAATTCCAGGAATGACACAACTCTCAAGAGCTCCAGTCCTGTTTTCCACCACCTCCTCCCCCCTTCTTCCTCCACCTCAATTGATGAATGCTCAAGGATGCTCAGCAAAGGCATGGCCAAGAACAGCTTCCACCAGCAGCAAGGTACTCCTTGAATTCCTTTTTCTACAGAGATCATCGGGGGTGAGGTGGGAATTCAGGTAGTGGCACTGGCATATTGTGAGTCACCTAAAAGTGCACCCTCCCAAAAAGCATTTTGACCATCTTTTATCCAAGGTCAAAAGCAGACGGTACAGAACCCCAGGGACACTAAAGACAGGGGTATATACAAAGAAAGTTGCTACTTGCTTTCTGTTGTCTGAGCAACACAGATTAGGCTTCAAACACTATGTAATCTTTAAACAATTAAGGGCCACAAGAGTGATATTATGAATATATCAGTAATTGCAAGTCAGCCTCAGTACTGAACCAGCCACCACCGCTTAACTCCCATCGAAGCAAAGGCAGCAGTTTTCAAAGAGGCAAGATCAAAGATCAAGCTCTACATTAATAGTTATCAAGACCTCTAACTTTTGGAAACTGCTCAAGAGGAGAGCAATTCTGACACCTTACAGACGTCTGATGACCTGCTTTGCATCAAGCACATTGCAAATTCCTCAAGGGAATATAAAAATTAAAAAACAAAATAAAAATCAAAGCTGGAGACTCAAGATGATCCCATTAGAGTGAGCAAGACAAAACAAGCTGGGTGAGGAAGAAGGGCTGTGGGGGTTGCCAGGATGGAAGCTCCAGCTTCAGGCTTAGGGTAAGCACTGAAAACACAGGTAACTTAGAAGAAAGTTACTTTTAATAAAAATTTCATAACCTCATTATTTCTAAAAGGGGGATGGAGGCGACCACCACCGAGGATCAGAAGAGATTAAAATTATTTGTTGCTCTGGGGACCTTACAAAACTCTCCTTGTCACCTGCACTCAACATTCAACTTTCCCACAAGTTATTAAAAAGGAAACCAGGCAATTAAAATCACAGGGACTATTAGTGCAATGTTTACATTTAAACACAATGCACAAACCCAGCAGAATCAGGAAGTCTTACTGGAAGCACATTACCAAGGTGATTAAAAGTGTTGTGCTCCAGACAAATTCCACTAATTGTGCTCGAAAGAAGGCTCTGTTGGTAACATGAAGCTACACCTTCCTTGAGATGCTTTGCAGAGTTTTCCTGATGCCTGGTGTTAACCAAGGGCCTTGAGGGCAGACTCCACTCCCTGCACAGCTCTGACTGTCTCTACATCTCATCTCACCCCTGCAGTGATGAATGAACAGTCACACAGGTGGGGGAAACAAAAGCCTGCACAGCACAAGCCTTCCTGAGGAGCATGCCTGAGAAGCAGCAGCAGGAGAGCACAATGAATAGGAAAGGAAAACCACCAGCTGCAATAAATTCACAACAGGTTTGAGTATCAGGTTACAGCCTTCATAGCTGATATGAAGCATTAAAGACAAAGGCAGGTATCAGATGTCACTCCTGCTGTCCCCCACAGACCTCTTACAGAGGCCACCCCTGCCACCTCACACCACACAGCCCCAGCCCTGCACCAAAGACAGAAACCCAGGACAGGACAGCCCCAGGCTGTGGTGCAGCACTGCAGCCACCCCACCTTCCACCTCCCTTTGGGGCTCACGTTCAAACTCAGGCTAAGGGACACGGAGCATTTTTATCTGCCTTAACTATCCAAGCAACAGCAATGAAATATCAGCCTTTACTACCCCAGACATCAACTGGAGGTGAACACAAAGACCATAAAGATGAACAATCTTTATGCAATAAGACCATTAGCCTAATTTCTTTTCTAGAGGTATTAGATACACAAGTTCTTATTGATATTTCACTATCCAATTTTTTTTTTTTGGGTGCTCTGGAAATCCTATTTTAAAAACGCTTTTCCATTACATTGAGCAATATAAACTAATCCCTGCAAGGCTCACAATTACATTTGCTTTCTTCTCCACAACAGCCTGCAGTCTCCTGTCGTTTCCCTGCTAGTTGTCCCTTTCCTGCTCCATATCCAAACACAGCTACTGCTTTCCACTTGCAAAAATGACTCTTCTACCCCAGCTGATCAGTGGTATTAATGCCAGCAGCCAGAAATAGTTTGCTTGTTGTTAGCTAACTTTTACTGGAAACGCTGGCAGGTTCAGGGGGAGCACTGCAGCAGCTCACATCCCATTCCCAAGTTCTTCCTGCTGCCAAAGGAAAAACTTTAGGTAAAAGTGAGGTGTCGGTAGCACTGTCTCCAAAAGGCAAGCCTGAAGCTGCCACACAGGATGCAGAACACAGCTCAGCACAGCCCACGCTCCAGGTTTACATATGGAAACACTGCTGAGGGCTTTCTTCCAGAGCTTTAGTTAGCAACCTCCCCTCAACTTCCTTTCCTCATTTATTTTCATATAGCTCAAGGCTTAAAAACCATCCATTTCCTAGTGTCAATCACGTCACATCCTTCAATAACAAAGTACAGTGGACAAGGTGGTTAATGGACAAGAGCAGGGAAAAACACAAACAAACCTAAAGAAAGGTCACAACTAGAGCCATGACTGCTGCTGGGGCACAGCTCAAGAGCATTAGCAAGAAAAAGAGGTTCACAATGGCTTTTGGGGGGAGTCCACACCCTGAGCAACACAACCCTACACTGGAATCACCCCATTAAGGTTGGGACACAAACCTCCAGGGGTCCCTCCTAACCCAAATGCTTCTATGCAAGTACTTTCTTTATCAGATGACATCTCATAAAGCAAGGAATTCATTAGGCATTTGCTTAAAATATCATCAACAACTTAAAAGACTTATTCCAGACTTCCTGCTGATTTTTCTTTTTGCTCCCCAGCAAATTGTTTTACTTTCAGTTTATTCGTAGTATAAACAAGCACCTTAAAATTGCTTCCAGCATTTGCATTAACCACTACAGGACAGTGATGAATGCAGTCTAAATACTGAAACAGAGCTTATAGAACACAGGGTACTTAATCTTTATAACATGAAGCTTCAATTCAGTTAGACTGGATACTCTATCATTTAACACCAAATGAATTGCAGGAGAACATTATGGACCTGCACTTTTATCTTCTTCGCATTTTTCTTAAGCCAAAGCTTGAAGGGGACCAATTTTCTTGTTAGTGCTGATGAGCATACAGCTCCATGCAGGGAACTTAGGCCATTTATAAAGCCTTATCTTACATCAGACAGGAAAACATCAGCAAAGAGGATGGTGTTTAATGTACAGATACGAATAGCCAAGGCTATAAAAAAAATCCAGGAGTAAAGCATAATATTAATGGGTTACCAGACAGTGAGAGAATAGATATCACCTACTCATATAACAAAAGGTAATGAACTGGCAATGAAACAGGTTCATGAAAAACTCAGCACTGGTGGAACACACCAGCTAATTCCCACTTGGAAGCACCAGTAGAGTCCACAATTTATAGGAATCCTGCAAAAGCAGCTGGGATGGGTTACAAAATACCCAGTAAGTATTGCATAAGCCAGAAAGGAAGCAGTTCAGCAACTGGTCATTTACTGTCAGTAATTTGTATTCTAAGGGGACAGAGGTGCCTTTCAGCAGCTGCTCTGCCCGTGCATACAGCCTGCCCTACTGACAGGCCAGGTCCCAGGGTACCAGAAGGTGCTAAACTAGAATGCTGACTGACCTGCCAAAAAAAAAAAATTAGATGTTTTCTTGTTTTGTTTTCTCTTGATTTTGCAAATGCATATCTCTTGACAAACTGCTTCTAAAAGGCTCTTGAGAATAATTACTGATAATAGGTCCTATTACAGGTTTACTGTAGAGATTTTTCAAAGCTTCTTTTGATGCAACTACAAGAGAGATGAGGAGGATAAGTCTGGTTCTCCATTACCAGGCCCTTCCAGGCACCACAAAGCCTCAAGAGGAACCTGCAATGTCAGCAGCCAAACAACTCTACTGCTAGGCTGCAACTTCAGCTAAGTCTTAAATGCACACAAAGTCAGTCGGTGTTACGTGGCACATCCCTGAATATGCCAGCCTGAGATACCCACCAGCCTGGCACGATTCACCAACCGAGTTTACCACATCTTTCTGCTCATTAAAACTGCAAGCCTGTGTTTTCTTCTCTACAGGAACCTGCAAAAACAGGGTGAAGAGGAAGGGAATCCTTTGTGTGTAAGTATCCTGAGACTCACCTGAACTTGCCTGCGGAGTTTGCTGCATTCATCCGTCAAAACCTGGAGCTGGAGACGGCTCTGCGCAGATTCCAGCTCCGCCTGCCTCCGCAACAGCTTCTCCTTTTCCAAAGAGCTGCAGGAGGAAGACAAAAGCAATCCTTAGGAGTGGGTATTATCCAGGATGCTCCTCTGGGCTGTCAACACCTGTCCTCTGACTGCATCCCAACACGAGTCCTGTTCAGGCAAATCCACAAGTGACAGAAAACCTGGTACCGCACTCACCCAGTGCGCTCACTGTTATGCAATTGTTCTGAATGACTCACTCAAGCACTGTTCCACAGGAACAACTGCTTTCTCCTCACCATCTTCAAAAGCACTAATTTAGTAGAGGAGAGTGAAAGAGAAACCAGGTTTGTTTCCCCTAAGAAACACTTCAGCAAATCCTGTACCATCAGTGTCCATGTAATATACTGTGTCAGTGATAGCAGCAGTCACAACACAGCAAGATCTGCAAGCTTGTCTCTGCTACCAGTAACTAATTGTGTACTTCAGGAAAACACATCTGTAACAGAAACAGAGTGACACACAGAAATTCTCTGTGAATGCCCATTTATAAATAAGCCACACTTACTGCCTCACCTTGAGCCTAAAAGTGCATACACATCATTTAGCAGCAGCAGTTTTGATAAATTACTTGAACTCCTTTTCCATGCAGGCTTATATGAAGGGATAGTTAAAGTACTCCTTAAAAATAGCTGTACATTTAGTCTATGATGTTGACCACTGTGTTCTGCACTCTAAAAGATGTAATATTCCAGTTATTTCAGTAGTTCATGTGCAGGGAGCTGCAGCTTGCCTAAGTATTTTCCAAATGCACTGACCTAGCCTTGCATGTTCACAAAGCACAGAATTCTGTCATTTCCATATAGCTTTCTCATGCGATTTTTTTTTCCCTGCAGAAGAAACAGCTGAAATGCTGTATTTAAGCAGCACAAACACATTCTTTACACAAGTACCCAGAGCCCCAAGACTGGTGGTTTTTACTGAACATGAAGAACAAACCCCATGATCTTACACCTAATTCAAGGCTACATGCAAACAGCACTGATGTATGCACACACACACACCCCTGCTCCACTCGTGGCTCTGTGCCACAAAGCAGCCACTGCCAGCAGCCCCAGGACCCACAGGCAGTCACTGCCTCCCAACAAAAACAGGAGGCAGAGGAGGGGCAGGGCAAGTGGGGAAGGGCTGCAGCGACTCTGAGACACGAGCAGCAGTCAACTGGCTCTGCATGAGAGGTAAAATGCAAACACCCAAATGCCTTCTGTGCTTTTGACAAAAAATCTTCCATGCTGTTTATTTTGCCGTGTCAATCCAGTAAAAGCAGCGTGACCCTTCTAAAGGTACAGTTGAAACACCACCAGGCACTGCCAATCTGGACAGAAGAGAGATTCTTCCCTTCATGACCATTACTCCTCAATCATTTCTGATCAATAATTACCAGGATAGTGAGGTTTCTGTTGAAAGACTGCCTTGGAATAACAGTGGTATAGTTACAGACACGTGAAGAAACCCCAATTAAATTCTATTCACCACAAGATTCAGGAGAACTTTGATATCTGCAGCCTTTAATTTCAGAATAGTATCTTACTGAAAAGAAATTCATCCCCATTTTCATACCTGCTTTTTCTCTTTTCAATACAAAGTCTGCATTTAGGTTGGAAGGGGAAGTAGAGTCATAGTAATGCCTGCTGACCTTTTTCAAGTAAAGCTACATGAAGAGTTTGACAAAGCAAGACGGGAAGTGATTCATATGAGTGACTACTCTGTTTAATGCATGCAGAAAAGATGGCAGGAAAGGTCAGCTATTCACCCCCTTGCACTCCTAACTATCCTTGCTGTTCCCATCTAACGATGAATTAGCAATATACAGCTTTTTGGCATCAACTCTGCATGTTCTCCCATGGGAACATTTCAGGATACAGCCCAAGGTACCTTTTGCTGTTTCAGGGCCACAAAACACAAACTTGAGAATTCTGCTGCAAAAGAAAATTAGGACAGGTGCAACACAGCAAGGCCTTGCTTTTTTTTAAGCCAGCCATACTCCTGATAAACCCTAAGGGCATGCACAAATTGCTTTAGACAAACAGAGGATATTAAAGCATGCAGCAGAAGCCAGGGTGCAGCTTTCAGTGCCCCTGGAGCCCCGGTACCTTCTCATGCGCTCCTGCTCGGCGGTGTCCAGCGCCTTCAGCGTGCGGGCGTAGAGCACCACGATGTCCGAGCGCTTGGCCTTCTTGTTGCACTGCAACACAACACAAGCTCAGTTCACCTGCAAGAACTCCACCGTCCAAACTGTGCGTCCCTACGAGTCCCTAGAAAAAAATTTTTGAAAAAATCCTCATAGCCTTGAAGGCTGGGGTTGTCTACTGGGCAGCGAAGCCACAAGGATTTACACAGAGTGTTTGCAGGACCTCTCCCATACAGACAGCAGAGCTCTAGTCGGGGCCACAACAATAGTGTAGGTCACACATCCTGCTGCACCTTCAATAATCCATCTCCCTGCTTCCTATTAAATCTATTCTGCTCACACACCAGCAAAGCAGCATCGTCAGGTAAGTTCCTAGGATGAAATAAAACAAAATCAAACAAAGAGGGGGAAGAAAAAAAGATCTAAACCAAAACACCAGCCCAATCCCTGGTTTGAAAACACCAAGACGGGCTGCTTGTCCAACAGACAAGGATTTAGGAACCCCTGAGTGCACTCTTAACTCTGTTATTTCTGGACTAATCAAACCCTACAGGCACAAATACATAAAAGCATTCCAGTGTGAGTATGAAACACTGACATCCCACTGATTTCAGTGACACATGGGGAGTCCGATATTTCAATTATTTTGTGCATCCAGCTGCAATGATTTAAATACTTTAGATTCACCTCAAAAAGAAGGGATAATACTCCCTCTCGAGTCAGGAACTGCAGATGCCATAATTTCTTCCAAGCTTACAGTTTCACAAACAGACTTTGTTGATCAGGAAAGGGGCGGTGAATACTTAGATCAGTAACCTGTGCTGAACATTAAATTACTATGTGTGCTTCAAATGCACACTCCTCTATTATTTAGCAGCACGAAGATATCACAGGCAATGGTTTCAGAGCAGACAACCCCCCTCCCTTTGTAAAGAGCTGCCTTGCAGAGCAGGAAGGGGCTAAGGCAGTTTTCCTGGCAGCCAGCAGCTGTCAGTGGCAGGATCAGGAATGCTGCAATTTCACAGTAACTTGCACTCAAGCCACTTAGTATACAGAGCACCACGCACAGCAACTCTGGGCTATTCAACCAGAGAAGGCCCAGCCACAAAGGACAAACGAGGGGAAGGTGATTTTGCTGCAAGGTTCCCTCCAGAGTAAGTTCTCCTAGGAACTTTTTAGTAATTATATCACTGGAAGAGAAAGGGGGAGCAAGCACCCCTTGTAAGTTGTTAGGGTTCAAGAAGCAAGCAGTCACAAATTTCCAAAGAGTAGAGATGTCAGGCAGGTCTCTGAGAATACTCTCTGGGCCTGGAGTGGGGAAAGAAAAGCTTACACAGAACTGACAGGGATAAGAAAAATCAGCTTTGGGCCTTCACTATGGCAACGGTGATTCTTTGGGTTTAATCACAGCACACGTCAGGAGGAAGTGTCTTGTTGAGAGGAGGGAATCCTGCACAAAGTCAAGCAAGAATACAGAAGCTCTCAAAATGACAAAGCCAAAGAAACCCTGGGCTTCCAGCCACCGACTCGGCAAAAGGCAGAATTGAATCCTCTTTACAAGGTACTCATTGACCTATTTTTTGTCAACATTCCTTTCTGGAGGAGTAAGGAATGGAAGGACGTCACAGACAGAGGAGTGCAGACCTCATCGAAAGAGATCAGCATTAACCATGGAAAGCAAGCTGAAAAGAGCACCTTCAAAACCTGATTTACCACTTGTAAGTGGACATTAAAGGATGCAGCTTAGTTCTCAGTTCGCTTTCTGCAAGTTTCCTAAACAACCTGGCCCTCCTAAAGGCTGCAAAAGCAGATCAGCTCAAAACAGAAGATTAAGCAACTGAAAACTAGACTTGAAATTCGTCTCTTCCAACCCCAACCATTCTATGATTCTAAAACAGTTCTCAGACAAATTTCTTGTCCAATAACATATTCTTAGGGTCAGTTAATTGCTTCTAGGAATCTGCTACTTCCACTCCAGGTGGTCCTCTCCAGGACTATAGTGGGGTGTTATGAAACCATTTACAGGTTTAGCACTTGCAGTCTCAAACTTCTGCGTCTCCTACTCACAAATGCTCTACTTCAGGGAGAAAACCCAAGTCATAACTCATCCTTTCAAGCAGTGCTAGTTGTTCCTGTCCTAGTAACATCAAAATAATGGTGGGGTTTGTTATTTCTGACAGCAGCTCCTCGCAGCAAGCAGTAACAGTTAGGGTGAGCACCCTGCAGCAGAAGGTACCCGACAGCAGGTGCTTCCCAGTGCACATAAATGCCCATTTTACCTGAGGGCACTTCCCTGCCTGTCCCCTGAGCCACCTGTCAATGCAGGTGTAGCCAAAGAGGTGCCCACAGCGCAGTGCTGACAGCCGGTGCTCCCCAGCGTTGGTCCACTGCTCAAAGCAGATGGCACAGGTGTCTCCTTCCTCCTCATCCTGCGCTGCTGCAGCAACTGAGGGCTCTGCTCCCTTCAGAGGAGTTCTCTGGGGTTCAAAATTAAAAAAAACAACACAACTCTGGTTTAGAAAGTGCAGCATTTATCACATGTCATCTGTCTCCAAAAGCATTCAGTTCACCTTACCTGCTTTTGCTGGACTTCAGCCTCTTCATCTTCACGACTTCCATGTTCTGCAGAAGCTCCAGACAAAGCTTGAAGTGGCTCTGCTTGGGCCTGACTGGAAGCTAAAGAGAGCATTGCTTAAATGAACTGATACTTAAGGGAGAAAAGGAGCTCTCCTGCTCTGATGTGAAATCACTGGGCCATGGGTTAAGCAGTGCAACAACAGCACAGGTTACATACAAAGTTTGAGATCAGTGCCCTGGGCACTGTCTGTGTGCAAGCCCTTCTGAACAGCAACAGGAGTGCTAAAGAACTTTATATTTTCTTTTACAAAAAGCAAGAGAATTTCAGTGAAAAAGGAGAGGTCTTTAAAGGACAGCAATTGCTATCAGAATTTTCTGGCCTGCACGACACAGAGCTGTTCTGTAGCTGGGCTGATTTAGGGTTATATCCCCGCATCATTATGCCCTGAGAAAGACAGACACCAATATGCAGAAGCTGCTTTGCCAAGGGATCTAAGCATGCATATTTCATGTGCCAAGAAAGCATTTCCTGAATGCTGACTGTCTCTTCACTCTGACTTAAGCAGTTTTGCAGCTGGTAATTGTCTGAACCACCAGTTCTGCTGGGCTGTGTGTTTTGTGTGCTGGGCTCTGTCAGCCTGTCTGTTGAGGTGTGGGTGCACAAAACTGTGTGTGGATCCCCACCACAAACATACTGCAAAGGGAGCAGAAATCACTGCCTCCCCTCTGGCTCCCGACCAAACAAGAGTTATTAATCACATTTAGTAATCAGGGCAGATATTTTCAGTCCAGGGGAGGTATCACCTAACCCTGGCTAATGCCAATAAAGTTTTCAGCCTCTGCAGTTCTGGGCTGTAAGAGAAGCCAGTGGCTTATATAAGCAACAAGGGAATTCCAGAAAATCCAAAAGAGAGCATATGTTCACACAATATTGTACAGCACTTAACAGCTTGAGCTCCTGTCACATGTAGGACTAGCCCAGAATGGATCTGTTCAGAAGACACCTCATAGATGTACCCTTAAAAAAAAGGTAACAAGGTGGGCTGACCAATTAAAACCAAAACTGAGGGCAGAGAGTGAATCATAAGGACATTCCTCAGAGACTGAAGTAAAAAAAATAACCTTGCTCTTGTATTCTCTGGGCATTAATAACCTTGACTAGCAAGTAAACTATTTGTCACTCTTACTCTTACATAAACTGTGCATGTTCATCACAGACAATGTCACTAAAGTGTGTGGCAGGCTGTGAACATGAGTTTGGATAAAGAATTGCGAGCCAGGAAAAGATGAGGAAAGAAAAAGACAAAAAAAACCCCAAACAACCCACACCTCCATCTCCTCAGCCAAGTGTCACAAGAAGTTACAGGAACGTAAAAGAAAACTCTAAACCAGAGCAGACTAAAATCTCAAATAATTAAAGAATACTGAATCAGGCCCTTCTCTGAGAGCATTGCTGATCTCCAAACTGCAACCTGATGTCTTCAACAATGCTCCTTGATAATATATAACAGCGGGAACAGGGCAAGCAATAATCTCTACATTTGAATCTATAAATAATCCTGGAGATGTCCAGAATAAGCAGCAGTAAAAGAGATTGTATCTCACACTATGGGAGCAATCACCCACTGCTGCTGCTGCTCCTGGGGAGTGCTTGTCAGAAAGCTGTGTGGGATCAACCTGCTCCTGTCAGCTGTGGGCACGGCCATCTCCAGGCACCATCTGCTGTGCAGCTCCAGAGGATTTCCCCTCTGAGTTTTCAAACAGCAAGAAGAGCATCTGAAATCAGTCTCTACACAGCTCAAATACAGCACAAACCTCCTGAGGTCGCTGCTGGAGGAGTCTCCTGGGCTGGAGCCTCCACTGCCTCCTCCTCCTCCTCCTCAGTGCTGCTGTCAGAGTCGCTCACTTCTGCTGCTTCATCCGGGCTCTGCTCCTGGCTGTCCCCCGCAACCTGCACGGGCCCCAGGAACAGAACCGGTCCCACAGCTCGCCCCTGGGTCCTGCTGAGCTGGAAGTAATGGTCCAACGCTGCCCTGAGCCCAGAAAAGGAGAAACAAAAGCCACAGTTATTTCAGGTAAGGTAATCTCAGGTAAGCTGAAGACTCGTCATGTTTCTCCATGATTGTTTGCAGGAAAATTCCCAGGCTGGACTGCAACAGGAACATATCACAGTTATCAAGACCTTCTCTGGTAGGGGGAAATGTGGTACAATAGCCCACTTTGGGAACAATCAGCAGGATCAGCAACAATTCATTTTGCTCAGCTCAAAGAAAATCTGTTTCTCCTTACAATGATACTGCCTTCTTTTGGGGGGAGGGGGTTGGAGAGGAGAAAAGCAAAGTAGGAATCTTTCAGTAATAAGCCTAAGGAACTCATAATCAGTCTCTCCAACCCCAGCTCAGTCCTGGCTCCTGCAGCCTTGTCCTGCAGTATACAAGGCTTGTACCAGAGCCACATTTCATTGACTACTTTGTGCCTAGTCTTTCTACTTTCCCTCTTTTCTACTGGAACTTCGTGCCTGGATAGAAACACCCTCCCCACTCCCCTCATCAGTTCAGCTATCATCTCAATTATCCTTCAGATTCAAAGAGTTTTTTGGGTTGCCTTCTAGCCCTGAGAACTACAGTGACCTTCACAGGCAATCCGAGGGCAAACAACACAGTTGTGTTTAATCAACTGGGAGGAGAGGAGCTCTTGGTCTCACTGAATTCAAAGGCAATGCTTCAGTTAATTATAATTTCACCCTTGGCATTTACAAAAGCTACAAAGATGAGACAAAAACCAAACAAACCAGAAATTGGGATTTTTTTTCTAGCTGCAGAGCATCCCCGCTCATCACCTTTTTAATTCATTGCAAATGGTATTAAACACACAATATTTTTTTATTTGTGTGAAAAAACACAACCAAAACCAAAAACAACCCTACAGAAACATTCCAGTTTATGTGTTTATCAAAGTTTCTGCAGCAATTATCACCAGAAAATGTAATCAGGCAGTCCCCAAATCAAAGGTGAAATGCAAATCAGAGCACAGGCTCCACTGAGCTAAATGCTGGCTGGAACTGCTGAGAGTCAGCACTGCTGCAGGAAGCACTGGCAGCAATCTGGCTGTGCAGGGGGAACGGCGCAAGCAGAAGCTCTGCAAGGAAAATGAAAAGTGCAGAAGGGCTCAGGAGTCAACACCACCACTGCCAACACATGAAACAGGGGGAGTCACTTAACAAAAGCAAAGACCCTGCCAGAAGAGGCCAGAAGTTGCTGTGCTACTACTGAGCTTAAAAGGCAGGTGAGGTGCCCTGAGTTTGGCCACAGCCACACACCGGGCTGGGCTCTGCAAGCCAGGAAGCAAGGCAGACTCGATCAGAGTGCAGTTCAGACCCAGTTTCATCTCTGCTGTACCTGGCACTGACTGTCCTCTGGGAACCCCCAGCTCTCTGTTGCCTGGGAGCTCTCCTCGCTTGCGGGCGCTGTGTGAGCTGCAGCACCGGCATGGGCTGAGTGAGATCCACCGTCCCCTGGAGCCTCTGCGGCCTCCCGAGGGCAGCACTCGGCGGGACGGGCTCTGCAGCTGCTTCCCGTGTTGTACCAGGGTTTGGTGTGACAGCAGCGTCCTCAGCAGGAAGAAGTGGAGCGCTGCCTCCTCCCTCAGCCAGCACGGCAGCGTGGGATGGCAGCACTGCACGGCCGGAGGGCTCCGGGGAACCTGGCCTGAGGTTCCCCTCTGGGTAAACAGCCACTACCTGGAGATCAACTTCCATCTCTTCTTGAGCCATTCCTGCAAAGAGTTGAAGAAAATAGTCTTTATTTGCAAGTGTGCACCCTGCTTCTAACCTGCTGGTAGCAGGAACCAGGTGCAGCAGTCAGGGACTACAAAAGCCTTGGGAATTCAGAGTCCAGAGAAAATTTGTCCTCTTGCAGCAGAGCAAAACCACCCCAAGTCAATACACACACGTGAGCCAGCACAGCAGGCAGCACCCTCCCAGAGTCCTGGGCTCCAAGTTTGTGTCTCAGCAGCACCCAACACCAAAGGTACACTGCAAAAAATCAGCCTAAATAAGCATTTGGATGAATATGGAAAGTTTTCTTGCTGGCATCATTCACTTGCCTGTAAATTCATGTGGATCTTGGAGAATTTGGAAATATTTGAGATACTCTCCTGGTGAGCATCACAAGCACCTGCAGATGCAGCCAGAAACAAGCTGTAAGATGCAGTCCTGTGCTGCACTGCTCAGTTCCTCTGAACAAAATTCCATTATAGCACCAGATCACTGTGACCCTCACCCACAGCTCACTGAGCAGCCCTTCAGGCATTCACCAACACCAGGCAAACCCAGAAAGGGCATCACAGCAGAAGCCATGGCTGTAAATGAGACATTCCAGGTACCAAGTTACCCACAGCAATTAATTCTTACGCTGCTGCCAGGCACCAGATCAGAGCCCTCTGGTCACCCTGTTCCACAGAGAGTCTGTGCTGAGCCACCCTTCAGGGGAAGGAAGTCTTACAACACACAAAAGTTCCAAATTATTTCATGAACTGAATAAACAGATGCACCAAAAGCCCACAAAAGTCCTTTATTGGAAGAATTGCATGGATTAAATCCTCGGGGCTGCTGAAGGTAATTCACATTCTCCAAAAGTACTTAAGCCATCAAAAACCTGAAAGGCTTTGGGAACTGCAGACCTTTAGCATTATTTAGGAGCCCAAACCACACACCAAAATGTACCCATCTAGGCACTGTGCAAACAGAGCAAAGGTAGCTTTTAGTACAAAAATAGCTGGAAAATTTACACAAGAATTACTAGAGGGGGATGTACTAATGCTCAAATATTTTTATAGACCTTTAAAGAAATTCTAACTTCTGAGTCATTTCATAATTCTTATCCTAATTACCAATTCAGCCTAAGCTAGGCCAAAAATGAATCTTAAATGCCACCTCCCACCAGAACAGCTGCATGGCCAAGACATGATAGTGTTCTGTGGTCAGGTAGTGCTTTTCTAGCACTGTGCTCATGTTTGTGATAGAACTGCCACCTATAAACATAAACCCCCTTCATTTCACCATCCATAGAATCACAGAATGGGTCTGTAAAGGGATTGGGAAGTCCCAACTCTGCCCCTGCCACCTTTCCACCTGACCCCTTGTTCAAGGCCTCATCCAACCTGGCCTGGAACACTTCCAGGGTTGGGACATCACAACCTCCCTGGGCAGCCAGTGTTTACATTAGCCGTGAGACCCAAAAAAACCTGTTAATAACGCCATTTTCACCATTAAATCCTGGAATATTCCCGAAAGGAGCCAAGGCCAGTGCTGCTCCCAGCCAGCCGGGCGGTCCCCGGGAGAGCCCGCACATGGAGGGTCGCCACAAGCAGGCGTTCCCGGGCCCGGATGAGACAATTCCCCGGATTTCCAAAGCCTGGGAAGCGGCGCACGGGCAGCCCCAGCGCCCGCACCCGAGGGCCGAAGGCAGCGGCAGCTTCCCCTGGCCGAGGGCAGCCGGGCCCCGCTCCGCAGGGATCACCCGCACCTGCTCAGCCACCAAAACACACCCCGCACACCCCCCAAATGAACCACGCGCTGCACAGGCGCGGGTTCGCTGCGGGCTCTCCACAGGGCTCGCGTTCTGCAGCGACGAACCGGCCGCACGACGGGCGCGGGGCATCCTCCCTCCCGCAGCCAGCCCGGGGCAACGAGCCCGGGGGGAGCGGCCCCGGCCCGGGAGGAACGAGCCGTGCTGTGGGCACCGGCCTGGGGAGAACAAGCCATGCCGAGGGACATGGACATGGACATGGACATGGACAGGGACAGGGACCGCCCCCTCCTCACCTGAACCAGGCCGGGCCCCACCGCCCGCTCGAGCGCCGCGCCGCCCCGCCCCCCTCGCCCTATTGGCTGCCCGCGACCTCCGCGCCAGGTCCTATTGGGCGAGCCCGAGCTATCCTCGCCTTCTCATTGGTCAGGTGATCTGTCCGTCTGTCTGACGAGACGGGCGGTGACGGGAACGAGGGCCGGGGAGGAAGGACCTGCTCTGATTGGTCAGAGCAGCCGAGGGAGGGTCCGGCTGATTGGGCAGCGAGGTCATAGAGGGCGGTGCAAGGACCGCGGAGTGAGTTTTCATTGGCGGAGCCTCCGCGGGGCGAAAAGAGCGGGAACGAGAGCTCGTTCAAAAGGGGGAGAGGGGCGGGGGGGGGCGTTGCCATGGCGACCGGAGCGCCCACCGGGGGACCTTGGGGGGAGCGGGGAACACTCGGGGGTCGCAGCATCGGGCCGGGGAGAATCACAGAGCGGGTCATCTGGTCCAAGCTCCATGCTCACGCAGGGCCGTCCCAGAGCGCACGGCACAGGAGTGCGTCCAGATGCTTCTGCAATATGTCCAGTGAGGGAGACTCCTCACCCTCTCCGGGTGATCTGCCCCGGTGTGTGGTCACCCCCTCAGTAAAGAAGTTCTTCCACATAGTCAGGTGGAACTTCCTGGGCATCGGTTTCTGCCTGTTTCCTCTTGTCCTATTCCTGAGCACCCCCAGAGCAGGGCCTGGTCCATCCTCTGGCACCCTCCCTTCAGCTGCCGACAGACATTGCTGAGCTCCCCCTCAGCCGTCTCTTGGGGTAACAGGCCCGGCTCCCTCAGCCTGTCCTTGTAAGACATGTCGTGTCCCATCCCTGTGGTGTCCCAGGCTTCCTGCTGGCCTCCTCGAGTCCCCTGGGGACACAGCCTCGTCAGGGCGCCCGAGCCCCCCGCGTGCCTCTGGGGTGACCCCCAGGTGTGGCCCTTCGGCGAGGGGAAGGTCGCACAGAGACACAAACACTCGTGTATCGAACCATCAGTCTGTGTGAGGGCAGAGGGGGGGGAGCAGCACCCCGGGCTCGCTGCCCGTGCTCACCCAGCCCTGCTCTCTGCAGTCAACTTCCTTGGTTCCTGCTTTTCTCCAGCTCAGCCAGCGAGTCCACAATCTCTGCAAAACACAGGGGTGGCGTTAATCAAAACAGAGTGTTTGCTGTTGGCTGTTTGGGTTCTCTTTTTAAGAGGTGAGCGGGCAGTGTTCTGTCAATGATAACAGCCGGGACAGTGACGCTCTCCCCAGGCCAGCACCAGTGGGTGCCATTAGCAGGGGACAGGGGGCACACACAGGGAGTACAGCCCGGACAGAAGCAGCTGAGCATACGGAAAAACTCTTGGGAACACTGCAAGAAGCTGTCCTTCCAGCTCAGCACCGCACAGCATGGCTGGGTGTTGGATTAGGGTCAGGTTAGAGTAATAAAGACATGCTGTATCCTCATGCTGATTGCTGTTAAATCTTCTGATGGACACCAGTTATTCATCTGATCGGACCCAGACCAACTTCAGAGGCAGTGAAATCTTCCCTGTCATGGAGCAATTCCCAAGACTGCAATTTATTGCTCAAAGCCCAAGGCATGGATGTTCCTGCACAGTTTTGTGGCTGCTCCTCCAGCTGATGGGTTCTGCAGGACCTGAGAGGGGACTAAGCCAGACAGCCCTGCTCCCAGTTTGGTGCTTGTCTGAGAGGAAAAGCTACTCTTATGTGATGCCAAATGAGCAGCCTAGTAAATATTGTCATGGCATGGGTAAATTGTCAAGATACAAGGTCTGGTGTTGGGGGATTTGTTAGCCTAAGAGGACAGGTCAGGGGTGGATCCCAAAATACAAAGCCAGACAAATCCATATGGGAAACAAGGGCAAATTGCCTGCAGAAGTAGCAGATTGAGGGAAACAAGGGCCTGTGGAGCAGATGCCCAGGACATTTACCCTCGGCAGAAGGGCGCTGGGAAGGGTCCAAGGCCCGGCACTGGCTGATGACTCTCCGCAGGTCTGCAGGGCAATCCTCCCCAACAGGGTCCCAGTACTGGTGGCTGCAGATTTTCTCCACGATCTCCTCAGGAGTGCAGCCTGAAACAACAGTGTGCAAACAGCAGTGTCAGGATGGAGCTCTGCTGCCACAGGAGGGTGCTGGGGAGGAAACCCAGTGCAAGGCCATGCCAAGAGCCTTCCTGCAGCCTGTGGCTCAGAGAAGCCAGCAGGGAAGAGACCCAAACTCCATCTGCAACGAACCCCACAGTATTTGTCACGATAATGTTGGGCTCCAGTGGAGCGGGGAGATGAGTTTATGCTTAAACGCACAGGAACATCAAATAGAAACAAAAATTATTTGCATGTTTGTGGTTTAAGCCTGTTGCTTTACTGTAAGCTTTCCTTTACTTATATCAGAGTTCCAGGAGGAGCTATGGAGCTGCTGTGCAGAGCCAGGCACACCAGCCACTGCCACTTGGACTGGCACACTGTGGGATGCTCAGGGAAGGGACAGGGAGCCTCCAGTGCCAGACAGGAATTCACTGTGCTACGTGGCTTTTGTGCAGGGAACCAGATCCTTCTGTCTCACCTTCAAATGGGATTTTGGAGGTTGCAATCTCTGCCAGCACGATCCCGAAGCTGGAAGGAGACAAGCAAGAGTGTCAGTGTTCGTTCTACCTTGTGTTCCTCCCTTCTGATGGGCAGGATTATTGGGCTTTGCCAACAGGAAGCAAGGGTTTATGTGTCCAATTAAACCTGACCTCCTTCCAGAGCTCAGCAGCTTCTCTGCCTGACACCTGGCTGCTCACAGGCCCCCCTGCAGGGAGGGGCAGACACACCTGTATATTTCACAGGGCCTCTTGTAGGGGTAGTTGATGTCTTTCATGTTCTCAGGAGCGACGTAAGCCAGCATGGAGACTTGTTTCCAGTTCTTCTTGGCTTTCCTCTTGATGGATGATTCCGTTTCACACAGCTCAAATCCTGACAGCTGATTGAGAGAATGAGAGAGAAAGGGAGAAGTGGTAGGCAGACCCCTGTGGCACAGCTGGGGAGATGGAGCAAACAGAGCGAGATGCCCCGGGCAGTGAAGGCTGGCACGCAGCCACGTGTGCTGCCCGGCACGTGTCTCTGTCTGCAAGTGAAACCAGAGGTGGAAGCAGGTGAATTGCTCCAGCTTCAGCTCATCCCTAGTGTGGATGGCTCAGGAACAGTCACTTTGCTGATGATAAGACTGAGACAGGGAGGTTTAAGTGCCTAAGGTGATAGGGGAGCTGGCTCTACCCCAGGTTTTATTCTGGACCCTCATAGTTCCCTTCAGTGTTGGTGGAGGGAGACATCCACAAAACCATTCAAAACTCCTAAAACCTTCCCCAAGTGCGTTGCTTACCTTCACACAGTAATCCCCAGCCACCAGGAACTTGCTGCTGCAGATGCAGCCGTGGAGTCGGGATTTCTCCCCCGTCTGGTGCAGCCTGTAAAGGCCTCTGGCGGCTCCCAGGGCCATCCGAATGCGGATGTCCCAGGAAAGATGCTGGTGTGTGTTCAGCACATCCCGCAGCGTCCCGTGCTTACAGTACTCCATGACGATGGAGAAGCAGGGGCTCCCATCTGCAAGGCAAAAGCATCCTGCCTCATGTCACCTCCTGGGAGGGGACCACAGCAAACTGTCTGCCCCGGGGCACAGGCAGGGGAGGAAGCAGGTGACGTCAGTGTGACACCCCTACCGTTCTCCTCAATGCAGATCCCGTACATGCGCAGGATGTTTGGAGACTCAAACTTCTTCAGGGTCTGAATCTCCTTCTCGAAGATGTCTCTCACCTTCCTGTGGACAAGGACAGCATGGTGAGATCCCTGGGACCAGGCAGGACACGGTGCTGTGCCACCCTCCCCCGTGGCACCCTCGCTCCCACCCAGGACAACTCACGCTGGGTCAGTGGTCAGTGGCCTCTTGAAGGTTTTGATGGCAACAGGGTACTTGAGGTACTCGCCCTCGTAGAGGTCGTAGCTCTCGGTGTCCTGCAGGTGCCTGCAGATGGTGAGCTGGTCCCGCCTGATCTCAGTGATGTCTTCCCTTTTACCAACGTTGACCTTCTTCAAACCTGCTCCCATTGCGTGCCGGGAGGGAACGAGGGACTCGTTAGGGGGGGTTTTGAGGGGGAAGGACACAGAGCACAGGGTGCAGGAAGCGCGACACCACTTACGCTCCATCTCGCGCACGATTTTGTTCAGCTCGCTTTGCATCCAGTCCACCTTGCTCTCCATCCACTGCCTGCCAAGGCAGATCTCCTCGGCCACCTCTTCAGGTTCCTCAGTACCTGGGGAAAGAAATAGGTTGAGCCACTGGATGAACAAGCAGGGCTGATGTGGTTAGTTTTTCTCATGGTTTAAATGTCCCTCTGGCTCTCCGTGGCCATGGCAATCAAGCCAAAGCTGGGCAGCAGCTGGGGAGAGGTGCCAACCACGGGTCTCGGGGAAAGAGGGCTTGCTAAATGCACACTTACTTGCAATCACCTGGTCCAAGAAAGCCCTGTCATCCCTCAGGTCCTCGGCATCCTGCCTGCGACACGTCTTTGCCTGGAAAGCTTCGAGGAAAGCCTGCTTCTGCTCCGCCTGCAGCAGCAGCGAGAGCCCCTGGGCAATGTCCTCCAGGCTCTCGTTCACCCAGACGAACTCCTCACCAGTGCTGCGGGCTCGCAGGAACTTCTGGATCCAGCTGGTCTGGCTGTATTTCATCACCAGTTTCTCAGCTTCCCCCAGGACCCGGAGCAGTTTCTTCAGCAGTTCCTCTTCGTGGTGGGAGATGTGGTGTCGTGGCTGAGCCCTGAGGACCCTCACGGGCTCCAGCAGGATCTGGATGCGCTCCACGAGGCGCTGGCACTGGTGCTTACAGCACTTCACCTGCTCGAATTGGGCATGGATGGCCTGGGCCACGGAGAGGACCCTCTCCACGATGTCCATGCCGGCAGCAAAGGGCTTGGCCGCTGGGGACGTGGGCTGGGAGCGTGTGCTGGAGGTGAGCTCAGGTGCTGCTCCGAGATTAGCTGGATGCAACTCTTCCACACCTTCCACCCTATGGAACAGCCCTGATATGGGACACCACCCTCGAGGCCCCCCAGAGACCCTTACACCTCCTCCAGCTTTGCTGCCTCTGCTTTGCCTGGCACCACGGCTGCCCGTACAGACCAGAGCAGGCACACACAGCAACACCAGTACCAGCAGCAGGGGCACATCTCTCCCTGCAGTAGCAGATTTTAGCTTGATTTATGTACATTAATTTAGTGTGAGCCATCCCAGAGAGCTTACACCCCAGGGAGTGAGGTCAGCACTGACCCAAGGAGAATTCCCTGGGCAGCACTCCTGACTCCAGCCCTGCATCACCCTGGGATCCTGCCCACAGAGCCATCTTTGACCATAAAGATCCATTTTCCTTTCTACCCAACGTGTCTCTCTGTTGTCACCCATCTAATAAAAGCTTGCACCCAGCATCCCCAGCTTCTCCATTTTTTCTCCCCCTAGCCCTGTATTTCCCACTTACGATTTTAAATCAAACTCCTTCTATGCTCTCAGCATCCCTGCAGGGACCATCCCTGCTCCCCAGCCCACATCCAGGCAGCAGGGACAGAAAACCACCCCTGTTGCAGGGAAATTATCAGCAGCCACCCCTACCACTGGTGCTGAGAGGGGTGCCAGACTGTACCGGCAGGACTCTCCCGTCCTCTTTCCAGCCCCATCCCCAAGGAAGAAACGAGCTGTTACCTGGTCCTGCTCCGCTGCTCTCTGCCTTGGCTGCCCCCACAGACTGGAGAGGCACAGCAGGAGGAGAAGGATTTTATAGGGTGCTCTCCCCGCCACCGGTGCCACGCAGCGGAAGGGACGTTGTGCAAGCCCCTGCGGCTTCCCACGCCGGGACAGCCCCCTGCTCCCAGAAAGCTGCCTGGGATATCCCCAGCGGATGGAGGCCCCTGTGCGGGGTTTTGCCTGGTGGAAGAAGGAATTGCCCACAGGAAGCACGTTCAGAAGAAGGGCGGGGAGGCTGTGCCCCCTGGATCGATGCTTGCTGCTATTTTGAGCACCCTGACCCCTCTGCTGTGCTGTCAGCTGTGAGAAGGCCTGCCCAGTGCACTGTAACACCCACAGCAGGGGCTCTGTGTCCTGCTGAGCCTCCCTCACCTGCAGTGGCACCCTCTGGAGCACACCCATCCCAAACGAGGGGTGCTGGTCCTTTGGGACCTTCTGCTCCCTTCACCCCAAAGGAAGTGGGCTGTGGGCACCAGTGCTGGAAACAGCGCTTCACCTCTGCTGGGAGCACAGGAAGTTTTGCAGGTGGCTTCGTCACAGGGGGCCAGGCTGATTTTAGGAAGCACTCTTGCCCAATTTCAGAGAAGTGAGCGGCAACTTCAGCCAGCTTCTGCTTACCCGAGCCTGGGGTCACAGGAGTTTGCTGCTGATGCTCCCCATAAAGCTCCTCCCTCACTGGTTGATGAGAGGAACCCAGAAAAGTGGCACCGAGGGCCGTCAGCACCTGGAAAGGGATGCACCAAGGGTGGGAGAACACAGGAGTAGCCCCAGGGGATGTATTTGTCAGACTCTTTTAGAAGGCTTTATTTTTCAAAATATACAGTTTATTTACAATTGTAGTGTCTAAGTTTTACATATAAATTTATTCCAAACCTTTAAATATCTGCAGTAAACATTAGGGAAAAAAATAATAAAAAATAAAATCACAGGATCAGCAAAAAGAAAAAAAAAAAGGCATCTCGTAGTAATTCTGCTCATTGGAGTTTGAGTTTCAAGTAGCCAATGTCTATGAAAACCATGAACTTGATAAATCTGGCAGAGAGATATGGGTGCACTGGTTAGAAAAAGGCACAGTCCAGACCTGCAGGTTGCCCCAAAAGGGCTGCAGGCCAAGAAAACCCTGTGCTGAGATCGGGCCAGGAGAAGGACCCAGGATACGGAATCCCCTTGGCACGAGTTAGGGGATGGGATTAACTGCAGTCCTGGAGAGAGAGAGAGAGAGCACCCTGGGAGGAACAGGAGCTTCAGGGGCCAGGGCAGAGGACGGAGGGCAGCACCAGGCACTTCATCTCTCAGGCAGCAGATCTGCCTGTGCATCCATGGCCTGGAGCGGGAGGGAGGCAAGGGAGGGGCAGGAGCCCCCCAGGGAGTCCCAGAACCTCCTCCTCTTCAGATCCTCAGTCCCCCATCCCCTTGGCCGTGCCACAGCTGGACCACAGCCCAGCCCTCTGGGACGATGGTCCAGGGTGGAGCCACCGCTGTGGGATGTGTCCCTCCCTCGCCGAGGGCCGGGCAGGGACACGGCCCCAGCCCAGCGGGGACAGAGCCAGGCACGGGCTCGGGGCTGTCAGTCCTCTTTCTTGAAGGTCTCCTCAGGGATGAGTGTCCGGAAGGGGTAATCCCAGAAGCGTGTGCTGATGCCAAAGCCTGTGGGCAGGGGAGAGAGCGCTCAGCCCATGGCACCACCACGGCCGGGGTGTTGCCGGGGCGTTGCCGGGGCTCTGTGTTAAGTGGTGAGGGAGGAGTGTCTGTGCTTTGAGGAGGGAGGAAGGCAGGGTGAGGGCGAGGAGGAAGAGCAGGGGGGGCAGGAGCTGGCTGGGCCATGCCACCAGGCCCGGGGATGATAGCTTATCTGGATGGGGCGTTTTCTCCTAGGAAACCGGGCAAAGGGCACGTTGAGCAAGTGCCAGGCTGGGGAAGGTTTGGGGCGGGTCTGGGGAAGCCCAGGGCCTCACCCTGCCCTCCAGTGCCTCCTGGCAGGAACAGATGCTGCCCCAGGCCGGAACAGACACCCACATCCCAGCTCCATGGGGGCTTGGCCTCCACCCTGGCATCCCCAGTGGCATTAATACCCACTGGTGAGATGCTGCTGCCTTCCCCCTGTGCCGCTCTGGCTCCCCATCCTCAGCCTCGAGAAATGTGCCCCACGGGCTGCAGCCCCTCACACGCCGCTTCCCCAGCAGTGCGGTGCTTGACTTTCCCAATCCCAAACACCAAACATTTTGGAGCGTTACTCGCACAGGTGCAGGTGGACCGGGCGTGGACAGCCCTTGGCCCTGCACGGTGTGGGGGCACAGGGCACTACCTGATTTTTGGTGCTCAAAGTGGTGCTTGACGTGGTAAGCCTTCAGGCCGTACAGGTAGGTGCCTTTTTTGGGCGAGCCGTAGTGGAGGTAATAGTGCATCATGTCGTAGATGACGTAGCCGCAGAGCCCCCCGACGAACACCGAGAGCCCCAGCACCTCGGGCAGCAGGAGCCGCAGGACGCCGTAGAAGAAGCCGATCACCAGCGAGGCCGGCACCGGAGGGAAGACCAGGCGGGAGCTGTCGAAGGGAGACTGGAAGCGGAGAGGGACGGTGGGACAGGCAGCTCCTGGCTCACCCTCCCTCCCTCCCTCAGAACATCCTGCCAAGCATCGGGGAAGCCCATCTGGGAGAAGCCAACACCAAAAACCCTCCCCAGTGACGTACCCGGCGAGCCCCCCCATGCACGCCCAGATGGCCGGGCGGGCGGTGGCTTTAACTGGCAGGTCCCCAAGCTCCACAGGGACATTTCCTCCAGCAAAGCTAGAGGGAGCCATGGTTTTTTTGGTGTTCCCCTTTGCCCAGCTGGAGCTTGCAGATTTAACTCCAGCTCCTCCAAGCCTGTCTTGCAGCCCTCGCGGGTGTTGGGTAAGGGCCCCGCTTGGATGCCACCAGTCACAGCAATCAGGCACAAACAGGCTCTGCCTGGGCAAAGGCCACGCAGAAACAGGCTCCACCAGAGCAAAGGCCACCATTCCCACAGCCCAGCGGGCGCCAGCGGGGGCGGGAGCCGCGACTCACCTTGTGATGCTGCCCATGCAGCAGGAAATGCAAGGTGATGAGATAGTAGTTACTAGCGGGTGGCTTCATGTGGAAGACAAAGCGATGGATGAGGTACTCTAGCAGGGACCACAGGATCATCCCCAGGAGGAAGATGAAGGGGAAGTAGTATTTGTGGACAGGGATGGAGTACTCTACACAATGAGACATGCAGCGGTCAGCAGGGCAGGCGACGTGCGGGTGCTCTTATCCATCACCAGCCTCCCACTGGTGTCCAGGTGATGCTCAGCTCTCCCTCCCTCCCACCTCTCATCCACCTCCTGCCCTGAGCCCCCTCAGGGAGCTGCCTGCCCAAGCACTGCTCCAAAACCACATTTTCCCCTGATTCCCACTAATTTACAGAACCAGTTGGCTTCTCACTACCACAAGGAGCCAGTGAGGGGGTCTCCTGCATCCCAGATGCCAGCGAGGGCTTGGACATGCACTCCAGGGACTGCCCCAACCTTACAAGGCTGCTTCGCCCACCAGAACAAGGCAGGAGGGACCTCATCTGCACAGACAGCACTTGTGACAGTAAAACAGTGTTGTTGGTGTTGGGGTTTCTTTTTTTTTTTGGGCAAAAAGAATAGGTTTGTTGGGCAGTTTCCCCCGCAGAGCATTTTTCAGCCACCTCCTTCTTTCACGGTTGGCTGCCAGCCCTGTGTCCTCTCTAGCAAAATTAAGATTCTTCCCCAAACCTGCTTATTTTTAGTAAAAAACCCAAAACCTGAATGCCAGCAAGGTGCTGGGCACCAAGGAGCAGGGGGGTGCCAGCGCAGCAGGCAATTTTCTCCCCCCTAAGCCGGGCACAGCTGGCACTGGGTGGCACCTTGCAAAAAAAAAAAAAAAAAAAGGAAAAAAAAAAGGGAATCCAGCAAAAAAAAAAAAATACAACAAAGAAGACAGCCTGCCCCGGCCACGCTTGTTATTCCCGGGGGAGCAGACAGTGGGAGATTCAAGGGCAGGCGCTTGGGGCAAACAAGCCCCGCACTGTGCGGCGCCGGCGGCGCTGAGAGCCGGGTTTGTTCCCCGCCACGCCGGCATTCAGGCACCGCCCGGGTGGGCGGCAGGGCTGGAACAAACCCCAGAGCCGGCCGGCTCCGCTTTGGGGATGGAGGGAAGGGAGGCAGGAGAGAGCAGGCTGCAGCCCCGGTCAGCAGGCTCTGTCCTGGGGGCAAGAGGAGGGGATGGAGCTGGGTGAGCTGAAGGCGTCATGCAGGGGTCGTGCCGGTGCTGCAGGGTCAGGTGCTCACCCGCTGCTCTCGCATGCAGCTTGAGGTGAGCATGCACGGAGAGGGGACAAGGAAGGGATGCAGAGGCCTCCCCCCACCCAGGGCTGTCCTGCCCCTCACCCAGAGTGGGGGCAGTAAGTGAGGCCCGAGGGCTTTGTCGCTGCTCGTACCTGTGGTGAAGGAGGAGAAGAGCCGGGTGTTGCCCTGAGCGAGGGAGGTGTAGCTGACCCAGCTGAGATAGAGCACCACGGGCGTCCATACCATGAACACCACATACCTGCGGGGTCGAGGGAGATGTTAGAGGGAGCATCCCATGGCCTGGACAGTCATTCCCTCCCTGTGGAAGCACCGGACGGGGCAGGTGCAGACCCCAGGAGCTCACCATGCTGTCTTGGAGAGGAACTCAAGGACGTCCGAGTGGAAGAGGCGGATGGGCCGATCCACGGGCTGGTGCACCCACTCATCATACTTCTCCCCTAAGTAGCCCACCTGCCACAGCAGGGGCTTCTGCCAGTCTACCAGGTCCTGAGGGAGTAGACAGTGGTTACTGGTACCCACAGTGGGACCCACACGCCATCCCAGGTGTATCAGGCACAAAGCTGAGCCTCAGCTGCAGGATATTGGGCTGCAAACTCCTTTCCATGCCCCACGAGCAGTTGCTTCTCATTCCAAGGTGCCCTGAGCTGCCCACGAGCAGCAGCGTGGGGCAGACAAGGAGCCAGACACACATCAGCCCCACGTACCCAGGAGTGCAGGGCTGAGCTCACCCCGTGCCACCAGGCACCTGCCAGCGGTTCAAGGTGAAGGTGGCTTACCCAGGCCTGGCTCAGCACCAGGCCCTGATAACTGAGGCTCTTTGCCTCTCGAGCTGCCAAGATTAGATAGCGAGCAGCGATACCTCCCAGCAGAGCACCACCGGTGGCACGTGGATCCCACCCCAATGGCACTGCCAAGGACTTTGCTCCTTGTGGAGAGGAGGCACGGGGAGGTAGCTGTGACTGTTTGGGCACTCCAGCAGTGAGGAGCCAAGTGGAAAGGGATAGGGAGCAGGGATACAAGACGGGAATACAGACCCCAGTGCTGCTGCTGTGCAAGGCCACGCTCAGGGCTCTGCACGAGCAAGAAGGAACCCGTGTGTGCCCACATCATAGCAGGGGATGAGAACAGGGAGATGGCACTGGCAGCACCGCCTCTGCCACTGCTTTGGGGTGCCCACATCATAGCAGGGGATGAGAACAGGGAGATGGCACCAGCAGCACCGCCTCTGCCACCACTCAGCATCCCCCGACGCGTCTGCTGGGCCTGGCCAGATAAGGTGGAGTCCTGGTCCCACCCCTGCCCCGGGACTGAAACCACGCTCGCCCGACCTGGCAGCTCCGGCCGTCTGTGCTGCACAGCCCTGGCACAGCAATCTGTGCCCTGCTGGAGGGGATGGCTCAGGTCAGGGCATTTCAGGGCGAGCAGCGAGGTGGCTGTGAGCATTCCGGGAGCTCTGCCTCGGGAAGGGAAGGACACAATCGCCCAGCAGGGGAAACAAGCCCAGCTGGTGCACGGGACGGGGATGGAGCCACTTCCCTTGGGGAGGTCAGGGAAAAGTTAGAGCAGAAAGGTCACTTGGGAATGGCACGTTCAGTTTTAAAGGCAATCAGTGATAAAATATTATTATGGGGGGATGGAAGATGTTCTCCTGCTCAAAAAAACCCTTCTGCAAGATAAAAGCACACTCACTGACAAGCTGGGACCATGCAAGGCACAGTGGCCAGATGGTGCCGTGGAGGGCAGGGACAGCCAAAGGCACCTGGGGGACAAATCCCCACTGCTGTGGCACGCTCAGAGAGGAGCTGGCAGGTCAGGGAGCACCCTGTGCACATGGGGATCACCCTGCCCAGGCTGGGGAATCCCTTAGTGCTCATTACCAGTGCTTAAGCAAGGGGAAAAAAATAAAATAAATAAAGCAAGAAAAAAAATAAATAAAGCAAAAAAAAATAAATAAAGCAAGAAAAAAAAAGGAAGTAAAGCAAGCAAGGTGTGGCTTGGCTACGTATCCCACTGGAAAGGCACAGCTGCTGTCAGAGAAAGCCATCTCTCCTCTGTTGCTGCAATGGGAGCCTCCCAGTGTGGCCACACCTGTGCAATAAAGCATGAGCAATGCCATCTGCACCAGGAGAAAGGGCAGAAGCAGTTGGATCAACTCAGCTCCCTCCTGCCATCCCTCCCATCTCAGAGGTCAGCAGAAAGCCAGCGCTCGTGCAGGGAAGAGGAGAGCTGGCATTTCCTGGGAGCACTCTGAGAAACAGCCAGAGGAACCCCAGGGCTCTTACCTTCTCCACATCCACTGTTTTGTAGCAAAGATCTGTCTGCTCTGGGGTCTGAGCCGCAGCATCCACCACCTTCTCATCCACTGTTTCACAGGGGCTCTGAAAAGAGAAGGAAAACCCTGTGGTGAAGCATCAGTGGCAGACATGGTTTGGGACAGTGATGGCACCCAGGGGCACAGGCAGAGAGAGCTCATGCCAGCCTGCTAAATAAATATGGGGAAAAATCTGATGAATTTAAGTCATTCAGTTCCTGCAGAGCAGGTTCCTGAGGGAAGCAGCAGCCAGCAAGGTGCACTGCCCTTCAGACCGTGCACCAAGCACCACGTGCTCGGGGCTTTTTGGAAACCTTCTGCCCAGCCCGGAGTTTGGAACACCCCGTCAGCTGCCAGGACGGCACTGGTGCTTCAGGGTGGCAACACAGCAACCCCCTGGCCAGCATTTCCCCGTGCAAACAGGCAGTGCTCACCTTCCCACTGCCAGCAAAGCCAGGGGCATTGCCAGGTTAGTGCTCCCTCCTCCCCACACACTGCTCTCCAGCAGAAGCCCAGCTCGGTGTTCTGGTCTCCAAGGAAGCTGGGCTGCCAGAGCAGGAGTGTGGCACAGCTGGTGCCACCACCCTGACTCCAGGCACAGGTCAAAACACAGAAGGAGGGAGTTCATGCCAGGGAAAAAGGCAAATGCCCTTCACGGGGTGACACTGGGCCAGGTGCCTTTGCCATGGGCTATGGAATGAGGGGAGTGGGGGCTGGTTTGGCTCGGAAGGGCACACGGAGGCACAGGGGACACTCTGGTGCAGTGACAGCAGGATGAAGACCCATCTGTGGTCCCACTGCCAGGGCTGGCTGAGAAACAGGAGAAACCTGACTTGTCTGGTGCTTGGAAGCAAACACATCACCGGCTGCCAGCACCGGCCTCCCTCCCGTGGCCACGCCGGCCGCGGCGCCGGCCGTGCTGCTGGTGGGGGGCTTGGTGAGGGCACAGCGTGCCCATGCAAACCCCGAGCCAGCCGTGCCCCCCGGCAGCAGCGCCAGCTCCCTGTGCAGGACGTGCCAAACATGCCTTTTCTCCCTCTTTGTCACCTTAAGTTACCCATTAACCTGGAGCAGGGTACGGCGTGGCCTGGCAGCCACAGCACGGCCATGCCCAACAGGACTTCCAGAGAGGAAGGGTTTTCTCCCAACTCCCCCGTGTGCACTCTCCTCACTGCTCCCAGAGGGATGCAATGTCATCATATATGCATGGGAATACCCACCCTGGCAGCTGGAGGAGGGGACAGGAAGCAGTAGAACCGGTGTCACCTCTCTGGGGTGGTCAGGACTTAGTGTGTGTTGGTGACACCGAGGCAGGGCTCAGGCACTGTTTGCCAACAGCAGGCACTCCTTGCAGGCTGTGCTCCCACCCCATTTCCCAGGCTAGCTGGATTTCAAGCCTCATTCTGCTGGTACAGGAGCTGCACTACCCAGCTCTGAATCAGTCCCTCTCCTGGGGCAGCAGGCAGGGAAGGACAGGGGATATTTCCAGCCAATATTTCCAAGCTGGAATCCTGCTGGCATCAGTTTTACTGCAGGCAGAGTGCTGATGAGAGCTGATGCCATGGACCACCACAGCTCCCTCTGCAAGGGTTCCCTCTGCTATTTTCAGCATTGCACACTTCAGCCAGACATCCCAAAAGTGTGGGGCAGGTGGGATGCCTTAAAATCCAGGCAAGCATGGTGAAGTTACAGTTTGCCTCTGCCCTGCAGGTGCTTTTAAGAAAATTTCAGCTTTAAGGAGAAACGGCTCAGCTTATCCATGCCCTGAGAAATGAGCTGGTGCTCTCCACCTCCACGCTTGCACCACAACCTAGCCAGCAGCAGGAAGGATGCTTAAGAAAGCCCCGCTGACGCAACACCCAACACCTCTCCTCCCTTTTCCGAAACGTTCACACGCCTCCAGTTCCCCAGCCCATGGATGCCTGAGCACCATGTCATGGCTGGAGGTTTCCCTGTCCTGCCAGGTCAGGAAGAGGGATGGAGGGCTCACATTCCACCTCGACACCAGCGCCTGGATTGGGGGCCACCAGTGACATGCCATTGTCCTGCATGCTACAGCAGCTCCCTCCCATCACCTGAGTCACCTCCTCCTCCTCCTCAGCTGGGGAGCAGGAGGAAGGCTCTCCTCTTGCTCACCCCGGGGCTGGCAATGAAAGGACCGGTAGCTGTGGCGCAACCAGGATGCAAACCATGCCGGCATGCCCTGGCTGGCTCCCCAGAGCTGTGGCATGCTCCTGCCTGTCCCAGCTGGCTCCCCAGAGCTGTGGCGTGCTCCTGCCTGTCCCAGCTGGCTCCCCAGAGCTGTGGCGTGCTCCTGCCTGCCCTGGTGTGAGGGGGCCCCACAAGGATCAAGCCCCACCATCTCTGGGCCAGCGCTTGGGCTTCTGCCCATCCTCCTGCAAACAGTAGGTGGGTTGGAAAGATACTGAAGGGCTCTGCCAGAGCTGAGCTCTGCTGTCACCTGTGGGTGATGAAAATGCATCCGAGTTGTCCCCAGGAAAACAGGTCCTGCCAGGGAAGACACGCAAGAGGCCTGATGTAAGGAAGGGAAAGTTAACGCCTACGAAGAGCTGCCTGCCCGAGCGAGCGGCAGCCCCGGCAAGGTGCCGACTCTCCTGCTGGTGGCAATGGGGCCAAACACCCAGAGCACGGCACGATCCAGTGACCGGGTGACCCAGCATCCGCCTGGGAGCATCCAGCTGCCCTGCATGGATCGGGCAGGGAGCTCAGCACCGGCCCTGCAGCAGCGGGAGAGTGCTGGTTGTGTCACCCCAGTGCTGCCCTGCACCAGGGCTTGGGGCATTGAAAGAAGGACAAGATCCAGCTGTGATGTGAGCAGGTACAGACAGACGGGACAGGTGGTCTGCTGCAGTGTTCGGTGTTCCTGGGATGCAGGAGGGGAAGCTGAAGCCTCCCCCTGGCCCAGGCAGGGCGATGCTGCCTGCAGACAGCTGCTCTGCCAAAAACCTGGACCCTGTTTTTCCACCTGTGCCCGTTTGCCCAGTGAGTCAAACCCCACAGGAGCCCTGCCACGTCTCTGCATCTGCATCACTCCAGAGCCCCCAGCACCTTCTCTGCGCTCCTCAGCTCCATTTGCTGGTGTCCACATGGGACAAGCTCTGTTGGCATTGCAGGTACAGGCACATAGCATGAGGACACCTGTGAGGCACAGAGAGCCCAGGTGAGGTCCCCACCATCCCACCAGCGCCGTGGTCCCTGGGCAGCGGCTGGCAGAGCATCCCGGGGCTGTGCCTCAGCCAATTAAACACTGGGTGCAGCAGGACTATTAAAAGGAGGTGAATTTAACTCCTTCTAATCAAAATAATAATATAAAAAGCCACTTCTTACATCACCTCCAAAGAGGCACCCCAGGTGTCCCGCCTACACTCAATCGCGCTCAGGCTGGGATGGAAAGCCAGGGCTGACACACAGCGATGCGGGCAGGGGAAAGGGGAGGACACTAATTCCGAGAGGGATAGAGGATTTACTCTGACTCACGGCCGTGTCATGCACCCCAAAGAGGCTGTGATGAAGCCTCTCATTGCTTAAATCGGAGGGGTAATTAGATGATCCAGTTTCCTTCTAGCGAGGCTGTTAAAATCCTCTGTCTAGTTGGGGTAATTATCGCTTCTCGCTTTGATCTCCCCTATATGTCCTGCTTGCATAGATAAAACATCTGGGGGTTAATTTGTCCTTAGCCAGATGGGTCTGGGTGACGCAGAAGAGGGACCTGTGGCTGAAGGAGACAGCCAGACTCTCAAGAGCCACAGAAAGGGGTGTGGAGAGGCCAGCAGGATGAAGGCTGGATCTTATCTTCTTTACCTCTCTTGCATTAACACATTCCCCCCTCCCCTTTCCAAAACCCTGGAAATCCCTGGGGAAAGCAGGGAGGGGATGCTGGATGCCTGTGGGACCGCAGCATCCTGCATCCCTCAGCATGGGGATGGTGGAGCTCTGGGACTTCCAACAGGCGAGAAGAAGCACCTGCAAAGCTGTGGAGATGCAGCACCTCCTGCGCAGAGCTGTTCAGGGCACACGTGCCCCAAAGCAGCCAGAGCATGAACCAAGTGCCACTGAGGGCATCGAGTCCCCCTCACAGGGGATTTTTGGAGGGCGGCAAGTCGGGTAGAGCAGCTCACACATCAGTTCCGTGCCGGACGCGGCCCGGCCAGCCCCACCGTGCAGCAGGCAGCTGTAAACCCTCCCCTCGGTGTGACAACCCCGGGGTGGTGTATCCGGCAGCAGGCAGTGTCTGATCTCCCTGCGCCCCGGTGTTATCACGCCGCGTGTTTGCACTGCGATGGTGGCAGTTCCCCTCGGCGCGGGGAGAACCCGTTTGTCCGGTACCTTCCTTCGCCCCAACCCGTTGGGCTCGTCACGCCTGCAGGGAGGCGGCGGCTCAGCGAGTGTCCCAACAGAGGAGGTGCCGTCGCCGGGACCCATCTGGAGAAAGCGCAGGCATTGCGCTCTGGGGCTGAAACAAAGCCCCGTCTGTGGCGCTGGGGCCGAGGCTGCGCCACGGGGAGAACAACCAGAGAGCGCAAACAACCGGCCAGAGGGACCGAGCGGTCACCGACCTCGCCGGGATGGGGAGAGGGGAACGCGGCCGCTGGGCTGGCAAAGGGGGCTGGGCTGGCCCCGCTGCTCAGCATCCTGCCCGCGGCGTGCTGGTGAGGGGCAGTAATCGGGGGGTAGTGCCCCGTGCCACGCTGCCTCCTGGAAGTTCACCTGGCAGCGGGGGCACTCTCCCTTCTGCCTGGGCAGCACGGGGCTGGCACAGCGGGGACAGAGCTGTGTCACAGCCACCCGTGCCCCACGCCAGGCGGTCAGGGAGGCAGCTGGGCTCCTCTCCCCACCACTGGCTGCTCACCACCAGCAAGCCCCAGTGCCCAGCACCCTGGTCGAGTGCTGACAGTCAGGAAGGGTGTCCTGCCCCACTGCCCACCCCGTGCCACACAGTCCTGCTAAAACTGACACTGAGCTCCGTCTCCTGCAACCCTCCAAAGACCCCAAACCTTCCATGCCATGCTGGCACCCAAGGATACCCATCGGCCCTACCTCCCTGCAGGGAGGGGTGTGGCCGTGGAGTGGGACCCTGCAGGTACCAGGCTCTGTGCACTTGGCACACGGTCTGTCGTGGGCTCTGAGTGCCTTGGGGTCCCCTGCACCTCAGGCCTCCCGGGAGCCAGTGTGTCCCATGCACTTGGGACCTTGGCACCCCGTACACCTCAGGCACCACCCATGCAGGACCTTGGGAGCCTCAGAAATCCCCTGTCCCCTTCACTCTTCCTGCCTTGTACACCCCAGACCCCACAGAGCCTGATCCTCAGGGTTCTGTGCTGCTCAGACCCAACACACACCGTGTCCCATACAGCTCAAACTCGGACCTGGATGCACTATACATCCTATACACCACATACACCCCAAAACCTCCGTGCCCTGTACACCCCAAACTCTATACAGCCTCTTGAACAGCTCCGACTCTGAGAAGCCTGGACCTTGGGTGCCCTACAGACCCTGCACAGCTCATGTCCCACAGAGCACGGAGCTGGGGCACCCCATCGACACTGTCTGCATGCTGGACCCAGGACGTGGGGCACCCTGTAGAGACCCTCAACCCCGGGGTGGTGTATCCGGCAGCAGGCAGTGCTCTGATCTCCCTGCGCCCCGGTGCTATCACGCCGCGTGTTTGCACTGCGATGGTGGCAGTTCCTCTGGCGCGGGGAGAACCTGTTTGTCCGGTACCTTCCTTCGCCCCAACCCGTTGGGCTCGTCACGCCTGCAGGAGGCGGCGGCTCAGCGAGTGTCCCAACAGAGGAGGTGCCGTCGCCGGGACCCATCTGGAGAAAGCGCAGGCATTGCGCTCTGGGCTGAAACAAAGCCCCGTCTGTGGCGTTGGGGCCGAGGCTGCGCCACGGGGAGAACAACCTGAGAGCGCAAACAACCGGCCAGAGGGGACCGAGCGGTCACCGACCTCGGCCGGGATGGGGAGAGGGAACGCGGCCACTGGGCTGGCAAGGGGCTGGGCTGGCCCCGCTGTCTCAGCATCCTGCCCGCGGCGTGCTGGTGAGGGGCAGTAATCGGGGTAGTGCCCCGTGCCACGCTGCCTCCTGGAAGTTCACCTGGCAGCGGGGGCACTCTCCCTTCTGCCTGGGCAGCACGGGGCTGGCACAGCGGGGACAGAGCTGTGTCACAGCCACCCGTGCCCCACGCCAGGCGGTTAGGGAGGCAGCTGGGCCTCTCCCCACCACTGGCTGCTCACCACCAGCAAGCCCCAGTGCCCAGCACCCTGGTCGAGTGCTGACAGTCAGGAGGGGTGTCCTGCCCCACTGCCCACCCCGTGCCACACAGTCCTGCTAAAACTGACACTGAGCTCCGTCTCCTGCAACCCTCCAAAGACCCCAAACCTTCCATGCCATGCTGGCACCCAAGGATACCCATCGGCCCTACCTCCCTGCAGGGAGGGGTGGCCGTGGAGTGGGACCCTGCAGGTACCAGGCTCTGTGCACTTGGCACACGGTCTGTCGTGGGCTCCTGAGTGCCTTGGGTCCCCTGCACCTCAGGCCTCCCGGGAGCCAGTGTGTCCCATGCACTTGGGACCTTGGCACCCCGTACACCTCAGGCACCACCCATGCAGGACCTTGGGAGCCTCAGAAATCCCCTGTCCCCTTCACTCTTCCTGCCTTGTACACCCCAGACCCCACAGAGCCTGATCCTCAGGGTTCTGTGCTGCTCAGACCCAACACACACCGTGTCCCATACAGCTCAAACTCGGACCTGGATGCACTATACATCCTATACACCACATACACCCCAAAACCTCCGTGCCCTGTACACCCCAAACTCTATACAGCCTCTTGAACAGCTCCGACTCTGAGAAGCCTGGACCTTGGGTGCCCTACAGACCCTGCACAGCTCATGTCCCACAGAGCACGGAGCTGGGGCACCCCATCGACACTGTCTGCATGCTGGACCCAGGACGTGGGGCACCCTGTAGAGACCCTGCACATCCCGGTTCGGGACACGGGGCACCCCATAACCCCTGTCCATCCCGGACACGGAACCTTGGGCACCCCACAGAGCCCGTACGTGCCGTCCCCAGGACCCCCCCAGCCCGTGCCCGCCCCGGTCGCTGCTCGGCCCGCAGCCCCCGCGCCGCGGGCGGTACCTGCTCGTCTGCGGGCTCAATCTCCCCCACGTAGTACTGCTCCAGCCAGCGGCGGGCGTTGGCCGAGTGCCGGTGGGGCGGCCCGTCCAGCGCGGCGCTCACGTCGGTGCCGGCCCGGCGCCGCAGGAGCTGCTCCCCGCCCGGGTGCAGCCGCACGAAGCCGCTCAGGTCGTAGAGGCGGCGGTGGCAGGAGACCAGGCAGGCGCCCTGCGCGCAGCGCGCCCGCACCTCGGCGGCGCTGAAGGACCGCGGCCCCGCCGTGGCCGTGGCCATGGCCCCGCCGCCGGTGCCCGTCCCGCTGCCCGGCCCGTCCTGTCCCGTCCTGTCCCGGCCCGTCCCGCAACGCTCTGCCCGCACCTGCTCATCTGCATACATGAATACGCCGCCGGACACGCCCCCGGGCCGCGCCCCCCCGCAGCACATTGGGCCGCGGTGATGAGGCGGGACGCGGCTTTGGGTGGGGAAGCCCTGCCCTCCCCCGCCGCAGGTGCCCCGGTCCCGGGAGCTGGGAATGCCGGGGAGGTGGGAATGCGGCATCCCGTGGGGGGCACCCGCGGGTGGGTGATGGGGGCTTGGGGGAAGAGAGGAACGTGTTGTCTCTCAGGGGCCCGTGGGAAAGCTCAGGGTGGGGGAATAGGGGGTCTGGGCAACCTTGGATGGGTTGGGGGGGGCACTGGGGTGTCCCAGAGGTGGAAATGGAGTATGGGCACCCCTGGGGGGGAGATGGGGCTGAGGGGCATCCCGGGGTGGTAACTGGGGGGCATAGGGCATCCTGGAGCTATCACCCTTCCCGAGGTATCAACCCCCCTCCAAGGTTCACGGTGGCCAAGGCAGGGGGAACCCCAGTCCTGGCTCAGAGCCCCTCAGAGAGCAGGGGTCTCTCCTGGGGTCCCTCACATGCCAGCCCACCCCCGCATCACTTACCACCAGGAACTACATCCTCCCCTCTGTCTGTTTGCAGATTTATTTCAATATTTGATCAAATTTGTAATTAACTGGTGGGGCAGGGCATGAAGCAGTCCCAAACCACCCAAAGAATCACAGCCAAAGGAATCACAAAGAATGACAAGAAAGGAGCTTTCCCACAATTTGTTGAAAAACCTTCCCTCTGAAGTGGGGGTGCTGCTTTGGGGTGACACCCTTGACCACAGGGGCTGGCCACGAGCCAGCAAATGTTGGCGTTGCCGACCACACCGGGCTGCAACCGGTGATTAAGGTGGGGTTTGCCATTCCAAGAATGGGGAGCCCCCCCGGCCCCACCTGCAAGGGTGGGTCATCACACCACCCCAGCCCCCCGGCTTTGGGGTGCTGTGGGGTGCTGGCAGGCACAGCCGGGTGTTCAGGGAGCCTTTAATCAAGGCGGATGCAAAACCTGCTGTGGCGGTCGGCGCTGGCTCCACATTCCCGCCCGGCTCCTGGAACGGCCCTGCCATCTGCTCAGGGAAAAGTCCTCTGTTGGGGGGGCAGGTTGATTCTGCACCCCGATGGGAGCAGAGGGGTTTGGGGTGAGCATGCTGCTGGCTGGGGTTGCTGCAGGGTACCTAGGGGATCCCTCGGAGGGGTTTTTGGGCTGGTGGGCAAAAACATCCTTGGGGGCTGGGTGGAAGGGCCAGAGGGTGGAGGAGTCCTGAGAGGCTGCTGGGAGTTCCCAAAGGAAGTGCTGGGATGGGATATCCTGCTCTCCCAGGGGGGTCCCCAATACCCTCCATGGTGGCCCCAGTCCTGGTGGGTGAGCTGAGTCTGGTGCTGACCTTTGGGGCAGCAGGGTGGTTCCTGGGTGGAGATAAAGGATTTTGGGGTGAGCATGAGGGCAAGGTGAGGGGCAGAGGAAGACCCAAACGTGCCGTGGTTCTCAGTCAGAGGCCATTGCCCCCAACCCCCAAACCAGGTGGGCACAGACCCCAGGTATGCTCAGGGCAGGCGCAGTGGCCCCTATCCCTTTGTGGGGTGCTGGGGGAGATGGAGAGGACTTTGCCCATGACCCCACCACAGTCTGCACCAGCTGGTCTTGCCCTTGCAGCCCAGCCCTACCTTGGGCTTTGGAATGTCCAGGTCCCTTGGGCACCACGTGCTGCCCAGGGCCACGCTGGGGGCTCACGTGCAGCCGCAGTTCATGGCAGAGATGGGTCCAGCCTTTGCCGGCCCACGAGGGGCAAAGCTGCTGGCTGCACCTCTGGGTCTCCACTGCCGCCCTCCCCCGAGCACATGGGGGGTTGTGGTCCCTGGCTGAGCTGCAGCAGGGCTTGGACACATCAGCCAGCCTGCTGAGAGCTGACAGCCTGTCTGCCAACAGCTCCTGGGCTTCCTGGTGGGGCTCTGTCCCCCGTGCAAGGGACAGGAGTGTCCCTCCAGGGTGGGGGAGCAGGGGACCCTGTCAACTGCAGAGCAGGGATGCACTGAGCAGGGTGGCACTGGCGACAGGGATGGTGCTGGCATCGAGCTGTACAGCAGACACCACCACAACAGCTCCAAATGGGCAGAAGAGGGCTGTGCCAATGGCCTGCCCCTTGGGACAGGCGGCACCAGGAGTGCAGTCGCTGCTAATCAGAGAGCAGCTGAAATGAGAGCAGCCAAACGGCTTTGGCTCATCAGTTCCTGAACTGGTTTACCCACCAGGCAGACGCTGGGGCTGGCACAAGGCAGACAGCAGGAATGTGCCTCTGGCTTTGGGCAGTATCAGGCCCTGCAGTGCTGGAGGGGCTGATGCTGGGATAATGGGGCTGTGGCCACTGAGGAAATGGAGGCCAATACAGACACTGCAGGGTGCTGCATCCATGGGGAAAGGTTTTCCCTCTCTGCTATCATCACTCCTCGTTTCTCTGCCAAACTCTGATCATCAGGGATTAAGCTTCCTTCTCCACACATGGAAAGCCTCAGTGGGGACAGAGAAGGCACACCATGCTCGTTATACCCTTAGAAGGAGAACACAAAGGGTTTAAAAAGCTGATGGTGGCCTTGAGAGCACAGCGTGGGCTGTCGTGGGAGCTTTCTCTCTCTTGCAGCTCAGTCCTTGGGAAAGCCAGCATGGATACACAGGTAACAGCCCTTGGGATGCACTTGGCAGGCAGCTGAAGCAAGTTTTGGCAAGCAGCTGCTCAGGGTCGGACCAAAGGTCTCACGCACCCACCACCCTCCCCTGCACTGGCCTGGAAGGTGCCAGAGCAGCTGCGGGGCGCGTGGGCATCTCTGCAGGGAGCTGCTGGCTGGGCTCACACGGGCAGGGCTCTCTGCACCGGGGTGCAGTTCCCTTCCCTGGCAGTGTCCAGCCGCTCCTGGAGCCTTGGCAAACCCTTGGCACCGGAGATGCCCCGAGGGAAGTGGTTTGACACCCGTCCCACGCGGCGCGTGAGGAGCTCGCTCCCGCCTCGTGCCAAGTTCAATCCAGTGTCCCCTCGCTCCTGTGCCCGCACAAACCACGATGGGGCACCCCTGCCCCGCAGCACCACTGACCGCAGCCCTTGGCACCGTCCATCCGCTGGAGGCTCTTTTTGATTCACCTGGCCTGAGCATGGCAGCGTCCCCAGAGCTGGTCTGGCGCACACTCTGTGCCAAGACTCGCTGCCTGAGCAGTGCCTGCCTCGTCTCCCTTCCCTGAAGCCTGAAATTCAGAGTGAGATTTGGCCACACTGGGGAACTTGTTGTCCTTTCCCAAGTTATTGCAAACAGCGGGTGGGATCAGGGACAAGCAGTTGGGGGGCAGTGCAGGAGGGACTGCTGTGGGAGCACCAGCACACCCCATTTCTGACCATTTACTGCTGCACAGCACAGCGAAGACAGCCATGTTTCTCTCTTTGCCCGGCTCCAGGCAGGTGGGAATGTCATTCCTGTTTCGTTGCAATAATCACTCCTGCATCGAGTGAGACTGCTCCCAAAACAACCACCAGCCATGCTGCAGGGTGTGAGAGAACTGCCTGCAGCATCCGGGAAGAAATTCCACCTATCTGTGCAGGGCTGCACAAACAGCCAGGGCAAGGGCTTTTCCTCCTTCCTCTGAAGTGCCGGCCGTGCTCCTCAGGGCTGTTCCCGTGCTATGGAGATCGACCGTAATGGACTGTAATAACACACTAAATACCACGATTTGTCGGTCCAGCACCTTTCAATAACAAGTCTCCCTTCCCTTCCAAGCTACGGGAGCACTCAAGCATGGAAATGAAAATACTCGCAAGCTGAATGGCTGTCACGTAGGAAGAGGAGGGTGGGAGCCCTCTCCCTGCAGCTCCTGGCATGGAGCAGCCTGGCCCCAGGGCTGCCACGGCGCCGGGCAGGACCCCAGTGCTTCACTCAGGGGCAGACGCTGCCCGGGGCCTCCCCAGCCTGCAGGAGGAGGGGTTTTGGTCACCCACAGCTCAGGTGCTGCCTGGCTTCGCTGTCCCAGGAGGAGCCTCGACTGCAGGCAGTTCCCAGGCAGTTCCCAGGCTGTTGTGCCACGTGCCAGCACATCATCCCAGGCAGGGCTGGGGGACACAGCAGCCTCCCAGCTACTGAGCCCCCTGGTTTGGGGTGCAAGGAGAGGGCCATGGGTGGGACACACATCACCACAGCTGGGAGGGAGAGCTGCTGGGGGCAGAGAACCAGCAGAGCAACACCAAGTTCTATCAGAACAGCACTTAAAAAAATAATTTTAATGTTGTAAGTGTTTTAAGATACACATCTGTTTATTCCACAGCAGGATCCCACAGCCTGAGCTAGCACAGGGGTTGGGAGCAGGCATGGCAGGGGGCCCCGCTCAGCAGGCAAGCACGGGAGGGAGGGAGCAGCGCTGGCACGGGTGGGAGCAGCCCCAGCAGGCTCATCCCTGACCACACATTCACCCAAACCCAAAGCTCAGGCTGAGCCCAGCCCAGAGAGGCACAGCCTGTGCACTCTGGGTGTGCATTCACCGCACAGCAGCACCTCGGGCTGCAAGTGCCCAGCGGGCATGGCCCCAACAGACAGATCCATACATTCTCCAACTGAAGCTCCACAGGGAGAAAAACCCCTTTTTCCCTAGAAACTGCAGCCTCCCTGGCTCAGGAGCCTCATCACTCAAGCACAGCAGCAGCATTTCTCAAATTATCCATAATTTTCCCTGCAGAGCTTGGAGACAACAGCCAAAAGGAGTTGCATGGAACAAGTGTCCTTGTGTTTTCTCAGTGAGGAAACAAAGGCTTTCCAACATGCCACCATCTAAGGAAAGACAAAGTGGATCCCATACTCAAAGGCAGGTGCCTTTCCCAGTCACCAGGAAGTGTCAGCAACAAGGCAGGGACAGGTTAAAGTGCATTGTATCACCTGGTCAGAGCACGAGATGGAGACACCTTAAAGCCTAGCAGTACTAGAACTGCTGGAAGCAACTGACCCCAGGGACCTTGGGGTTTCTGCACCAGCCACAGGTACTGACCAGTGAGCAGGAAGCCATTTAAGAAGTAATGCTGAAAAATGCCATTTCCTTCCCTTGCCTTATGGGGAAATCTAAGTGATGTAAACAGCCATTCAAAATAAGGGCCCTGCTGCTTCCAGAAGTAACTCTGAGCAGTCTCACAGACTCTTTGCTCTTCAAGCGCCATTTACAGCTCACCGTTAGAGCTCACTGTTGCTTGAGAATTATTTCTGCCCTAAGTGTGTCAAACAACTGTTCTGCTCACTGTGAGCCCCTGTAAGGAGGCACCTGGAAAGACACCACATCACCGGAGTGAGTTTGGCTCTGCCAGGTGGGCTCTTCCCAGGGGAGCTTTCAAACACCCCCTCATCCCAAACGAACCAACGTCCACACACCCCTCTGCAGGAGAGAGCAGTTCTTCTGGCCTGGCATCCATCGCCAGCAATGGACACAGGGAGTTCAGTCCAATCAGCCTGAAAGCGACCCGTGAAGTGCAGGAGCACTGGAAGCACCTGTAAACATCACCACAGCGCAGGACATCCTCCTTCAGCTCCTCGCGCCGATCCCCTCCGGACACCGCGGAGCGGGGCTGGCTCGGCAGGGCTGGGGAACGACACGCTCCACCCCGCGCCGGGGCTGCCGTCCCCCCGGCTCAGAAGGTGCTCTCGAGCAGGCAGTGGCACCCGCAGCCCGTGGGACACACCTCCTGCGTGCGGAACCACTCCATCATGTGGCTGGTGTGGCCCCCGTGCCCGCACGTCAGGCAGAAGTTGGAGGAGCCGCGCACGGCCACGTGGCAGATGGCGCACTGGAAGGTGAAGCCCTTGCAGACGGCGCACTGGGTGCCGCGCACCTCGCTGCGGCAGTGGCTGCAGTACACGCCGAACTCTGCCGGCAGGGAAGGAAGGCAGAGAGCACGGTTAGTGTGGAACCACGGATGCAGCAGCCCCCCATCAGCAGATGAGCTCCCTGAACCCACTGCCCAAGAGACCTGCCCCAAAGCTCCCCCAGGAGATCTGGAGATCTTGGTTTGATCAAGGAACGGGCAGTCGGAGCGTCAGGGCACCAAGTGGCCCACTAATCCCCCTGACAGATACAGCTGTCTGCTGGGAACGGCTGTTGGATTTCCATCAACACTGAAACGTGAAGGCTTCCCCTTGTCTCCTCTGCCTCTCACCACTGCCACTGACAAACAAGAACAGCCTCTATTTCTCATCACAGAGAGAGGACCCAGACTGTACCCAAGGCACTTGATGCCTGCACAGTGCCCTGTCAGCCGTGGAGAGGCAACAAGCAGCAATTTTTACTCCAGTTACTCTCCAAGAGTCATTCTGGGTGACAAGGTGAGGCAACTGCTCCTTCTCTGGCATCCCTCACCTGCTTCTGTCCCCACAGCTTAAGCACATCTGTCCCCAGGGGTCTGGGAAGACGTTCTGGCAGCTGTGCTTAGGCTGGGCATCTACACTACGGAAAATATTCTGGGAGAAAAGTTCTCTTTGCCTATTTCTTGACTAGCTCACCCACTTAGAGATCTTGCAGTTTTAACATAAGGACACTTCAACCCAGAATCAAGGAGGACAGGGTGTGCCTGAGCTTTTACTCAGAGGGAATGAAGGACATCCATCAGCACAGAGCTGAGCGCTGCTGGCATGGCAGTGTGCGCATTTCCAGCTTTGCTGGAGAGATGTCACAGCCCTTGAACCAACACCTGCAAGCCTCATCTCCACCCAGAGCAGGGAGGAAGTCAGACACATTTAGTGGCAGAGCTAACCTCTGTCAGAGGTTAAATGCCACAATTTCAGTGACGTTTCAGTGACCAGTGGGCACTCTTCATCCGTGTAGGAGGAGGCTCTGCCTCAGCAGGAGGAAACCAGCTTGGATTTTGCCTTATTTGCAAGCTATTGGTGATGGATTGAGCAGGGGGGGTCCTGCTGCTTTTAGTGCTGAAGGATGCTGAAACCAGCTTGATCAACCTAGACCTATCACACGGATAGGTAAGACAAATGCTTCCTCACCAAAGCTGGCATCAACAGGGATAGCAAAGCCCTGGTAGGGAAGGGAGAGGCAGATGTTTACAGAAGAAGAAACCAAAGAGCTGACAGCATCTTATTAAAAAATAAAGCACATTCTGCTGAGCAGGCAGGATGACATTTTATCTAAAATTGTAGGACCGACAGTCAATCACTTCATACTACGAAAGACAGTCCCACTTTTAAATGGTGGGAAGTTCTAACACACCTCCCTTAGGTGTGTATGAAGATCCTTCCCTTGGGTGGGGACACCCCTGAAGGTCACTCCTCAAGGGTGAGTGAAATTTGCCCATGGCCACTGCTATGGGTGAGTAACATCAATGTCTACATGATAATTACTAAGCTAGCTTTGATATTACTGATTTAATAACCAGTGCCCTATATTAGTCATTTAAACTTTCTATACTGTGCAGTAAATAATTCTGTTTAAAGCCTTTTTAGTCCAATCATTATCATTATTATCATCAATTTCAATAAAACCTTCATATTTTATTCATATTAAATATCTGGTTTGCCATTATTAACCCTTTGGAACGATTCATGCCATGGTTCAATCACACCTGTAACATCATTTTAAACCCTCGTGACTCCCCCGGATGGGTCTCTCAGATAAATGTTGTCCTTGCTCAGTCTGTGACACATCCCACCCTGCAGACTGCATGTTCCTAAGCTCCTGAGGCAGAGCTGTGACCCTGCCTGGGCAACTGGAGCAGCCACTCACCAATTCCTTTGTGGGGATCAGGGGGACACGAGACAAACTTCAGCACCTCCGCCCGCTTCTCCCGCAGGCCCCAGCGATAAAGGATTTCTCCGTAGCACTTCTTAAAGTCATCGAACTGCTGAGTGTTGGCAGGATCCAGCAGCCTAGAGGAGCAAACAGGCTAGTGACTGTCTCTCAGAGGCTCTGGTCGCAAGGCTCTTTCCAGTGATGGCTGTGCAGTGATGTTGCTATCAATGCAACACTTCCCACGTGCTGCTGAAACGCTGCTGAGCTCTAAGAACTGCCCTGGCCTCCACCTCTTCTGCAGGCTCCGTGGGTGGACTGCCCTCTGGGGCCAGGGCCACTTAGGGATGTATCATGTGTAATCCCAGCAGTGTTGACCTGCAGGATGAAGCTTCTCCAAGTGACTACGTGGATGGTAAGGTCTAGGGGTAGGTGTGGTACTGCACAGCACCAGAGACCTGGTGATGGAGTCCCAGGGGACTTGGACACGGGGGTCACACTTGCCTGAACAACCCCGAGGCACACAGTAACCTACCTCTTGTTTTTCTCATGCTGGTCTTTCTCCCGCTCCCGATGGTCAGGATACATCAGGTTTCCGTAGCGGAAGTCATCCGGGGAAGACTCGCACCAGGGGGTGGAGGCCTGCTCCGTGTCTTTGTTTGCTGCAAGCACCAAGAGGCTGTGAGCCCGGTCACAACCAGCCTCAGGAAGGGACAGGGGAGCCCACAGGTCTGCACCCCCACAGGTTTCTCTCTGACACGTTGTACCATTCCCACAAACACTGCCCTGCCTCTGAGAACCAAGTGCCAGCCTCTACTCCCCACGTGCTTCCACTGCACTTCTGGTGACAGGACGGGCACGGGGATCACCAGGCAGAGAAATCTAACGTGGAGGGACCCCTTTTGCCTTGGGCTTTAGACAGAAAGTAACCAGGCAACCAATGCCATGGAGTTTGTTTGGGAATGCTATCCCTGGCAGACCTGGGCTGCTCTTTCCTAGAGAGGGAGGACTCTCATCACCAGGGCTGCTGTTACGTAAAGGGGCCTCTGTATGCAAGGCCCTGCCCCGGGGCAGGGAGATGACTGCTAATAACTGCTGCAAGGCAACATCTGCTCTGCTAACCCCCATCCTCCCCTCTTCCCCATGTCATAGATGCCTTGATAGCACACTGAAAACTCACAGATTGGTGCTAACAGGGCTGGTGCTGCCCCAGGCCGTGTATATCGCTAGGAATTAGCCAACAGCTTCAACTCTGACATGGGAGCCCTTAGGAGTGACCAGTCTTTGTCACCTTTGCAGCTCAGATATTCATGGCACCAGGAACCCAGTCTTGCCAACTGCTGCTGTTTTTCCAGTGACAGGAGAAGGCACAGCATTGCTTTTCCCCCTGGACCCTGTGGAATTAGCTGGCTGATGACATTTCAAGGGCTCTCTCAATACTCACTGAATGACTGTGGTGACTGGGAGAGGTGCCTCAGGGTTGGAGGATGGCAAATGCCACTCCTGCCTTCAAAAAGGACAAGGAGGAGGACCCAGGGAACTGCAGGCCAGTCAGCCCCAGCTTGATCCCTGGGGAGGTGATGGAGCAGCTAATCCTGGGAACCATGTCCAGGCACATGAAGGACAAGGAAATTAGCAGGAGTAGTTGGCATGAGTAAAGGCCTTCTCCAAAGACCAGTCAGACAGTATCTACTGAAGTCAGAAGGTGCAGAACTGCAGAAACCTCGACACAGATACTGCAAGTCCTGCTCAATTCCAGCCATGGAATCACACCATGTTGGCCAAACCCCACAGAGCTGCTCTGGCAGAGCACACCTGCAATCACAGCCAGTACTAACTCCCTCCTTTCCCCACCACAGGAGCATCTAAAACCTCGGCCAGAAGGGAGGGAGACTCCTTTATTTACCCTGGTCTCGTACCTATGTTCCAGCCTCCGGTGCCAATTCCAGGGTCTGACATGCTGGAACAGGAGCCAGAGGAAGTAAAGCTGGGCTGTTGAGGGAGAAAGGAGAAGAAATCATGTCATCTGCATGAGAGATGTTCGAAGGTATTCAAGACAAACGTGAAAGAAACGGTGACCGTACGTATCGGCTGTGGGAGGCCAGGTTGGAGGCACGCTGAGGAAAGGGGCCGTAGGAGTTGGGGCACCCCTGTAGCCTGGACTGGGCTTCAAACACACTGCAGAGCATGGCCAGGGTCTGCACATCGTGGAGCTGTGAGTAATGAGCCAGCCTGGGAAACGAAAGGACAGTGTGAGACCGGGCAGAATTCAGCAGCAAAACCACAGAGACCCCAGGGTAGCTGATTGCCAGCCTGCCACATGGTCTGGGGGACATGACTGCTCACACGTGTGCTCTGAGGGACTGGGCTGGCTTTTCTGCCACACCTCTGAGAAGGCAAGTTCTCCTGAAAATGCTCATGGCCTAACTGGTGGGAGAAAAACAGGAGCTCTGGGAATCCAGCAGTACTCGTGGCCTGATGAAACACTGGAGCCATCAGACTCACTCCCAGCCACAACATCTGTCTGACAAAGCCCTCTGGGGTGCAAGCATCCCACATCCAGATCACAAGGCAAAATCCCACTGCAGGTTTTTTGGATGGCTGGGAAATTTCTGGTTTGCTCTGAAGACTGAGAGTGATGAAGAACAACCCGTGCTCCACTCCCACTGCTGCCATGGAGCAGGAGAGGGCTCAGCTAATCAACAGTATGGAAAGTACACCACACAAATCCTGTGCCTCCAAACAGGGTGTATCAACAGATGCAATTACTAACTGTAATATCAGTTACTAATTACGTGCCCTCCTGAGCAGATTCACTATCTGGAAGACATCTGTAGCTAACACTAGGCTTTGAGACCACTGGAATGATTTCCCAGTAATGCTACATGGCAACAGGGAGTCTGAAGGTGAAAAAAGCTGCTGCCCCAACAGGCTCGGTCAGTGGGGAGCAGGAACCCCACATGTCCAGATCAGGCACTGCTGGAAAGCAGAGCTCCACCCGTGCCTGGCTGTTGCTCAGTGCCAGCCCAGGAAGATCTGGGTGACAGCTGGAAGGCCAAGTGCTGCCTCCCATGTGCCATGAACACATTTGGAGCTCCCCTTTGTGGGGCACTGCGGGCTCGAGAGGGGAGAACAATCCCCGCTGTGGCACTGCTCCAGAGCCCAAATGAGCCTCACACGGACACAGCTATGGAGGGCTCTGCTGCAGCAACCATTCCCAGCCCCTCCCCGGCACCCAGACACCTACAAGGACTCCAGTAATTGACGTCCAAATGGATGTTGTGCCCAAGGTATCTCCAAATCTGGGTCAGACTTCGGTCCGAGACAGAGATCAGTGGCTACCATGGCCAGTGACCAAACCTGGCAGACAGGAAGGAAAAGCAGCAAAGCTACAATTAGGAATAACCACACTCCCAGGGCATAGGTGTGCACAAATTCACACACAGATAATAATGGAGCTTGCTTTTCTTTTTTTTTCCCCCTGACAGCAGGAAACAGTTTCGGTCTCTGTGTCACAAGTAATACAGAGAATAACGCAAAACCAAAGCTTTCCTCTTTTCCCACTTGCTCTGAGTTTGGGTTAAATGTGAAAGCAGAACAGTCTATATCTGTCAGCTTAACAAATCTATTAGTAAATTTTATATTCACGAGCTTCAAAAGGGTTTAGCTTTGATACAGTTCTTGTTTTTGGAGATGGCTGGTGGCAGAAAGTTTACTGGTAAATCAGTTTGTGCATAAAAAGTATCTTTTGATGCGTTCTGAGTGTTACTGGACACTGTTCTCCTAGCACAGCCTGGCACAGACAGGAGCACAGTTTGCCACTTCTAATTCAGAAGTTTAACCAGTTAAATCAGAGAACAGGCAACACGGAAAAGTAAAAAAATCACATTATCCAAGTAAAAGAACAGCAATCCCAGGGCTGCTCACGGTGAAACCAGACAGAAAGAAACAGAAAAGAAACCGAAACAAGGACAGGGCTGAGTATGGGAGAGCAGAGAGGAACCAGGAAAGACACCACTTCCTACACTGCTCCAGAGCACATCGGACACGTAACCTGCCACTCGAGCCTCTGTGTCTGCTGGGACAGCTGCAATACAGGCTGGACTTACATGGACAGAGAAAAACAAGCCAGAAACAGAGGGATCTCATAGAAATCCTGCTGAAGTTACTCCACCCAAGCTCTGGTCCAATGAGAGCAAACCAGACTGCGAGGGGAAGCACAGACAAAGGGGAACCAGAACTACTTTCTCTCTCTGGGTCCAGCAGAATCCACCATGAAGCAAAACAACAGCCTGAGTTTGCTTTGGATCACATCAGGTAAGCCTGTGCATGCTGCCTGCCCAGCTCTAGATGTGCCCAGCTGCTCTGTCACTGCCAGCTCCCAGCTCCTTCAGGTGCTCCTGCATCCTGCCAAATGTTCTGCCTGTTGCAATGGACTAATCACAGAGAAAAGGATGGGCCACAAGAGCTATTTGTCTCCTATTTTCAGCTGAAGACAAGTAGCCAGCCCCATTTTGGGGTCCCTCGGGAGAAGCTAGCTGCAGTTAGCACCTAGTTAGCACACATGAATGCCAAACAATGGGAGCGATTACACGAGTAAAAGAAAAGAATTCTGGATCAGAATGCTGACAGCAGCTAGGCAACTCTGTGCACAGTTACTCCACTGGATGACTCAAAAGCAGGCTGCATTCCTCAATTTGCCTACAGGAATTCCCTGAAAAATGTGCTTCACTCAGTTTGGCAAAGGGCATAAACAATCTGCTTGCAGCCCTGGGAGGGAATCTCCCCATGCCAAGAGCCAGCGAGGTGGGGACCACCTTGGCAGCTGTTCCACAGGCCTCTGTTCACCAACCAGAGGCTTCCTGCTGAACCCAGGCGGCTGTTTGGGTGTCACAGTGGCAGCACAAGCCATTTGAGGGTAGCACAGGTGTGATTCCGTGCCATACCTGCACCAGATCCCTGCGTCCCACAGCCAAGGCCGAGGCAGCGTTCTTCTGGCACGTCTCCTGGATGTTATTCACATTCAATCTGAAGAGAAAGGAGGGAGCTCAGCTCTCGTTGGCACATCTCCTATGAAGGTGGGGAGGGATAGGGGGAATGTGGTGCTGGCAGCATGAGCAGCCCAGAAGCTCCTGGTCAGTACAAGCCTGCTCACATGGCCGGGATCCCCTGCCTTCCTTCTGTTACTCAGGGATCACTGCTGTCCTTCTCCTAGTGTTCATTTTCCCTAATACACCACACATCAAGTGCAGCTCCACACTAGCTGGGACTGACCCCAAGCAGCACCATTTCCCAAAGATATCACACCAGTGCCAGGATATCACCAAGCCCAGAATCATTCCTATCCCTAAGAGCTGTTTCCATTCGGCTCTGATTGACCTGGAGGGAGATGGTGGAATGCTGTGGAGAATCAGGATGGCCTCCAGCCTGTTCCCAAGTAGGAAAACACATCCACTGGGAAGCCTCTGAGGGGCTGGCAAGGTGGGCTGGGGAAAACCCACCTGGACTTTTCTGCTTGTCATCAGAAATCTTCACAAGGCTCTTAACACTTCAACACTGCTAAAGGTTTTAAGGCATATGGAAAAGGGTCAGGCTGTTTACATGACATATCCCAAGCAGAAAGGTCCAACAGGTTTTTTTAAAGAACATTCTTTTTGATAATATAGAAAAAGAGAGAAGGAAGGGGAGTTTTTCCTCTCTTCCGACCCCCCTTCCCCCTCCAGCTTTAAGGAAGGAAATCTGCTTCTTCCCTGAATGTCCATAGACTGGAAATTCCATGAAGGACCAGTCAGTATTACCTAAGCTAAGAAAGAAAAAATTCAGGAACAGAGGTTTTGTAACTGTATGATTTAGAAAGTTTGGAAAAGGGAAGCCCTTTGTTTAAAAAAAAAACCCAAACCCCACAAAATGCTCACAGAACCCCCTCCTTGCCATTAAGGCAGAACAACTTGCAGTACAGACTTGGCATGTACAAACAAGTTGCCAAATACTTCTGAAATTAAAAAGCCTTATGAGCTATTAACAATTTTATAGAACAAAAATGTGGATTTACTGAGATTTTGAAGCCTGTGCTTAATTTAAGTGTAGAATTTAACATGAGACCTGAAAAAGAATTTGTACTGATAATTCCTCTCTTTAGTTGGTGAAAACCTGAACCCATAAGTGATGATGCTGAAGTGCCACTTTAAACTCTATTTAGAGCACCCCATCACAAATTTCTTCCCTCCCACTTTCCAGATTTACAGGAGACAAGTCCCCTCTCACAGGCAGAGAGGTACCATAAAAAAAGGGGCCAGACAAGAACAGAGGAAGAAGGTAGAGAAACATTCAAAGATCAGCGCTGAATTTGTCAGGATTAAAGCCCAGTAGTGCCAAAAACCGCCGCTTCCATTTGGGAGGGGATGGCAGCGCGTACACACTCACATGTAGAGCTCCCCCAGCAGCTTGTGGACAGGCAGCAAGCAGGAAATATCCTGGATAATAACTTTCCCAGCAGCTTTGATGGGTCGGTTGTTGGCATCCGTCCCCTCTCGTTTGCTTTTCCACCTCCTCGATTTCTGCGGAACGAACGGCCGTGTGTTACTGGGGAAGGGGATGGCAGAGCGCTCGGGACAGGGAACAAAGCACTGGGGTCAGGAATAATGCAAGCAGCACCCAAACCTGCCTTTCAGAAGGCTCTGTGTTACCCTGAAAAACATCCATGGCATGCCCAGGAGAACAAGCATCTCCATCTGTAGGGAGGGAAAAGCAGGTCAAGGCAGCGAGCTCAAGGTCGAACTCACTCAAAAAGTACTTTGTGAGTTCCCCTGTGAAAGCCAGTAAGAGAACAGATCAACACGGGGATGCCAATCAAACCTGGGCAAGTTTGGCAGGAGGACTGTTCAGTTCTCATTCTCTGGGAACCCTCTGCACACAGACCAGGGCTGCCTTCAGCCAGGATCAGCACAGAGACATTGCCTCGGGGCAAGCCGGCAGCTCCAGACTGTCTCTAGGTCTGCCCTTCCAGGGTGAGCACAGCCCTGTTCAGCCCCAGCACAGGGCTCCCACCTCCTGCTTTATCAACAGCTTCAAACAAACAACCAGCAGATGATAAAGCAGGGCCCAAGTTTTCCTAGCAAGGGTCCTTAGCTACCATGCTCACAGCTACTTACAGCTGGCTCAGGACGTAAGAGGGGGGAGAAGGAAGGACAGGAACCAACAAAAGGGAACAGATACAAGAAGCCAAGATTCCCAAATACTCCCTGTAAGAGACACAGAGGCCCTCTTAATGCCAAGCTGCATACAGCTACCTTGGCTGGGTGAAACACCACCGGGTATTTGGCTGGTATCCTGGCCTCTTCCAGCTCCTTGGTCTGGGAGGGTGAGGAGACAGGACGAGAGGATGTGCAGCAGCACAACAGGCAGAAGGCACTGGAGCTCTCCCAAGGGAAGCACTGGCTGCTACGCAGGGTTCTGATGCTTTGCAATGCTGCTCCCCTATGGAGTGTTCCCTCAGTGGCACACAGAGCCCACGTGCCTGGTCATGCTGAGCTGTGGAGGCCTCCTGAGGCACTCCTGCTGGGGCTTCCTCCTCCTCTACTGGAAGCAGAACAGCCCCTCTGAAGGGGCCAGCGAAGCAGCCCGGTGCTGATGACTCTGCAAGGCAGACACAGCCCACACAAACTCACATCCCTGCTCCCAAAGAGCAGCCTGGGCTACAGCAAGGGCAGGACTTGGACCTGCAAGCAGGGTCACCTCTACTGTGGGTGTGAGGCCAGCCCTGGGATGGCTGCACGCCAAATGGCCTTTGACCACGGCCGTGCAGTCCTGTGAAAACCTGGGCAGGCTTATCAGACACAAAACGTCCTTAAAAAACTCCTCATGAGTTATTTATTATAGCTATAAATTTATTGTAATTATTATATTATATTATTGTTATAAGATTAATTCCTCCTTCACTGCCTGCCTGGCCCAAGCTTAGGCCAATGTGCTGAGAAGGTCTTGCCATGCTGAGCACGATTCCAGCACACACCACAGGAAGCGAAACAACTCCTAAAGCTGCTCTGGACACCGGGCAGCCGAGGATCAGAGGCTCCAGCACAGGTATGACAGTAAGTGAGGAAGGTATTTCAGCCTTGAAGGAGGCAAAGGTGGGTTTTTCCAGGCGTGCTCATGTGACAGAGCATCACCATTCCCCTGATCTTCCAGCACTCCCCGGAGTAAAGAGGAGCAGAGTGTGCACAGGGCCCAAGATTCAGAGGTGCCAAACACTGGTAGGAACAGTGCTGTCAGCACCCAGTGCTCTGGGGAAGCTGGCTGTCTAGGGCAGGGTGTTTTCTCTGCCACAACCCCTCACACCCTAATTCATCCAAGCAGAATGTGCCTGCAGTACTTCTCTGCACCCTGAAGCTGAGAAGTGCTGTGCAGGGGAAGGTGGCTAGAACAGGGTCAGGGGGGAGACCCAACCAACCTCCTCATACCTCAGCTCCTAATCAAGGCACTGCCTGGACCAGCTCTGCCTCTCTTGCCACTGGGCAGGCTAACCCTCTTGTGATAACCCAAACATTTATCTGCCCTTCCTGTGGTGGAGGAGGGGGCTGTATTACAACAAGGTTCCCAAATTAACAGTGGCACCTGTATCCCATTCCTTCTGAGGGCAGGAAAATGCTGTCTCCTGGGTGCAGCGAGGAGCTGCCAAAACCAGTACCTGAGCAAAGCTTGGGAGCCCCAGCACAACAACATCCCACCAGGGCAAGAGCTCAGGCACCTTCCTGGAAGGGCTACCAGGCTCCCCACAACAAAAGCTGTTACTTGTGCTGTGTCTGAGCAGGTGTTTGAGCCCAGGCTGGCAGACACAGCACCACATTCTTCAGGGCTATCAACAAGGGCTTCTAGAGCTTGGCAGGTAATTTGGAGAGCAACTTGCCACCTCCTGACCATCTGTAAGCCAGCTGCCTCCAGGACTTACAGCCGATGGAGAGCTCCCTCTGCCCGAGGCAGGTTCTCTGCCCCATTTTTGGGAACAGATTCAACCTGCTCCTGCCCTCTGTAAGAGCGGACTGAAGAAGCCTCCCAACAGGCATTTCAAAGACTACAGAAACAGGGACAACACGTACCACTTTCCACAGGTAATTCAGTAAAATGTTTTTGGAGGAGAATGACAACAAATGAGGATGAGAATGAAAAAGAGGTCTCATGAATGGTTTTCACTGCTTGCTGTTAGCATATCAGCAGACAAATGAAGACACCAAAGATATCAGAAACCCCTGAAGACTGGGACTCACATTAAAATTGTCCTGTTTTCTCCCTTTTAGCACTGCCTATTGACTGGCAAAAAAGGAAGCCCTAACTCTTTACTGATGCAGCACCTGGACTGGTCAGTTAATGGCCACAGGCCCTGCCAGTACTACACTTCCCTGCCCACCACTTCCTGCCCCTAAAGCTGTGACAGAAGAAAATCACAAAGCCACATGTAGAGTCACCATTAAAAATGTCTGGTTTTTTGCAATTCAGGTTTGCCTCAGCTACAGCAACAAAGTGTTAGGGGGAAACCCCACAACTGGAAGTGTAGGAACCATCCCGGATGGGGTAAAACTCATCACCATTGACAGCAGAAGCTCTACTTTGAATCCAATAATTGCTGCTGTTAATTACAGGAGTGGCTCTCCACCAGGTGGTATTTGAGCCCTTTTAACAGGGATTACCAGAGACGTGCAAAACTCTAGGTTGGGTCTGTCTGGCCAAGGTCCACCACAAGGTTTCTCCCTCCCTTCCGCTTCATTTCTTCTCCTGGGAGGAGCTCCCACTACGGGGTAATTGAAAGGTGTCACCAAGGCTCCTGGGCATTAGGGCAGAACAGAAAACACATCTCTTCCTAGAACTGGAGCACAGGTCAGGAAGGGGAGCAGGAAACACAATGCTTGGAGCGGAAGCAGAAATCAACATGCATGCACCGAGCTAACTACTGACAGCTGAAGGACAAAGGCGTGGCTCTTCTGCACTGCCCCAACACTTCTATCTCTTCCTGTAGACTGCAATCCATGCCAAGGAGAACTGCATCTATTCAGCTGCTCCTCAGTTTAAGGAGAGGAAGATAAGAAAGAAAATAGCTACAGTGATAAGTAAACTAAGACTCATCAGTTCCTCAGAGCAGGAGAAGGAAAGTAACCAAAGCATTTATGACAATCATGGGATTGGAGGTGACAGCAGGGAACAGCATTGAATAACGACTAAAAAAGCCAGCCTGCACCTGCACTACTGCACCCAAGGCTGTAATTTGCTGCAATCTGAGGTGATAACGATGGCAGTAAATGGGTTACATGTAGAAACAGATAGCCCAAGAATAAGCCACCAACTGCTTTGTAGCAACCACCATCATCACTGCATACTCAGCAGAAGGAGTTGCAAAATGCTGCGTGCCCGCTTGGAGAGGATGCTGAACACTTGGGTGTGTGTGCCTCGGGATCCTGCTGAGGCAGGCAGTGCTTGAAGTAGGATCCTGAAATGCAAAGTGCCTGTTTCGCATAAGTGTATGCAAAATGTCAGGATTCCTGGTATAAACTGGCCTCAGTAGGGCAAAGGGAAGGGCCGTGGGCAGAAGAAAACAGACTCAATGCCAAAGATTAAGCTACAATGAGGCACTTACAAAACAGTTAATCTTGCTCAAAGTCAGGTTCAAACTGCTTCTAATATTGTTGGGGTTTTTTTTAAATAAAATGTAAAAATCGCTGCCTCCCTGCAGAAAGCTATGCCCCTTTATTCTGAACAACTGCCTACACATTAACTCCCCCACGCGGCTCATGCAGCACTGCCTGGATTTTCTCTTCAAAATAATCAACATTTACTATTTCCAGCATCTCCCACAGTATCAGGCACCTTCCACGAAGGTGCTAAAAAAAATCCAAGGCCCTTTTGAATCAAGTGCCCCACAGCAGGAGTATTTCTTTATAGCTTCCATCAATCAATAGCTGGCACCTGCCTTGAAGCACAGGCATTTGGGCAGAGCCATAACCTAGAAAGAAGGATGAATTATTGCTTCCTGTACACTTGCTAAGCTCTGGGTTCCCCAAACAGCTTGAGCAATGCTGAGCTCTTCTCCCAGAAGGAAGGCACCTGATCTGCACTAATAACCTCCAGCTCTCCTTGGGCATGCCTGTGTCTTTGCCTGAGGCACTACTGCCCAATTTAGAGAGTCAGATTAGGCTCTTCCAAAGGTTATCCACAAATGCAATCAATCCTTCAAGGCCTGGACCAAGCCCTGTATCATTTTTAAGTATATGTTAGACAAAATCATAACTTTATCACATCACTACTTGCTCTTCCTTCCAGGTCAGTGGTAAGGGAATTAAACTGGGGACCTTTGTGCACCCCAATTTATCACACCACAACCTGGCAAGTTCCTTGCTTGATTTTCTTTCTTTCCTTCAGTCTGTTCCTGATCCAAGACAGAACCTCTTTTCTTGCATGCACTGCTCCCATTTCTTTATTAGCTCTTTGCAAAAAGGCTCGACGGAGTCATGCAAATTACTTCTGCTTTCTTTCACCTATTATTTGCTAGCATAGTCCTAGAGCTGTTGTAATTAGGAAAGTTTGATCCCATTATACCAAGTTAAATTAGGTGTTACAGGATTCTATTTTATTCCCTGCTGTCTTATGAAGAGATAGCGTGAAGGACAGCAGCTGTGAGAAAACAGCTGTTCACACAGACATTAAGACAAACCGACCTACAGAGATCATTTTTAAATTGAAACTGAGTTTTCTGAGCTTTGTCTATGCTTGGCAGATGAGTGATGAGATAGTAATTGCCCAAATGTACAGCACAGCTTGAGCAACCCTGATATCATCAAGATGTTCACATGAATGATGTTCAAGCCTGAGCGACACGTGGACCTGACTAATAGAAAACCACTGTCAAAGCAAACTCAGAAGGGCAGGTGCCAGGAGGAGGCAGTACCAGGCTGGATGGAAGTGCAACCACTCCAACTGAATGCAGAGCAGTGTGATTCCAAGGGCTGGGACAAGATCACAAATTAAGGAGGAATTCTATTTATTGGTCCGGGAAATAAGACTGTGTGATGGACTGCATCGAGAACTGGCAACACATTTTAACAGATCACTGTCAGGTACTCAACCAGTTTGTTCCTTCCACAGCTCTTAAGTGACCTTTCCTCCCTCTCTGGCATCTTCTCAGAAGTGAGGTGCTCTAATGTCAGTCACATCAGTTGGTTGATGATGTATAATAATCATTCAGATCCTCTACAGGGCACTCTCTGTTTCTTACGGTTGATCTTTTCTTATGCTTCAAACTCCCCCTGGCATCCTTTCCTGACTGCAAGGCCAGGTCAAACAGGCATCTTGTGGGTCAGCAATTGTACCCTGCAAACTCCTGTCTGCTCCTGTCCACTTCCAGCTCTCACTGAAGCCCTAGGCCCTGTGTGGAGTGCGAGTCCCCCACTTCTGTGCAGGTTACTCAAAGGCAGGCAGGTGGCATCTTATTCTTGGGCCCTTGGGCAGAAGACAGGGTCATATCAAGGACAGCATTAGCACAGCACACAGTACCGGGAAGTCGTTAATTGCTTGTATGGACCAACGTCGCCGGGCAGAGCGAGGAGACATCTGTACCGAAAACGTTATACCCAGGAGAAGGGGAGAGAGACACCAAGAAAATTAAAGACAGAGGTAAATAAGCTGAAATGAAAAGTGCTCTGAACCAGCAGAGTAAAAGACACTGTTCCCAACGCTTCTGTTACACAGTGAACACTTGCAAACCACGACCCCCACTTCCATCCTCACACAGTTGTACCACACCACGTTACCTCCAGCCCCGGCAAAGCAAGAGCTGCTGTGCCTCTGCCCCAAACCAGCTCTGGTGGAAGACTCTGGCAACCACAAATCTGAATAAAGTCTTCCACACAGAGTTGTATTATTGCAAGAAGCACTGTGTGACCTTGTTTGTACTGTGAATTGAGCAGAGGACAACACCCAACTGCCCCACATGCCTAAACTCTCATCAGTTTTCCTCCTCTTGCCTGAAGTGCAAGCTGCATCATTTTTACCACAGCTGTCCAGTGCCATGGCACAGAAATCTGCAGGAAGATAAATAAACACTCCTGCTTGCTCAGATATCCCTTTAACATTCAGCATCCGCCAGGACTTCATTCACTGGAATCTGCTGTAACTGTTCACTTTCATTTTAAACAATAAAAGCCATATGTCAGGATATTAGAAGGGATGCAAGAGACACTGCTACTTGGCAGGGCCATGTGGAGATTGTCATTACGGGCTGAGGAACTCATTCAGATTGAGTGAGCAATCAAATTCGCTGACTGACGATGCAGAATAGCTCCAAAGCAGGCTTTCATTAGGAACCTGCAGACATTTCAGTGCTCCATGCAGCATCATAATAATAATGGCCAGTCTTCGCGAGCGAAGATCTGGGGAAGGTCTTTCCACCTTCCAGCCTGCGCATTGGATTTTTTTAGGTGAGACACAGTGTGCGCGGAACTGAGCCCACCCTTTAATCCTAAGGTTCATCTGCCGGGGCCAAGCGAGCTTGGACGGTGGCAGCGAGGTCCTTAGGACGTAGGTGGGTTGCCTTTAAGGGCTGACGAGCCCCACCTGCCCGGGAGTGGCCCTGACCGGGAATCGAACCCGGGTCTCCGCGGTGATAGCGCGGCGCCTTTACCCCCTAGACCACCAGGGGCTCCTAGCAGCATCATAGCAACAACAAATGGAATCTTTCAAAGCACATTACTGTACACTCACTTGGAAAAAAAATTCTGTGTACATTTCTGTAAGAGTCAACACAATAAAAAGGGTTATTTGGGTCATAGGCAATGTATTTTACATTTATTTTCAGCTGGTGATAGACAGTCAGGACCATCAGCCATGCCTTCAGCCTCTACATCCCTGTGCACCTCACTGCTGGGGGAACCCTGCGGACTGGGAGCCGAGGCTGCAGGGCCCGTGGAAAGACAGAGCCCTGTGCTGCAGGTTCCTCATCAGGCCTCACAGAGGAGGAGAAAAGGGTCAGTGGAAGGGAATTTGGTACAGTGGAGAAGCAAACTAAGCTCAGTCCCCCCAATTCTGATGGGAAGCAAGCATAAGGTCACCACTGTCACCATCACCGTGTACAGCAAGGCTGAGCTGTCCCCATGTCCCCACTGGCACGGCCCCCCAACTGCAGGGACAAAAACCACAGCCAGGGCACCTTCCTTAAGAGACACCCAGGCCTGGAACACTGATGGCATCGACACAGCTCCTCCTTTCTGCTGACTACTGCTCCTCAGTGGGGCTTTTTTTGAGGAGTGAAAAAGAGGGAGGAAGAAAGAAGGAGTGTGTGTGTGTGAATAAAAAGTGAGAAATATATATATATATATATATGTGCGTGTGTGTGTATATATATATATATATACACACACACTCTCAAATGAGCACAGAGAGGCTCAGTGCCAGAGTGAGTTCCATTTTGCTTTACTGAGGAGCTCTCTGCTGGATTCAGCAGCTCCCCTGCCTTCATGGGAACGAGACATCTTTGCTGCCCAGCAATGGGCAGATTCCATTTGTTTGCTGATGGTAGCGACGCCAGCGGCTGCCAAATTCAGTGCTGGGGCTGAAGTTATCAGAGTTTAACGCACAAAATTTCAACTTTTATTTAATGCAAACATAAAACCCAAGCTTCAAGAGCATGGAGTTAACTAGACTCAGAATCTGGGCTTTTTAAAGTCCTCACAATGCAACGACATAAAAATATGTAGCACTGATCTAACAGAGGCCATGACATCAAATCCTGAAGAATCAGAAAACCTCTGCTGAAGGGAGATAGAGGTTTTTTATGTTTTTTTGTTTTAAAACTACGTCATCTGCAAGAATATTGGAACCAGCTCCCTGCTAGAGTCCTTACATTTCTTCCTGCATGCAAGGAGATACCTTGGCAGGGGGAAGAGGAACACAGGAATTTCCCCTGGCTTCCAACAGACGTGGCTGCACACAAGCTTTGCTCTCTTGATTTATTTTTTTTTTTTTACCCCGTGACAAAAATCTTGTCGCCATCTATACAAGGGCTGGGCAGACAGGTCACATGAAACTGCACCAAGCTGCTTCCACATGTTATTTTTAGCCTTGTCTGTCATCTTAGAGAGCTGTGTGTCAGAGACAAGCATGCTGCAGAGGACAGAGGTAGCTCTTTAAATAAACTCTCCTGCAAAGAGGAGAACAGGCTGTAATTCTTGTACCAGGCAGCACCATTTTCTCTTTTCAGAAAAAAAGAAAAAAAAAGGTTGTGTGGGAAAAAACCCCACAGAATGGGGATTTAGAGTCTTCTGGGGTCTGCATGGAGGCAAAACTTGCACTGGGGCCAGAGGTGTGGTAGGTGTAAGGACTGACATGTAAGCAGGACACAGTCCCAGAGACAGGGCTGGCTGTCACATCCAGCACCACGAGAAAAACAAGACCCCTTTCAGTGCCCAGGAAGGATGGGAGTTCAAGGCTCTGACCTTCCCTTTGCTCCTGGGACAGGAGTTCCCAAGCTCCGCTGCAGCAGAGTGCAGACAGCTTTTAGCTTTCCTTGGGGTAGCTGGAGGGTCTCCCTTGCTGCAGCAGATTAGGGCCCCCTGCATGGACAGTGAGCAAACTACTCAAATTGCCCCAAATTCTTAGGCTCTCAGTAGAAGCTTACTGCATTTCTGCAAACCTCTTCATGCCCTGCTGAAGCCCAGTTTGTTTCTGAGAAACCTGCTCAGTTTATTAGTCCCACAGTGCCTGCTCCAGGCACATCAGCCCCTCACAGCTGCTTCACAACTGCCCTGTGGCCACCCTATAGCTACAACAGAAGGAAACAGTCCCACTCTCCCCCAAAGCCTTGCTTGTAAACAGCAATGACAGCAAAACCTACACCTAAACCAGGAGTATGTGGATTGAAAGATCTTCAGAGAATCATGCAGGAATGATTTTTGTTTTAAAAAAAAAAAAAAAAAAGGCCCAAAGGGGCACATATCCCTGAAAGAGATACCTGAAACAAAAAAAAAAAAAACCAACTATATCCCATAATCCAGGAGAGGCTGGCAGTAAGATGGAGAGAGCCAAAACCCTTTGCAGTTACATATGTCAGGGAGGACCCAGAACATCAAGAGCTGCCTATATGTATTTATCTGGAGACTAGGGCTTCTTAAAGTGTGAGATTTTAACCCTACATAATGCAAAGGGAGACAGTGTAATGCACTGGAGGAAACTGTGATGGTCAGCACAGAGAAACATCAAAATAAGCAGGTCAAATGCTAGAGAGGATCAGTGAAGAAGTGACTAATAGGAGATAAATCCTTTTGACATTTTACAGAGCTGCCTGTAAAAAAAAGTCTTCTGGAGAGGAATACGAAGCTTCTGTTGCTAGAAATGCTAAACGAAAGGAAAACAGATCACAAAAGCTGAAGTGCTGGGAAAAGTGTTTTGGTGTGGTCCTTACCCTCTCTTTGTAGTAGAAGGAGCTGATGGAGACCTGCTCCTTCTCGCTGCGTGTGGGGCTCCCGCTGTACAAGCGCAGGTTGCCCGGAGTCTCCGTGCGGATCTTCATGGGAGTGATGAGGCCGCTGTGGTACGCTGACAGAGCTGACAGGGACCTGGAAGAAAGGGAATAGCCTTTCAGGGGCTTTCACCCACCAAAGGTCCCGCAGGTTCCCACCGACGTCTCCACTAACCCAAGCTGCAAACAACGGTGCTGGTGTCCTGGAAGGCGCCTGCTGAGGCACAGCGATGTGAGGGCTGTCCCTGCCCAGGGCACAACTAACGCTAGAGGTCAGCAGATCCAGTGTAGGATCTGACATTCTCCCGCCTCCCTGCCCACTGCAGCACACATCAAACACCACGCCGGGCACTCACCTGGGCGTGGGCTCCATCGGAGACACCGCGCGGTGCATGGTCATGGGCCTCGTGAAGTACACCAGGTACCCTGACGAGACAGGACATGGCATGAAGATCATGCAGCAAGGAGCAGATTACTCAAGGGTGAGCACAGGGAAACCTGGCTACCATTTCAGGTATCAGAGGCAAGGAGCTGGGCACCTATCCACTACCCCCAGCACTTTTAAACTACAAGCAGACAACCACATTTTCTCAACCCAAATTCCCTCCCTGAAGCACGTTCTGTTGAGATGTTTCTCTTAAAAGCGCCATTTCAAGTGGTTTACAGCTGTTAGAGAAAAGAGAGGAAAATGAGCAAACACATGCTCATGTTTTAACTCCTCACCAGAACCTGCCAAGCACTGATGCTCCAGAGGCAAGCGAGGCGATGTTTGGCAGTGGAGAGAAACCACTGCAGCTTGTACAACTCTGCTCTTCAACAGGAGAGCCCCAGCCACCTGAAGCCAACTCCAAACACGCTCTCACAAGCCCTACCCCGTTTGTTAGCACCTCAAGTGTTTTCAGCCGCCCACTCTTGCAAGAGTTTCAGGACTTAGCAGGTTTCACTGAGCCTATTCAATGCAATACTATTCTGTTTTACTTTTGCTTGGGAATTGAGAGGCCTGTGTGGAAAGCAGCTTTCAAAGCACACTCAGACTGGGATGCAGTCAGGTCCAGAGGAAGCATGCATGCATCTGAAACAGCTCAGTGAAACTTAACAGCTCTCACTCAGACCTTAACCTGCTTTTTAATGATCTTTGCCCTGTAGACTCTCCTGGAAACCTGGATGTGATTGCACCCCATTTCCCACTTAGGAGAAGTTTCCCAATGACCTTGGGAAAGCTATTTTGGACATCAGAAAGAATGTAGAATGAGAAAAAAGAGTGGCTAGTAACAAGAATATGGTTTCATCAAGGGCTAAGTTCAACCCCAAACCACAGGAATTTCATGCAGACTGAGCACCAGAATACATCCAGCAATGTGATGCTGGGAGGAGAGAACTAGGCAAGGAAAACAGCTATTCCCAGACTTCTGTGTAAGAGCTCTGCCAATGCCTCTGGTATGCCACAAGCCAGAGGCCATCCCTTCAGCTACCCCTGCATTTCCAAATCCTAAAATCCCACATGCAACACCAACTGCATAGTCTCATCTACAAATTCACCACAACATGGCCACTGGAACACCATTTCTCACTCCCTGCATGGCAGTGACCAAAGCCTCGTTCAGAGGCAAGTGTTCCCCAGGACACTGGAAGGAGCATTCCCTGGGGAGCTGCTGTAACACAGCAGTGATGGGGCTGACCTGCACCACAGAACCTGGCTCCAGAGGTCCGTGGGAATGGGATGTTTGAGTCCTGGTAGGAGCCGTAGGCGTTGGAGACGCGGGCGAAGGTGGGCAGGGGGGGTGTCACGGAGTTCGGCAAAGCGTAGGGATTGCTGGACGTGCTGTCCTCTTGGTTCTGGAACAGAAGGTACCCAGGGTCACACTCCTGCTGCCACAGGGAAGGAATCCAGCCGGAGAACCGGACCTGGCACTGCCAACCAGCCTCACAGGAGGTGCCATCCCTCAAGCCAGAGCAGAGCAAGCTCAGAGCACGGTTACTGCTCCAGCTGCAAAGGCACTTGCCAACACATTTGCCTTTGAGGAAAGAGCTTCTCTGGCTGCTCGTCCAGGTATTTTTCTCCCACCATAACCATGCTGAAATGCAGAGCTGAACTGGGGGAGAAACAGTGGGAAAATGTACAGAAAATCTGACCTTCGCACTCTGGATGACTCTCAAGACAGCAAGCTGAGCTAAACCTGATACCTCAGTGATGCAAGCGAGACAAAACCTCCATAAATGGGAATACCACACAACTGTGGGGCATCAAATGCAGGCTGGAGTCTTCAAACGAGGAAGGCAGGTGATGTGAAATACTGGGGGACCTCAAACCTATCCATAGGAGTTTTGTCAGAAATCTTGCATTTATTTGCACAAAGAATACTACAACTTAGGTCTAAGGAATTCTTTAAAGGCAGTGATGCCTGGCTCGAGTCATCAGATTTCCATACAGCAGAGAGAGTTCCCACTCTTACAATATTACTGTTGAAACCAAACAGAATTTAAGACTTTCCACATTAAAAAAAAAAAAAAAAAGCTCTTTATTTGTGAAGAATAAACAAAACCTCTCAGAAAAGAAATCTGAGGAGACTCTCCAATTTTTTCCTGAATGCTAAAAACACCCACCCCGGTGCACTTCACCCACACACAGACCTAATAGCTGACACTGGGATGCTGAGTAGGTATCACAGCTAAGAGCAGAGTGTGACTTGGATTCATCTGCAGTATCATCCCCACAAAACCTCAGCACAAAGCTTCAGAAAAAAACCCAGATTTTCACAGTTTGGTTTTTTTTTTTAAGGGAAGAAAACAAAAACCCTAGAATAGGACTAGCAGGATCTTAACTGAGAAGGTAAAGACATCTGCCACTGCCTTTCAGACATGGATGAATCCATCAACTCCCTGATGCTTCTTATCTTCTCTCACAGATGATAACCATGCCCTGGCACTCAGTGAGATATATTCTGAGTTGGGAAGCTACCATGCACCACTGTCCAAGGCCCAGTCACTCCCCCCCCAACCTGAATATCAGAGTTCCCCAAAGCAGCAAACCTTCAGGGCCTCATTTGTGGAAACAAAACACGTCTAACCATCCACCCAGTTCTCTTCAACGTGAACCAGAAGCGCTCACGCAGATGTAATGGCCACTCACAGGGGCCTATTTACACATCTAATGAGGCCAGACTGCAGAGTCAGAAGTGTGGGACATGGGAGAAGGCAAACTAGGGCAGAGAGCCCACGCAGTTCATACCACGACAGACTCCAGCCAGGAGACCAGCTGACGCAGGCAGGGCTCCAGGCAGCTCTGGTTCCGCTTCACCTTCTGCAGGGAAGTGTCTTTCAGTATCTGGAATACACACAAGATGCAGCCTGAATCATGGTTACATCCACACTTTGCTCACATCCTTTCTGTCTGCAGAGCAGCTAAGATGCCAGGATCCAGAGAGGGCAAAGACACTCCCTAAGTGGAGCCACTGGCGTGCTGTCTGCTCTGAGGGATGGCTGTGAGCTGTGATCAGAGCACCGAGGTTCATGCAGATGCAGCACACTCTGAGCCAGGACTTGGGCTTCGACACTACTGTAACCCATACGTTTCATGCCAGTTTGTGGCAAACTGGGTCAAATTTTTTTCAAGAAGGAACCCAAACTGATCCATCAGCTTGCTGATGGGGAAGGGATTTCATTAGCAATAGATTTGCTACACCAGACAATCAAACATCAGGTCTGGAATTAGCAGGACCCATGTAAAGAAAGTCCCCTCATTTTTCAAACAGTTGGTGGAGGAGAGCAGGAAGCAACAACCCAGCTCAAACACAGTATCATTCTGCAGCTGGATCCTTAGCTGGTCATTTTGTCTATTAGGGGCCTGAGGGCAACTGCATGAGGAGAGGGACGTTTGGGATCCTCAGGAAATACATGGGAACACAGCAGCAATGAAGAACACGTGTTTGAAGAGGACCAGTAGAGAAAGGCAAATACTTGTGTGCAAAAAGAAACCTCACCCTGCAGGCTCCACAATCTGTCAGTTCAGTGTGACCTGTGGCATGTCTTCAGCAAGATCAGATGTTTTGTGTCAGTAAAATCTAGACACCAAGCATGCAGCCCTTGTGTTTTTATAAAGACAGCGTACACTCCACACACACCTTCAGCAGCTTTGCCTTCATGGAGGCCGTGATCGAGGTCGGGTTGATGAACTGGAAGGATGGTGCAGCATTATTGGGATACTGGACAGGGAACATCACCAGCATCCTGACCCTGTGGTTGCCGCAGTGCACCGACACCGTACAGCTACGACTCACCGCGTCCATCTGCGAGGAAAAGCAACCGCTCTGTAGTCACATCCCCAAGGACTTTTAAAGTGGCTTAAATTCATGCTGAGGGACTGATTCCTCTGCACACACAGTCAAGCTGTTCTCAAGGGCAGGGAAAAGAGTTATAGCAAAAAAACCCCAGGCAGATGGGCACAGACTTGGCTCGCACCACACACACTGACAATCCAGCATCCCAGCACCTGGAGAATCTGCCAGCCCAGGCAGCACCAGGAATCAGGCTCTGCTCCCAACAGCCTCTGCACCCCAGCCCACCTCACTTGGCCATGGAGAGCTCCAGGCCCAGGGCAGCAGTAACAGGCATCATCCAAGATTCTGTGCCACTGTCTCAGAAAACTCCATCAGGATCATGCCATGAGCTGTGAAACCACAGGGGTAAGGAAAGGAGACAGGCAGTGGCCTCCCAGTGCTGCACCTCCAGCCACATTCCACGCACAGAGGAGGCTTTGCAGTGCAAGGGAGATGCCAAAACTGAGGGAGAGAGTGCAGGATAGTGAAGGTTCAGCAGATGGGGTTCAGAAACAGCTGAAACGAGACCAACTGCATGGAACACATCACTTCCCTCTCTGCAGTCAAGGCAGAGAGGAAAACACCACACAGCCTTCTCAAGATCAGCCAGTGCACTTACTGTGCTGAAACACTTCCCTCGCTCCCAGTGTCTGGGATTATCCTCTTTCTTACTACCCCTGGCCAAGAGGATCTCTACAGCTTAAAATAAAACTTGTTTACAGGCAGCAGTCACTGCAGCAAAGGTTCCCCTCTGAAGGCTCCCATGAGCCAGCCTGCCCACATCCCCTCCTAAGAAGCCAGTGAAAGGGAACTCTCTACCTCCACATTGACATTTCGGATCTGCACATTGATCAGTGAGAACTCCTGCTGCAGTGTTTGAGGCAGCCCCAGCTGGTCTGTTTTCTTTCCCACCAGAGGGTCGTTCAGGAAATCTTCTTTTAAGGCTGACGGGAAAGATAGAAAAAGGTTGAGCCAAGCCATAACAGACAGACTTTGGGCATGCAATGTCAGCAGGCAGCAAAGAAAGCAGGTTTTCCTCTACCCTTCTGACACAGGGAGATGTGAGTTTTACCCTGCGAGCTGGAGGGTCTCAGCTGCAGTTTACAGGCAGGCTTCTGACCCTTCTCTTCAAAAGAACAAAGCTGTCTGCACACAGGTTTCCTGGGAAGGTTACAGAAGTTGCCTGTACTCTGTACAGCCCTAAACAGTCCTTCTCTTCTCATTGGAGACCCCTTCTCCTCCCTACACAGTGCTGCCAGAGTCACAATCAGCTGAGCTGGAGCTTCTCAGCTCAGTGGGAAAGAACTGCAGCCAAAGCAGTCTCCAGGAGGAGCTCTGGTCTTTGGGACTAACTCCCCCCCACCCCTCCCACCACTCTCAGCTTTCAGGGAAAGCTTCCAAAGTATAACAATGCTTTGGGAGGGAGCAGAGAGTATTTCTGCTCCTAATAGAGGCTTAATTCATTTGTAGCAGCCGTTCGCATTTAATGTTGCAAAGCACTGCAGTGCTTTAACAGTCTTTAAAGACTCATCAGAATGCTGGGTCTAGCTCTCCAGTTCCAACAGTTTTCAGGAGGACAATAATCCCTGAAGGCCAGAATACATTTAAACAGCCAGGCAAGCACTGCAGGACACGAGGAATTATGGTTAAGATAACAAACTTCACTGAGTTTCAGAAGAATTGGTCTCTGCCTGTGGTTGTGCATGGCCTTTGCCTCATTTTTTGCTATGTACCCCTGTCAGGGCAGGGGCAGCTCCTTCTGAGGGTTTTACTGTGGCATCACTTCTTAAGGTCAAATACATCTCTTGATGATGGTTCCAAAGACAGAAGGGAAGTCCTGATTTTTTCAGATGTCATTCTCACACTTAAAATATCACATTGCACAGACTACTCCTAGCAAAAAGATAAATTACAAGAAATGTAAAAATTTGACCTTCTACAGGCATTTTTTTAAAAGTTACTGACTTTGCTGCTGGGGCAAATATCTGGTATTACTGCTGCCCAGTGGGTTACTGAATTTGGATAGGTAGGATGCTTAGCCACTCATTCCTGTTTGAAATTTTATTACAGTGCTTAGACATACTTCAGAAAAGGGAGCTGAAAAGGAGATTAAAGGAAGATCAGTGGCTCTCAGGGAAGATAATTATTTCTAGCTCGAGACACCACACAGCTTACTGAAAAGCCATCTCTGAGGTTCCCAGTATGTGCAGTACCCTCCCTTTGTCTTCTCCTCCCATTCCCTTCCAATTAGTTTCTAATCCCCCAAAGCCACATATTTGTACAGATTCCTAAAGCTCCTCTATAAGCAGCAGCAAGGAGAGCTGCACTCTGAAGGCACAGCTGGGGGCTCTGATTTACCTGCAGAGCTCTGCTCCCTTCAAAGATCCCCCAAAGTGCTCTGCTAATGTAACGTGGAGCCTTTGTCTGCAGCTGAAATGCAGCCACCTCCAGGGCGAAACATCAACAGTCCACAATAGCTTTTAGGCTAGAAAGCACTGAAATTCCTACCTAGGGATTTGCTTGTGCATTAATCCTGCAGCCATGGCATTTGCAGCAAAATCTACCCTGCTACAGAAAAGCCATATTCATTCCCTTTGGCCACAAGGAAAACCCTACCAGTCTGAACCAAAACCAGACCCACACAAAGACTACACAGCACTGTGACCTCATCAGGGGCAGGGGGCTCATCTCTCAGCTTAAACTCATCTACCCTCCTAAGAGCCAGAACTTACCTTATTGCCTGACTGATTGCCTTATTTTTGGCAACGAGCCACAACTACAACCTAAAGCAAATGCAATTAAATGATAATCAGAAGAAATTAAATGATAAAGGGAAGAGCTTTGTTTTACAGGTGGAATCATTGTGTTAGAAGACAAAAACTTGGGAGGATCATCCTGAGGAACCTCAAGTGTTTTTCTTCCTCCCTAATGGGGAATCCATTAACCTTTGAAACACCAGGCTGTGCTTTGCCTACAAGGTTTTCTTATGCCAAGATGTGTCTTCTTCCCAACACAAAGACACTGATGTTTGAGGTTAAACAAGGCATCACTTCTCTCACCTTCCTCATCCCCATGTCCAGAGTTATGCTGGGGCTCTGCATCCTGGGGGTGAAGGGTCTTGTCTGGCTCTGGCAGGTGAGAAATCCCATCAATCAGGTCCTCAACTCCATCCAGGATGTCATTAGCACAGAGCTGAAAAGAACAAACACACCCACAATGCTGCACAACAGAATGCAAGCTGGGGAAGGAGCCACCACTAAACCAGCTCATTCCTCCAGACAGATGGGTTTGCAAGGGAGGTCTGTCCACACAACAGGCACGACTAAGACCTCAGCAGTTTCTGTGATGAAGACAAGTGATCTTCCACTTTCCAGCACCCTCAGCTCTGTCACCTCAGACAGCCTGGCCAAATCTCCTGCTCACTTACAAAGCCACTTAATTGACAGGGCCAGTCTAAGTAACAGGGGTTTTACTTTAATCAAAACTAAAGCTGATATGACTGTAATTCCTTGAAATAATTGGTCAAAATTTGTTTAATTTTTTTTAGATCAAATGTAACAGTAGCATATTTTCTGTGCTTGATATTTACACTCCAGTAGGATCTGGGGACCCAGGTACATACTAGGGGCCCTAGTGTTCTAGGTTCTCTATCAAAATGAGACCATACACCCCTGTATTTTAAGTTCAGCACAGGAAAACAGGGAAGATGAAGAGAAGGAACACAGGGAAGAAAAAGGATAACGGTGTGATGTAGCAAATTGCAGCACTGGTCACCAGCAACGTGCCATCATGTGCGTAGTTTGATCCAGACAAAGACAAGGACAAAAGAGTGGGAGCCAGCAGAGGAGAAGTAAAGGCTCTGACAAGAATGAACGACTGGTTTAAAGACAGGAAAGAAATCAAACATTCACAAATATATCAGGTAGGAGAAAAGGGTCATTTTTCATAAAGTTTGTTACAGACCTGCAGGACTCCTGCAGGATCTGTGCTGGGACACATGCTTCTCAACATATTCATTAAAAACCTGGAACAGGAGGTGAATAGCGACATGACCAGGTTTGCTGATGCCACCAAGTTTTTCAGGGCAGCAACAAGTGTGGCAGACGGCAAACAATCACAAAAGGACCTCACAGGAGTAACTGTATTAAAATGCAAGGTGAACTTTGGTTCAGGTAAATATAAAGCAATGCAAAACGGGGAAAAATGGGGAAAAAATGGCAAGCTCAAGCTGACTGAGGGAACAAGATGCACAGGCCAGACTAAGCTGATGTTTTCATGGAATTATGTCCAATGGTTCAAAAACCAAAGTGAGTACTGAGAGTTCTGTGGAAAGAACAAAGGTCAGATCCCCATCCCAAAAAGCATATGGTAGAACTGAAAAAGGGTCATGACAGGTAAAAGGACAATCAAAGTTCTGGTAAAAAGGATGAAGTAAATCAAGACCCTCTGACTTGAAGAGGGAGGCAGCTGAGGAGGGATATGATGGAGGTCTACAGAATCATCAGTAGCAGAGATGGCTCATTTCACCTTCAATGCAATGAAATTAGCAGGTTACAAAATAAACAAATGGAAGGACTGGTTTTCCACACAAGATGCAGAAAAGCCATGAAACTCCTTGTTGATAGGATGCTGAGGGTGACAAAAATTTACACAGGTCCAAGAAAAGACAAGAAAAGTCTACAGAAGTAAAACTCATCAAGCTCTGTCAGATCCAGACTAAATGAGCCTCTAGGCTGCAAAGTGCAGGAGGTTGGCAGGGCATTTGAGTGAAACATCACTCCATGCCCACCCATCCCCTTCCAAGAAGGTATGACAAGGCCATATGGGCCACTGTGGCCACATGAACCTCTGATGCAGTAACTGCATCAGCAATCTCTCACTGTTGCACAGAGCAGAGGCACAGGACTCACAGCACCTGCCCTGGGCTTAGAGAGGAGGAAGTGGAGGGCACAGTCCCTACATTTACCTAATACCTAAAGCACCAAGAAATAATCCTACAGTCCTGCAGCCATGGAGGTGGCATCTTCAGAGGCACTGTGGGCAGCAATCGACCTCCACCCTCCCCAGACAAGTTCTACGCTTACTGTTAGGCAACAAAGCAGCCTTGCACTTCCACAGAAGCTTTCTGAGGCCCAGGCTCAGAGAAGCCCCATCACAGCTCTCCTCGGGGATGTTCTGGGGCTGGAGCCGAAGAGGAGAGCGAAGCAGCAGCTGGCTGCTGTGTCTGCAGCTTTAGGATGTCAGAGGAGCGACTGGGAGTGCGAGAAAAGGGAGGTGAACCCAGCCTGTGAGAACGCTGTCTGCTGTTCCAGAGCAGAAGTGCCCACGTACCCTCTGCAGCTGGGAGTCGATCCGCCACATCCGCAGGGTCTGATCGCGGGACCACGTCACCAGCTGGTAGTCTTTGGAACCTAAACAGGACACAAACCACTGGAGACCCCGCTGGAAAACAGAGACTACCTCGGCCCTGTGTTCAACATAAACAGATTCTAACGAGCCAGCAGGGACATCCAGTGGGTAAGGCACAAACCATTTCTGCTTTGAATCGGTCTTTGTGCCCCCCTGCACCACAGCTACCACACCCCTAAATGGGCTGCAGTTTACAGGCCAAAGGCACAAAATAAGTATAATGAGTGTGACACAAGTTTTCCAACTAGGAATGGACAAGATCTACAACCATATTTATTGAATTAGAAAAATAGTGTCATAAATGTTTCTCAACTGTAACTGTAAAGTTAAAATATCTTTTAGCTCATCAAATCTGCTTCCAGATGCAGATGTTTTAAAACATTTCTAAGCTAAGAGAAGCCGGTTCTGCCCTCCATTTTTTTCCTTCTGAAAGAGCTGGGTGTTGCCAAGACAAGTTGTAAGGAAATAGATCTAGCCACATACTATCTATCAGCACATAGAGGTACACAGACTTATTTATGTCCATGTTTGGGTCTTGTGATGCAGTTTTAAGTTTCCCTTGTCAAACAGCTGCTACGCTTAAAGAATTTGCTGCTGCACAGCTGCTTCCTACACCCCTCTGCTGAGGCACAGGGGGTGTCTAAATACAGCACAAGAGACTCTGTGGAAGGAAACTTGTGCTATCCTGGTTGTCTCCACACTGAAGCAGACTTGGAATGCTTGTGTGATTGATTTACGTTGCTTGAGACGAGCATGACGTCCAGGCCTTGGGTACATATCCATTAACTCAGCTGAGACAACCAACTGTGGCTCATCCACAAACTGCCTTCAAATGTGCTGCCTCCTAACATGGTTGTCTATCGCTCTCCTCTTTTTGAAAGAGGAAAAGCGAGTTATTGAGAAGGTGGTGAGAACTGAGTGGCCCCAGCAGCTGGTGGCAGAGGGCTGGACCAGCACTTTCACACAGCACTGCAAAGCTGCAGCACAAGTGACTCCGAAGCCAGACGTGCACGTTCTGTCAATGGCAGCTGAGGTGCTGGAAACAAAGCCGTGCTCTGTGTGGTTATCCAGCCTCTGGCATGGAATCTCCTATACTTAGCTGCTGGAAAATTCAGTCAGGACTGAACTCCAACAGCAGCCTCTCTGTCCCTCCCCTGCCTTGGCCAGCACACACATAAGGTGGGTTTGCTGGGTCTGTGGTCTGGGCTATGCTGGAGGCTGCTGATCCAGGCCATGATGTGAGGGGTTAACTGGTTAGCCTGCAGCTTGGAGCACTTGTGCACCCATCTAATAGTTTGCACAATTTATTCTGAAAGATTCATTTAAAAATAGACTCACAGGAGAGTGGTAGCAATAAGAGTCACCGCTGACCCACTCAGCATTTGGTAGATTTGCTCTGTTAGCATGGGAACAAGCAGGCAATGCTTTTGTGGGCACTGCCATAAAACCAGGACAGAACAGCTGTACCTTGAGTGGGGGTGGGACAGGAAAGTGCCAAGGAAAGGCAAGAACCAACAGTGACAGCCCTGACAGCACTGCAGCCAGGTCTCCACACCCCTGGTTAGCTGACAGCCACCAGGCAGGCAAGAGAGCACACCCAGCCCTGAACTCACCTTCTTTCTGCTTCCTCCACTGAAACTCCAGCACCACATCATCATGGCCCACAAAAGTGTGGACAGGCGTGTTCAGGTCAAAGACATTCCACAGAAGGAGACTGTTCTCCCGACGGAGCTGGGGGACCATCACTGTCACCAGCCCGTTGCTGAAAGGCTTGAGAGAGAAACACCCTTCCAGTTACCCTTGGACAGTTATGCTCCCATGCTGCTGTTATCGTACTCTAATTTCCCCCTTTTCCCACCAACATGAATGAGATCAGCACAAAAACAGAACCAGGGCCAAACCCGGGCAGGTCCAAGGCAGTTGCTGTGCAAAAACTTTTCTTTCAAGGGATAAGATGCAGTCCACTGAAATACTCAATGCAGCTCACTTAAGATGAATCATTTTTCCTGCTGCTTCCTCACTTTTCAGCTGGGAGGCTGGAGGGATTTCACCACTGACTTTTCCCAGGGGATCCTCACTGCAATCTGCCTGGAGCTGCAAGAATTGCTACCTGGGGACTCAGCCCCAGCAGCTCCTCAGGGTCACAATGCTCAGAGGAACCAGAGGAACCCAGTCCTACAGCCCTCACTGTGGGGATGGGGATCAAAAACTCAAGGCACAGCACTGGCTTCAGGCTGCACTCAGATGTCTGGGAAAGAGAACAGCTATGACTGATGTTAAGAGCCTTAGCTTCACATGGCTGGGTGCTCGCTCACTCCTCCTCCCAAGCACTCCCCCCTCCCCATTGTGGATGCTGCTTTTCTAGGCCTTTTAAGCACCAAGAGGGATTTTTAAAATCAACTTAATAGTGTCCAGCAGTAGAAGTGGTGAGAAACCCTTCAGCAGTTCTTTATTCAATGGCCCTCTGTGCATTTCTCTCAGAGCACAAGTGGAGCTGGTGGGAGGTTCTCACTCACCGTGTATCTTGCCTTCCAGACAGGAACCTGGCAGGGAAGGATATTGAGGTATTTCCGAGGCTGACGGTAATCCCAGAACTTAAAACCACAAAAAAAAAACCAAGAGAAAGGCAAGCAAAGGCAGGAGTCAGCTGGCTGTACTTTCAGGCTGTAGTTTTCCATGTGGCTTGCAGATAGAACAGACCAAAAAGCATGCCAGGGTGCCCACAGCATCATTAGTAATCCCATTCATTAACAGCAGAGATGGCCCCAAAGGACAAATACCAAGCTATCAGCATCTGGCAGCATCCCTTAGACAACGAGTGACTTGGGGTCATATTCACAGTGATCATAGCTTGAGTAATTAGAGCAGGGACAGGCAGCCTGCTTGGGCTTTCAGAGCTACAAGGTACCCTGCAGGCTCCCAGCCAATGTGCCAGTCCAGGCTGCAGGCAGGCCCCCCCTGCTGTTCCTGCTAATTTTCTAATGAAGAATGTAACCTTTTGCTTTGCTAGAATACACATCACCTCAGAGCTTAGCTCAGTGTGAATGAACTCCACTTGGCTGACATACAAAGCCCACTCTTTCCCCCCAAGTAAAAGGCACTGCACAGCAGCGGTTGCAGGCAGTCTCTTACTGATAATCCTGTTCAACATGACTTTGGAAACCCCAGGGGCTGAAGTATGCCTCCCCCTAAGTTGCTGTGATCAGCTTGAGTCTGGCAACACTGCATTTCAGGGAGAAGGCTCTTCTGGCATGTGTGGTCAGCTCCATTCTGTCAAGCAACAGGCAGAGAGATGGTTGTTTTCAGCTCCCTTACTGCCCTAATCACCACAAATACATGGCAAACATGTGCACCCATCCTTCAGTGACCTCTCTGCCTGTTCTGCAAGTGCAGTCCTGGCTCACACACACAGATGCACAGAAACCAAACGATAAGGATGCAGATCTCCCCAATGGCAAGCGCTCCCCAAGAGCTCACCAGCAGCAGAAGAGCATCAGCTCCACCCTCCTCCCACCTCCCAAGCACAAACCCCAGAAGCAACACTTACCCTGACAGAGTTGTCCTGGCTGGAAGTGGCCAGCGTGTACTCATTGTCAGGATGCCAGTCCAGACCATGGATTTTGGAGAGATGAGCTGCCAAATATTCCACCGCAGTGCTGGGTTTCTGCAAGGAGAAACATTTTTCTTCTCAGCACAGGACTTCTGAAAGCTGGTCTAGTTCTCTGGCATAGGAAGAGACACTTTAACAAGGGAAAAAGAGGGAGAAAAACCTCCTGCCTAGGGAATGAGAAACAGCTCAGCAAAAGTTGTTGAAGGAAAGCTGTGGCAAGTTCCAGTCACCAAGTGCAGCCCAAACGATACTTTATCCTCAGTAAAACAGTTAACTACTACGAGATCAAAGTGAAAATGTTAATGGGTGCAGTTTCTGGAAAAGGAGGCTATCTACACACTCTCTTCAGGTTCATGGCCTCCCAATTCTCTCCAGTTTAAACTCACCCACAAGAGAGATTTGGGATAAAGTAGCACGTGGGTTTTTACCTGTGACCAGAGGGATGTCTGCATCAGGTAGGTGGAAATATGCACAGACTGCTCAAAAACCCCTCAGCTTACCCTTTTGTCCCATATTCGGACATCCCCATCGTGGCTGGTTGCTAAACAGTTGGCATTCTTCTTGTTCCATTTCACCTGGGAGGCTCCAGCTGCAGCACAAACAGCACAGGCCAAAATAAATTAGATGTAATTAAAATGGCCCAGCAGACCTGGGCCTGAGCTGCTCTTAGCCCAGGAGAGGCAGCTCAGAAGAGGAATAGCCCAGAAGCCAGCACGAAGGACGGCATGAAAATTCCTAACTCCTGATTCCTCAGTGCAGTGTTTGTGTCCTCAGGACAGCAAAGCAAGACTGTGCCAGTTGCCTGCCTAGAGATCTTGATCACAAGTTCTAGCCAGTCGTTGTACTCCATTAAAATAATCACGTCCATTAGCTCAGATGGAACAATTTCCTCCAGACAAGAACTGCAGCACCTCCCTCCCAAACCACCTCTCTTTTCAGTCAAGTTACTTCCAGGTGCTTAAGGCCAGATTTGTCTCCCCAAAACCCTTGTCTGCTGCTAAACAGGCAACTAGCACTGTTGATCTATGATTAAAATACAGCTGTAGGAGAAGGCTGCAGTGCAGGTGGACCTTGGGTCTTGCCAGATGGAGGGGGACTCACTGGTTAGACTGGAAAGTCCAGCTGTCAAAACACACCACAGAAGTGTAAGACACTATAAAGAAGCTGGATGGTGGTCCAGATATGATTATATGTGATATCCTGAGAGACTCAGTCAAATCAGAGGATGGGTGGTTATTTCTCATAAGAAAAAAAGTACAGCTTCAGTTAATGTGGCTTGTTCAGGTGTTTTAAGAGAAATGCATGTTCTGTTCATCCTTATTCTGCCAGTATTTTCAAAACCTTTTAAGCTATCAGAGAGGTGAAATCCATGAGAAAGCAAAACAGACCTTGGCCTGCTGCTATTCCCCACCTCCACTGCCCACCTCCTGCTGCACGGTGAGCAGATTCATCCTGACAACCTGGCAAAAAGCTGGTCCAGGGGATAAAAGGCTGCAAATAGACTGCCAGTGGATTGATTTGATCCACTCACTGAAGGGTACACAAACGTCTGGACCAGCACTACACAGCATGGGGTGCAGGAGGAAGGAAGGACTGAAGGAAGCAAGCAAGCTTTCTGGGGAGCTGGCTGCTGGGCTGCCTCAGCCATGAAAGCTCACCCAGAGCCCAGAGCTGCTTCTCTGACTCAGTAAGGCTTTGGCATTTCTGTGCCAGAGAGGTTTGCTGGCTGGGAGGGGAGTGCAGATGTGCAGCCTGAGATCTAAGCAGCAGAGCATGAGAGACACACATTGTGAGGACTGTCTGACACTGGGACAGTAACTCGTGAGCAGCACGTTCTGCTCGTCATCCGTGCCCGGTCCAGGCTCGCAGCAGGCAAGGACTGACACACAGCACCTGCCAGGGAGGTACTGCAGGACACTCACCCTGCCAGCAGCCGTGACAAACGCTGCTCCACAGCAAGCACGGCCCAAAGAGAGCACCTTGTGTCACCAAGCAGCTCCCTGCAGGCTGCAGGTGCCCCAGGGGAGCAGATACAGCTGATGTACCCAGCCCCTCCTTAAAACAGGGCACAGGCTGGCACTGCCTGGGGTGCAGTTTAGCTTCTCAACTGATTCAATCAAACACAAAAGGACATGAGGAAAAACACAGGCAGGCAACCCAGGACAAGCAGAGCAGCAGGGGGGTTAAGCAGGCAGGAAGCTCCATGTGGCTGTTGACCAATGTTAGTTCAAGTACAACTCTGTCCATGCCTGGGAACCTCCAAGGGGCTCTCCCATCTTCTCTGAATTCTGCTCCCCTAAAAGGAGTTGTGAACTGGAGCCTCTCAGGCTGCTCCTGCATGGGACAGTCACACATGGTGGCACTTCTGCACCAGCCTTGGAGCAGGAAGAGGGGGAGGAATGACAGTAGGGGCATGCAACAATGAGGTTGTTTAATGCCTACAGCACACGTACACGTCAAACTTACCGACTGCAGAGAGCGAGACCGTGGGCTTCCTGGTGTCTCTGAAACACAGCATGGCTAATGTGAGCACCCACAGCACAGTCCAGCCTCCCCACCGAGCTCCTTCATGTTCCAGGACTAACTTATGGCTGCCTTGGGACCTAACGTGCCTTCTGCTTACCAAAATACACCAGCATGAAATAGAATAAAGGGGACCAGCTGGAGGACAACAGCCATCCTGGAAGCATTCACAGCCAGGTTGGGTGGGGCACTGAGCAACCTCATCTAGTGGAAGGTGTCCCTGCTCCTGCCAGGGTGATGGAACTAGATGACCTTTAAGGTCCCTTCCAAACCCAACCAATCTATGATCCTGCCTTGCCACCACATACAGCAGGAAGTTTAGGACACAGGATAGAGCTGGAGTGGAATAGAGGGAGAAGAAACACGTGCAAAGGGTGGCATGTTGCAACTGGGTAGGCCAGGAAACCGGGTTCACAAATGATTGCTGCAGGAAGCAACAAAACAGCCTTTCCCAGGAGGATTAAAAGGAACAAACAGAGCTGTGGGAATCCTTGACAAAAGCCACTGATGTGTTTGTCAGTCCTTTGCAGACCCTAATTCAAGGCAGACAGAGCAGTGACTCCAGAGCAAAAAACTTCATGTCTAGCATATAATAACAAAATTAGTAGGAAATAAACCCAGCTGTGTGCAGACCAAATTCTGTCTGCAGACCAAATTCTGTGGTGGCAGAAGCCGGGGTGGCACCACAACAACTCCCAGCAGCCAGGACATGGATGAAGGCAGTAATTCAGTTCCTGACCTTGCTCCTCAGGAATTCACCTGCTCTTTCATGAAAAGTGACAGTGAAAATAAGGAATCCTGTCTTCAGATTTTTCTGTTTGCTGAAAAGCTGAACATTTTCTGGAACGGACTGCACCTCTCCCTCTAAGAATTTCTGCCTAATCCAAAAGTTACTTTGTATGAAAAATTAAGTGGGGAATTTCCAATTGCCCTTGCTGCAGGGCTACCTGCCTAGGGTGTCATTAGAGACAGTCACTTCTGTAGGATGGTTATTTGCTGCAGGCCAGCAGCACCAGCACCTCAGTGCCCCTGCAAGCTCAGAGCCTTTCCCAGCACAAGTGGAATGTAGAGACTCATCAGAGCCTGCCTAGGGAAGCTTTTCTGGACAAGTGGCACAGGCAGACACACAACAATGGAAGGGCACAATAGAGTTAAAGGAGGATTTCTGATAACAACCTTCAGAGACCTCTATTTTTTAGCTGGCACTAAGATAGCGTCACAGGAAAACACAACCAGCAGTTATTGTCTCTCTGTGTCTTTTAATTACACATTAATAATATATTGTCATTCTCAAGCACCATTTAACCAAGGATCTAAGTGCTTCATAGGAGCTAAACAAGCCTCAGGGTAGCCTGGTGCAGAGGGGTTATATAATTATCCTCCTATTTTAACTGAGCAAGGGAGGCAGAGAGGAACAAAGTGACTTGCTGGGGGTCATGAAGAGTTGTGCAGCCAGCAAGAGAACCCAGCAGTGCCAGTGCCAGCTCCTTGCTCCTCAGGTGTAAATTATGGGGTCCAAGTACTGGTGGGGTTTGGATATATAGGTGGAAATACCTGCTACCCTGAAATTACTCATGATAGAAAGCACCAGGAATCACAGGAAAGCAGAGACAGGAAAACTCTGAACACCACTGTCAGTCTTCCCACCACTGAGGCAGAACCAGCAACAATCACTGAATTTAGTGGAAAACGGCTACAGGATCATGAGAGGGTGCCCATTCTCCCAGCTAAAAAACCCAAGAGGTTGAGGAACACCCTTGGGCTCCAAGAAAAGCCCCCAAGGAAAGATCTGAAGTGGGCAGGGAGGGAAGCTAGACAGTATTTTTTCAAAACAGGAGCACCACTCTACCGCCCTTCATTGACTCTGAACTGGCTTGAAAAGAGGGGAACAGAAATCATCCTGGAGAAGATGGCAAGGAGCTGGAGCCCCTGCAAGCACAGCTGGAGAGCAGCACCCATCAGGGTGTGCCTTGCCCTGCAAGCTGACAGGCATGGAAAGGAGTCCAACAGTTTCCCTGCAGTGCAGAAACAAACTGGTTCGTACTTGATGTCCCAGATGTAGATGTATGTGTCCACAGAACTGGTGACCAGCAGGTCTGGCTCAAACACTGCCCAGTCCAGGTCGCTGCAAAGGCAAAACCACAGGAGATCAGTGAAGCAAAGCACACCCAGTTTGCATCAGACTCTCACAAGCCCCCAGTACATCCTCTGACAAATTCACAGCAACTCCATGACATCTACTGAAACTTTTTAAGTAAAAAGCAAGATCTTAATAATTTCTCTAGGTAAATTCCAAGAAGCAATGAAATGCTTCTAAGTAAATTCCAGTGCAGCATCCTCCCAGCCCTGAACTTTACAGCTATCCTGTGTGTGCTCTTTCCTCCACAGGCAAAGGGACACTGTCTCAGTGAGCTCCCAGTGACCACAGATCCTTGGCATCAACCCCTCCCTCTGGGATGCCTCCCTGTTGGGAACACCAAGTGCACCTCGGACACAAAAAGCCTCCAGTCAGTGCAAACAACTGCCATTTGAAGGGCTGCAAATACTTTCCATAGTCAGGAGTAGGAGTAAAAACAGTCTTTCAGCTGCATTTCCAGCCCATCACTGAAATACAACCTTGGAACTGGAGGCAGAAATCTCCCCTGCACCACTGTAACACTCTCTAAACTTGGACTTTGGGATTACCTGCTTTAATTAAGCTGCTATCACACAGAAACACAGTTGGGATTCAATTTAATAAACATACTGCTATCTGTTCTTCAGATGATGGCTGCTGCTCATTACAAGGACAGCAGCCTAAGGCAATGACACTCAAGCCATCAAGGGCTAAGCTGATACAGCAGGGGAGCCATGAGGGGGTGAGCTGCTTCACACACAGTGCCATCACCAAATGGGAAGGCAGTCCAGCCCAGAAAAGTGAGTAAAACCAGGCTCAGAACAGAGCCTGTGCAGGGCCAGGACTGAAACATTCAGCTTCTGTGAAGCCATGCACATTCTCCATCCTGCAGCCCACAGCATCACCTGTTCCTCACCTGATCACACGTGTGTGTCCTTGCAGTGATGTGCAGACTTCTCCATTACCTTCCTTCCACTTATACAGGTCAACTCGCTGATTGCTCTGAAATTAGATGGAAGAAAGGAGAGACACTCTCAGGCCAGCAAGGTAGGAGAGGGATCTGTGTGTTAAGGACCAGGTTCTCTTCACTTTGAGCAACCTCATGTAACAATGAGTCACCCTGTGATTAGCAAAGTCCTTGCCCAAAGCAGGAAAGCAAAGATGAAACCATAGGCTGCAAGGAGTCTCAGAAGCTCACACTTTAATTACACCCACTTAAAACTGGAGATAAACTAGAACGGGAGAAGAAAAAAAAAAAAAAATCACATTGCAAAATGTTTTCACGAATTCTGTTCTGGGAGTTTTTATTTCCCAACAACATGCTGTAACTGCAAGCAACAGGCAGCCAAATTCTCTCTGCAGGAATACCCTGCCAGCCTGTTCAGATTCAACTGGAGTTTTCAGTGAGGGGGATGCCAGATTACCACTAGTCCTCCTCAACTCTCTCTCAATTCCCTTCTGGGATAATCACAGCCACTGCCAAACACAAACAATACCGTTTAATGGATTCAAGGACACCTCCTCAAGGGTACTCCCATCCTTGCCAGCCCAGGAGAAAAGCTTTTAAGTGCTTATCACTAACTGTAAACCACAAAGGCAAAACAGATGTATCAATGCCAACATTATTGAGGGGTTTCTTCACTCATTCCAGCCTTGCCCAAATGCAGCCACACACAAAGTTACTTGAAACCAGTCATTGTGCTGCAAGCTCATGTTCTCTCTCAATCAAGGTTCAGTTCAGTCCCAGCCAGCTCTAATCTTTCTAGGGCAGGAACTGCCTTTTTGGGTGCATATATAGCATGAACCACAGAGGGTCTTGGGCAATGACTGGGAATTCCTGTTGATTTTGCAAAACCAGAGGGAACCTCAAATTTTGATCATTAGCCCCTTGTTTTCAGACTTACAGACAGATAAGGAAAAATACATAGATAAGACAGTTCAATGAAACCCAGAATCATTTAGGTTGGAAAAGACCTCTAACATCTAGTCCAACTGTTACAATTTTTGTGGCAGCTCTTCTTTGTGGTGGTGGATTTTCTTCCTAGCCCTAAGCTGCTCCATGTGAATTTCAAGTTGCAAATAGATATAACACTACAGACTTCCCTTAAACAGAAGCTCTCCTCCCAACTCAGGAATAATAGGTGGCATTTCTCTAACCCATCACAGCAGGGCTGCACAAGAGCTTGGGGCAACAAAAACTCCTTTCAGGCTTCTCATTGACAGAAGAATTTAAGGGGGTAGAGTGAAAATTACCCAAGGGGATTTACCCAGGACTCCAGAGATAAGATACAAGATAAGGATCACCAGAGAGGCCACTCCTCCCAACAGGAGCATTTTCTCAAAAACTGTGCTTTTTGTGGTAAGTATCAGTATTCTCTTCCAATGATTTCATCACCCTCTTGTACAAGCATCTGTGGCCACACAAAAGAAATAACAGCATCCAGGATTGAAAACAGCTTAGGAGTCCCTAGAAACATGCCTGAGCCAGAGGGCAGACACAGCCAAGCACAGCAAAAGGACACAGCTCCAGCTCCTCTGGAAAGAACTGAACAAATAGGAAGGTCTTATCGAAGCACAAGGACAGATTCCCCTCTGCCTGCACCACTTCCAATTAGCAGGACAGGACTGCAAGCCAGATGAGGTTGCTGGCAAACAGGGCAGTTGGCCTTTCCCACTCCCTTTCCACCCACAGGGATGCAGAGGGATAGGACCCTGGGGCTGTCTACGACACGGTGGGTGAGATGGCTGGAAAGGCAGCATTTTTGACCCAAACTGGAAAAGATGCCTGATCTCATCTTGGGGATTCTTCACCTGATGAATGTCAGCAACTACATCTAAGATGCCCAGAGCATCTTAGCATGTTTGTTTATAAACAGGAGCAGCAAGGTTTGATGCCAGCTCTGCCTTGTTTCAGTCTGGGACAAGATGGGTCCCTGTGTTTGCTCAGAGCAGCAAGAGACAGGAGGGCTCAGGTGGGTGAGATGGGCACAGCTGCCCTTTGCAGCAGGGTCCTGCTCAGATCAGCATGAACCAATCACTGGATATTGTCTTCACAGTGTGTTTGAGAAGAAGCTTTCCTGCTCCACCTGTGGCTCGCCCAGTGCATTTCCTTACTTGGTTTTGATTTCCACAGACTGTATCCAGAAGTGGCACTGAAGGACACCTCTCTGCCAGTTTTACTAACTCTCTGCTCAGGAGCAGACCACTGCTAAAGGCACCTTTAAGATATCAGTCACATGCCAGAGCTGGGAGGAGGAAGGCTGGGGAATGTCAGAGAGCAAGCAGGCAGAGGCTCCCAGCTGACAGCACGTTTTAAAACTGCCTTTAATTACAATCATAGCCAGTCCAGGAAGAAAAAGGAACAAAAATCCCAGAAAATCACCTTCAACTAAATATTCTCTAAAAAAACCCTCTCCATCCCTAGCTGTTCCAGGAGTCTCAGGCCACAGAAGAGGACACAACAGGCAGAAAAGGCAGCTCGCCCTGAGAACAGGCTGTGCCCAGCTGGTGCTGTGGTTGATGGCAAGGCTGCCGCCAGCAGAGCTCGGGGCTCTGGGTGAACAACCTGCAGAGCATGACAGCCTGAGCACAGACCAGAGCCAAAAACTGCACTCAGCCTCACATGCCACTCCTGCTTCTTCAGCCCAGCCCATTTACCTCTCCACACACGGAATCAGAGCTCATCACCGATCCAGTCCGTGCCCAGCTGCAAACCCTGACTGCTACAGCAGTGAGCCACGATTGACTCGTGCTATTTACAGACTGCCTGGTGCACCACAGCCCACCAGCAAGGCAAGGAGGTGAAACAGAACAGCACAGAGCAAGACATTCAGTAAGTGCACAGGTTTCATAACAGAACAGAAGGTAGAAAGGGAGCACATTCCCTCTTCCCTCCAGAAAAGGACCATTAGGATGTCTGGTTTATTTGCTAAGGTGTTTTGTAAACAACAACCAAGCAAAACGAGATTCAGGCTTGACTGACCAATAACTGAGAGTCACCAAGCCCAACCTGGCTGGCAGTAAATCAGGTAGGCCTTGACCTTGCACTGTGACTTGCAGAAGGGTGTCTGTGCCAGCCCCTCAGAGCCCTCCAGCCCTGCAGAAGCTCCCCCAGGAAAGGCCAGGGCAGGAGGGAGCTTTCAGATGAGTGAACTTACCGAGGCTGCAAAGTAGTAGGCGTAGCTGTCATGGGGGTTCCACTGCACTGCCCCAATGTCCCACTTGCTCTGGCGGGAGATCTTGCGGTGACCCTCGTTTGGGGCATCCAGGTTGACGATGTAGAGGAAACGGCGGCTGCAGGACACACACACAGACACAGAGGGGCTGCAGCTCACGGGGCTGGGCTCCAAACCCCACGCTCACATGGAGCTCACAGCCCTGTGTCCCGAGGCACAACAATCAAAAGAAGAGAAGCATTTCACAAGACAGGTGAAAACACTGCTCCCAAGAATGTTACATCTGACCACGTACTTCAGAAACGGCTACCAAAAAAACACCCAAAAACAACCGCCCAAAAGGGAGAAGACACTGAAATTAGACAGGATATGCAAATGTAACAGACAGCTCAGACCACAGAAAATCCCAGATAACTAGGACACAAAAGGAAGAGCTGGAAAATGGTGCAAACACATCCAAATAGGCTTTTCTGGCCTAACGCTGCAGCAACAGAGCTGAAGTGGCACAGGGCTGGGAGTGCAACACAACAGCTTCAGCCTGGAGGGGTTGGTCTGAGCAAGAGTTACTGAGCCTTGAGAAACAGAAGATGATTCTATGTGGGTGTGTCTTTCCACACCACAGTTTGGTGGGGGCTTGGTTCTGCAGGCAGTACAAGGACACCTGCACAGAGCTCCTGCTCAGCTGCAGCAGCTCATTAATGTGGGCGGACACAGTCCTGCACTGATCTGGTTCCATTACTTACCTGAGCTAACTCTACATGCAGCAGAAATAACTCTGCATCATGGCAAACCTGAGCTCATACATCCTGCTGGATGTGGCCAACTCCCCACAAAGCAAGGTAGCATCCAGTGTGACTCATCTTACAAGGAAGAGAAACTGCTTGCTGAAATGATTGTGACCCAGCTGAAACCTGTGGAAGGCCATCATCAAAACACACCGAACCCTGCAAAATTAACCACACCACCTACATCAGCCATGTAGTGAGCACACAGCTGCTCTGAGCACTGGCCATTCTTCCAAGGCAAGGAACACAAAGAACATCTTGGCTGCCTTTCCAGACCAAAATCCTCAGGGCCCTACTCTGAAGATTTGGGAAAGCATGTATCAGCAAAGCCACACGGGTATTTTATTGTGCTGTTGTTGCTGTCTCTCCACTCTGTATCCCACTGGGAACGTGACCCAGAATCGTTTCCATCGAGCCTTGAACAGAATTCAGCAGCAGCTTTCTGAAACAATGCACCCCAGCTGAGGTCAGCCTGGAGGCTGCCCGTGGCAGTGACTGTCACACTCACCCTGAGAGCACCGCGCGCTGTCCCAGGCAATCCACCGACATCGCCGTCGCCTGGTGGGGAGAAACACAGACAAAGCTCAGTGACACCTGTCAGGGGGCTGCTCAAACACACGGCTTTGGGGGGGATGGGGGTCAGCAAAGCCTGCCAGCTCACCTCTCAGTTACACCCCCTTCCCATAGTACAGATGGATTACGGGGTGCAGCGGGTGAGTTTGGGACGGGCACAGCACAAACCAAACATCTCTGCTGGCGTAACCCGAGGACAAGACCTGGCAGACACCACTACAAGCACCAAGACCTCGCTCCCTTCTCCCCTCTATGGCAGTCACAGCTGCAGCCTTTCAATCAGCAGCTCTAATAATTTGTACTAATCAGCCTCTGCTCCTGCTCAGGAACTTTCTCAGTCTCTCCCTTTCATTGCAGGGTCAGATTTAATTATATACGTACTGGGAGATAGAAGTGCAACCATTTGTGTGTGTGGCCGGTCTCCAAAAACGGGAGATGGCCAAGAGGCATCAGAATTTACTTTGGCATCGCATGTAAAGAAGGCTACGAGATAACTTAAAGGCCATTAGGAAAAAAAAAAAGAAAAAAAAAAAAGACTGTTTGGATATTGTCTCCCCCTCTTTGTTTAGAATGGAATTGGCTCATCATCTCCTTTAATTGCCAAGAGAATAAAGGAAAATTTTACTTGGAAAGCTGAACAGTTCAGCCTATAAACATAGATATGACTTCAATACAGTTTTTAGCATTCACAGTACAAAATCAGAATATGCCCCACATTCCTCACAGTAACTGCTGTCATCTTCAAAGCTGCCTCTGAAGGCTCAGGATGTATCTCCTGCTGCTGTTCTGGATTTTAAGAGCGCTCAGTGTGGATGTAACAAGACTTCAGGATGTCCCACGGTTCCTCCTTACAAGCATCACTAAAACCTGACAGGCCATACAGCAACCCCACTCCATTGCAGTCACATTTGACAGCAAAGCAACCATCACAAAACCCAAGATTTTTCAGCCAGGGCCCCATCCTCTCCTTACAAGTACCCCAGGTGAGGGGAAAAAAGCATCATGGGCTCATTCTTCACTAGAGTCCACCTGGCAAAGAGCTACAATTGCCTGCAGAGTTTCAGCTGGAGCCCACATTTGCTGTTCCTGGAATGACCCCCCCTTTCACTGCTTTGTTCCTAGGTAGCAAATCCAGTCTTCTTGGCAAGGTTTCCTTAGTCCTAAAATTAATGCTGTAAACAAGAAACTAGTTTTAAAATCTCTAAGTGATCAACAAACAACTCCCACTTTCTGGATTTCACAGCACCTTGCAAAACAACACAGTGGGTTACTAAATCTACATTAAAAAAAAAAAAACCAAACCAACAAACAGCAGGAGAAGGAACTTTTCCCAGATGAAAGACATTTCACTTCTACAGAATTAAAATAAGGATCACTAAAGCCATTAGTGGAACCAGAAGTTTCTCCTGTGATGAAGAGCTAGTCAAGAGATATATTTCACACAGCTGTGGCCATCTTTCCTCAAGACAGAAAAAACCCATGTCAATGTGAAGTGATTGATAATTTCATGTGAGTTTATTTTTTCTGCTGTTGGTATCAGGATCTCATCAATCCTTACAAATTGTTTGCAATAATGAACACTGGTAAACTGTGGTGTTTTTTTTTTTCCAGGCACCAAACATCATCAAATGTAATGAACAATTAGAATGAAGTAAAAAGCTTCACATGGCAGGCTGCTACCCTGGTGGGTCACAAACCAAGTAATTTTACAGCACTAAACAGTTCCCTACGATACAAGAGTCCTATACAGAGACAGAAAAAAGCCAAACAGCTGCCATTTCATGCCTGGCATAGTGACACGCCAGCCTTCACAGCACAACCCTCCAGAAGGGGGGAGTGGAAACTGAGCAAACCAACCTGAAATCAGTTTTTATCCCCGAACAACACTGAGGATAGCTGGGATTGCTGTTCATGAATAACAATGACAGGAGTAAGCACTGCAGGAGCACTGCACATTTGAGAACCTGCTCTGAGCCCACAGCCCAGGCAGCATCTTCTCCAACTTCAAACATCTGCTCTGGCATTTCACTTGATTTCTGCTAAGCAAGCCAAGGAAAAACACCTTTTCACGTCTGAATTTCCATTAGTTTTCAATCCAGCCTCATTCTCTCCACCTCAAAGCCAACAGACTAACCCAATCTGACACGGCTATGCTGTTTTTCAAGAGCTGCAAACTCCTAGCAAGAAGTACCAGTTCCCTTTGTACCCAACTTACAATCCACATGCTGAATCGCTACAAATAGCTGCATTTCACCGCTGGATGAGGTGAGCTTTACCCTCTGCTAGTGCAGCCTGAGAAGAGCCTGTGGGTCCTGTGTAAATCACAGGAGTACAGAGCACTGTCACCTCTGCCACCTTGCACAGAGAGGTGACACGGGCTGGCAGCAGTGGCCCCGAAGCACCCAGGGATTTTCAGGAGTGTCACAGCCTGGGTGCTGCAGTCTCCACATGACACACTCCAGAACAAAGACAACTGCAGTGCTTGCAGACACGCAGTGGCTATAAATTTAACAGCTGCCCACTCTTTTGACTTGTTTCCATTTAAACTGCTTTTGGGGTAGGGATTTTTGGATACAGTGTGGCCTACAGGCAGAGCTCCAAAGGATCCCACTGGAGTGAACTGCAGGGATGGAAAGAGCAGTGCTCTCCTTCAGTCAAGGCTGCAGGACTGAAACCACCTGCTGCAGGGGGGATGGAAACACCCGTCCCCTCTGCTCCCACACACCAGTTGTCATGAGAAAGCAGTAACACCACGAGGCCACGGATCTCCTGAGCCAGATGCAACCTGGAGCTGTTATCTAGGGAGATGTACCCTCACATCTCATTACTGGTTTCCTGAGGCCAGACCTTCAGTAGCAGATGAGGCTGCTTCAGCACTTCGGGGAGCACAACCAAGCTGAGACAAAGCTTCTGAGGTGTAAAAGAGAAAAGCTCTGTGAGCTTACAGAGGGCAGGCTGGATGCAGCACGCAGGATTCACTGCCCCTCCTTGCAGAGGTGAAGGCAGAGCTGTCACTGCTCCAGCACGAGGACAAATGAGGTGATGAAAGAGCTTGCAGACCTACTTTTTAAATCCTTCTGGGTTTCCTGCTGAAGCAGTTCATGGTTCGTTCACTGCATCCAGCTTTGCTAAGCAACTGCCAATGTCTCAAAAAACCCCATATTTCTTAGAATAGAATCCCAGAATAGTTTGGGCTGGAAGGGACCACAAAGCTCATTGCATTCCAACCCCCTCCCACGGGCAGGGACACCTTCAGACCAGGTTGCTCCAAAGCCCATTCCAACCTGGCCTTGCACAGAGACACTTCCAGGGATGGAAGAACAGCTTCTAGGAGCATATAAACAAACTCTGACGGGAGTTCTCCTGTCGCCATCAGCTTCAAAACCAAAAGTTGACCTTTTTGCTATTTATAAAAAAAAAAGCATAACCCACTTTTCCTATTAATCGAGCAACACTCAGCAATTTATAAGGCAGTAAGACAGTAGCTGCAATGGTCTCAAGGGAAAACTCATAAAGCCATAGAACGGTTTGCGTTGGAAGGGACCTTAAAAGCTCGTCTCGTCCCAACCCCTTAGCGGTTAATTTCATGTCACGGAACACGAAGTTCCATGGGCAGGGACACCTCCCCCTGGACCAGGCTGCTCAGGGCCCCATCCAGCGCGCCTGGAAGCGTGGGAAGCGGCAACATCTTCTAGTGGGCCCGCCGATACACTTTAAAGAAACAACACGAGACCTATTAAGATCAGTAACTAAGCGCGCCGTGAGCGAAGGCGTCATCTCCGCGCGAACGGCGCCAGGCCGCCTCAGCCCCGTCCACACCGCCGGCGAAAGGCCCCTGCCGGGCCGGGCCGGGCCCTCCCCCCGCTGCGCTCGCCCCGGTCCGGGTGAGGCGGCGGCCGCGGCCCCCCGACCTGCGCGTCGCGGAACTCCACCACCACATTCTCGCTGCTCCAGCGCGCCGCCATCTTGCGCCGCCCGGGCCGCGCCGCGCCGCGCCTGCGCACCGCGGGGCACCGCGCGATGGGTGCCGGGAGATGTAGTCCCGCCGCTCACCCCCGCACATCACACACACCCCCGCCCCCGCCCGGTGAACCGGGACCGCGCGGCCCGCGGGGCGGGCACACCACGGGGGGGGGAATGCGGGACCGGCCCGCGGAAGGGTTCCGTTCGCGGCGGTCCGCGGGTGGCCGCAGCCCCGCCGCGGGGTGAGATGTGTGTGTGTGCGCGATGGGTCGAGGGCTGCGTTGCGCGGGGCAGCGCCCTGCGGGGCGGCGGCGCTCCCGGTGTGCGGGCGCGGGGAGCGGCGCGCCGGGCGGCGGCGGCGCAGGGGTTAAGGGCGGCGGGCCGGGGGGGCCGGGGGCGGGAGCATGCGTGCTGCCGGCCGCTATTGTCTCCGGCGCGGCGCCCGGCTCCAGCGGCGGCCGCAGCGAGGCCGTGCCCGGCGCAGCGCAGCGGAGCGGGCGCGCCGCCCCCGCCGCCCCCGCCGCCCATGGGCCGCAGCTGATCCGCGCCCGGCTCCCGGCCGCGCCCCGGGGCACCAGCGAGGCGGGCGGAGCGACCCGGCCGGCGGCCACCCCACCCCAACCCCCTTCCCCGCCGCTCCCTCCCCGCTCCGCGGCCCCGGAGCCCTCGGCGGCCTCCGCCGGGGGTGACGGCGGCGGCGGCGGCGGACTCGGGGCGCCCTCGCCCCTGCGGGCCCGGCGGGGGAGGATGCCTGGGGCGGGGATGGGTTTTCGCCCGTAGCTCCCCGCGCCCCCCCGCTTCCTTCCGCCCCCCTCTCGCCCTCCCAGCGGGGGCGGCGCGGCCCCGTTCCCCGCGGGGGGCTGTCGCTCGGCTCCCTGCGGCCCGGCGGCGCCCACATGGGGGGCAAGCAGAGCACGGCGACCCGCTCGCGGGGCCCCTTCCCGGGGGTGTCGACGGATGACAGCGCCGTGCCGCCGCCGGGCGGAGGGGGGGGGCCGCCCCCCTTCGGCCATTACCGGGCGGGCGGCGGCGGCGGCGCGATGGGGCTGCGCAGCCGCTCCGTCAGCTCGGTGGCCGGGATGGGCATGGACCCGGCGGCCGCCGGCGCCGTCCCCTTCGGGCTGTACGCGGCGGCGGCGCGGGCGGCGGGGGAGGCCGAGCGGGCCCCGGGCGGCGGCGGCGGCGGCGGTCCGGGCTCCGACTCCACGTACGCCCATGGCAACGGTTTCCAGGAGACGGGAGGCGGTCACCATAGAGACGGGATGCTGTACCTGGGCGCCAGGGCCTCGCTGGCCGATGCGCTGCCCCTCCACATCGCACCGCGGTGGTTCAGCTCGCACAGCGGTGAGTGCCGGCTCCCCGGAGCCTTCCCCCGGCTTCCCTTCCCTCCGCGGGTGCCTGAGGACGGCCGTGGGCGCGGTTCACCCGGCAAGGGGGAGCTGCCCCCGTCCTGGCCGGCCGGCCAAGCCGCGTTGTGCCAAGCCCCGTCCCCTCCCCTGGTGCGGGCGGGTGGGTGCGCGCTGGGGCTGGCATCTCTGTCAAGGTCAAGGGAGGAAGGGGCTGTGGAGGGAGGAGGCTTTCTAGAAGGGAGGTGTTTTGGCTTGGGGACACGAAGCAGTGGATGTGACACCCACCCCTCCCATCGACCTGGGGCAAGATGGTCTGAGGGTGGTGTAGCTCAAGCCCTTGGTTTTGAAGAGCAGGCTGAGCTCCTCGTGCCTCTTTCTGATGGTGTTCCAGGGATGCCAGTCAGGTATAGCGGTTCCTGTGCCTTAAAAACTGGTAAAGAGGCAGAGGAAGCCTCTGAAGGTGAGGTGTGGGGTTTTTTTTCCTTTGTTTTGTCTGATAAAGGGCCAGGGAGAGGCCAAAGCGTGTTTTCTCATTCAAGCCAGCTGGCACTGTTGTGGTTGCTGAGGAGGAAACAAAGGAGGAACTGCCTTGCCTCTTTAACAGGGCCGGGGAGCTGGCTGGGCTCTCTCGCAGGAAACGTGTCAGGCTGTGGGAGGGGGAAAGGTTATACTCCCCTTCACCCTCCTGGCTGGACCCTTGGTGTGTCCTGGAGTCTGGAGAGGAGCTCTGGCTGCGAGCAGGGCTGTGTCACTGACCTAGTTTTGTCTGGGTGCAGGGAGCGAGGTGGGAGGTCCTCTCTTCCCCTCCTGGCTGGAGGGGAAGTCATTTCAGGGATGTCTCCTTGCGTTTCCTGGAATAGTCTGGGATTTCTCTCCCACCCGTCCCCCTCACAAATGCTGTAAGTGTTCTCCTTGCATGACGTGGTCTGGGAATTTCATAATATGCCTTGGGACAATGCCTCATTTTCAGGAGGACCTGAAACTGAACCAGTGGACGAGAGCAAAGTGCAAAATGAAGCTTGCGGGGCCCATTTTTCTACTTCCATTTTGGGATTTTTCCCTTTTGCCCTGTCTCCAGGGGCTGCTCTTCTCCATTAGATCGAAGCTGCGTGTCTTGCACTGCATCCTCAGTGGCAGGACACTCCAGGCACAATTCCTATTGATCTGGATTAGCTGGATGCTTACTGTCCTCCCTGGCAGATGGAGAGGGGCTGGCCTGTGGCGCTGGAGTTGAGACCAAGAGCTTCTGCAAACTTTCTTGCTCCATGACCTTGCCCAGGCTGTGCTGCTGCTGCTGCTCTGGTTTTTAAATGCAGAAGGAAACTGAGGCGCAGCATCCTTCCAGGTATTCCACAACCTTCTGTGGGAACGAGGGCTGCGAGTCCTCCTGCTGCCCCCGGTGCCGGAGCCTCGCGACAGAAACACCCTGCAGCTCCTGGGGGTCGCTCAGAGAGTATCAGTTACATTAAGTGCTAGTTCTCAAACTGCAGTGCTGAGAGGCAGAAATCCCGGTCATAAAAATAAACCATCTGCAAAATGGAGTAAGCTGCTCTCGGCCGCTCGAGCGAGTTAGTGCGATGCTGCTGGGTTAAACCTGGTGTGCCCTTGAGAGGTTGCAATGTGAGCTGTGGGAAGTGCTGCAAGAACTGGGTTTCTCTGGTGCCTCTTTTGGGGCCCTCTGAGAGCATTTGAGCTGCACGGGCAGCACTGAGAGCCGCTCAGTCCGAGCCGGAGCCTCTCCCGGTGCCGGTTCTTCCTCGTGGCTAATTAATAGCAAAACGAGCAGAGGATTCTTAAAAACCCTCCTGGAAACTTGTCGGAGCACGTTAAACTTTTGCACTCTCCCTCTTAGTGTAAGAAGTTAATGGAGGATTTGAAGACTGAGGGGAAGGGGGAAGTAAACCACCTCCCGACTGCTGAAATTCCCGCTGATCTGCCGTTGCAGCTGGTTAACCTACAGCAGGGCAGCCAGGAGCCACTCGCTCCTTCCCCCCTGCCTCCCCATCGACCTGCTCCTCTCGCAGCTCCGAGCCACTCCATTAGCCTGTGGAAAGTGCTGAAGCAGCAGTGCTCTGGTAAATGGAGAGGAGCTTTGACATTGCTGCGCGTGACCGTCCCTGCTCCTCTTGAAGGATGACTCGAGGGTGGGGATGAAGGGATGTGCCGACGCACCAAACCCACTCAGCAGGATGCATGCCTGGGGATCTGCCTGAACTGCTGTACTGCCAAGGAGAGGAGCCCCCAAACGCTGTGGCTGACAGGGCTGGAGAGTGGCTTCTTGCCCTGCCAACCCCTTTCTGGATTCCTGGATGGTGCTGACCTCTGCACGTGGCGAAGGTTGCATTCGTGGGCTTGTTCTTCCAGGAGCACTTGAGTTTGGGGGATGAGCTGGGAGCCTCGAAGTGCAGCGTGGACTCTGGGGGGCCCTCAGTGGGACACTGAGGAGTTTGCCCTGGTTTAAGGGCACTGATAAAGGGGCCGTCGTCGCCTGTGATAACGGGAGCACACAGATAGGCTGGGCGCCTCACCACCCCCTTTATCTGGGCTGTTGTGCCTCTGCAGCTGCTTCAGGGCTCATCTGGCCCCTCAGCAGGGACCCCAAGGAGTGAGCTGGGCAGGCTGAGCTCTTTTCCCTGGCTGCTGTCACTCCTTCCCCCCTCTGCAGTTGAAGGCCTGCAGAAGAGCTGGGTGTACCGGGGGGGGGGAGAGAGGGGGGCTGTGCTGGGAAACCTGTGCAGAGGGTGAGAGGAGCCCACTGCTGAGTCCCTCTGGACACTGCTGTGGCTGCCAGGGTGGCAGGAGCAGTTAGATACTGATGGCCTCTAGCTCTTCCCACGACCAGTGGAGGAGAACTGCTGCTCTAATGAACAGCAAAGCCTACGTGTGTCTTCCAAACAGGGTGGGCAAAGGGCTCTGACCTTTGTGGTGGAGCTTGTCCCTCTCTCTGAGTGGACAGCACCTCCCTGGGTAAGTGAATGCTGTTTTCTGATGGGGGTTTTCCCAGGTGTGTCCACCATACACACCAGCAGTGTAACTGTTCCAGCATCCCTGACACTACTCTGGGATTTCCATCTGCCCAGGGTTTCTGATACTCCACTTCCTGGCCTCCGTGAGTGGAAGATGACAAAACATCTTGTGCAACTTTGGGAGTTTGCTTGTAGCATTTGACCCTGTCTCTTAGCTTTGTAACCACTAGACTTCTCAGTAAAGCCGAGGCCAGTGAGAACAAGGGAGAAGAGGGAGATGTGTGTTTTAATGCTGCATGTCTGCAGCTTTGTGTGGTTCTCTCAGTATCACTCGTGTTACTCATCTTCATCAGAGGATCTCAGGGAGTTTGCAGAGGCTGTAAGTAGCTTAAAGTTTATCTGGAAATCCCACTCATCACCCAAAGCCCTTGAGTGTTTGAAGCTCTAATAAATCCATATCTTCTTGTCTGCTGGCTAGCCCAAGGAAGTGCCTAGCTCATCCTTCTGTACAGTGCCACCAGGAATGTCACAGGCCTTCCGTGCAC